CCGGCGTCTAAAGCCAGAGGATCAGAGGCGCCGTGAACGCGGGGACGAGCATGGACGGCACTTCCGCCACGGCCCACGTTCCGCGACTCGTGCCAGACGCGCGCGCGCGCGCTCTCTCTGCAGTATCAGAGCTCATACGAGGCGACAGTCCAACTGTAGAGGCTAGATGGACTAGGACTTGGTGCTAGCCGGCAAGCCGGCAAGCGATGGCGGCAGCGGCGCCGTCCTGACCCGCTCCCGCCGCCTCGCTTGCTGACTCATGACCAACAGTCACAATGAAGCTATGCGGGCATGGGCATGGACGACGAGAGATCTGTGCGGGCATGTGCGAAAGAGATCAAAGAGAGGCCTGATGGCCTGATGGCGGCGGCGGATGGGACATGGCGACAAGAACGAGGCCATGGAAATTGGGGGGGTTGTGTAATGTGCGCAATGTGCGACAAGATCGGGGCGAGTACGGCTAGTGCGAGCGAGGAAGGGTGAATGTGATTGTGCAAGTGACCGGACGCTGATCCACACGTCCAGACAATTCAGAAGCAACACGAGGCTATAAAAAGAACGGCACACGTCTTGGCCCCTGGCCAGGTCCAGAGCTTGACAGGGTTAAGCAATTTCTCCCCGCCCCCCGCAGCACACACTTAGCACTCGCCCCTCGATTGCCCTGGAATGCATTGATTTGCCTCCCACCCCCGTTCCACTCGAGCGCTGTGTCTCGATGGCGTCCATTCATCTCCCTCCGCAGCCGACAGCCATCACTCCCCCCGTTTCTCGCCGTCTTTCATTATAAATACCCAGCCGCCCACTCTTTCTCTCTCTCTCTCATCTCAACACTCGCTCTCTCTTTACATTCCCTTAGTTCACCGCTGGACGGCTGCTCTCTACGGACTTACTTATTCCTCCTCCACCCCACACACATACTCCACACCCAAAATGCTCGCCAAGTCGCTCATCTTTGCCACGCTCGCCGCGCTCGCCATCGCCGCTCCCACCCCCGCGCCCTACGGCCGTCACCGCCAGGGCAGCCACCGCAACCACCAGTGGGGCAACCACGGCAGCAAGTGGAACAGCAACAACAACAACAACGGCTCGGGCTCGTCCGACTCGTCCAGCTCGGACTCGTCGAACGACTGGTCGCCCTCGACCTCGGACTCGGGCAACTCGAGCAACGACTCGTCGTCCAACGACTGGTCGCAGTCGCAGACCACCACCTCGGCCGACGCGCAGTCCACCTCTTCCGGCTCGTCCGGCCAGGTCGACAGCGGCTCGGCCGTCTCCGGCGGCTTCTCCGCCATCGCGTCGTACTACGACATCACGAACCCGTCGGAGAACGAGGGTCAGAGCTCCGGCTCGGTCGCCTGCTCGGGCGCCAAGTACGCCAACACCGACGCCATCGTCGCCATCGCGTCGCAGCAGTACAACGGCGGCGCGGTGTGCGGCAAGCGCGTCCGCATCACCGACACCAAGACGGGCAACACGGCCGAGGCCACCATCGTCGACGAGTGCATGAGCTGCTCGGACAACCAGCTCGACCTCACCCCGTCGCTCTGGAGCCAGCTCCACGGCCAGAGCACCGACAACAACAACAACGACGGCGTCTTCGACATCAAGTGGGAGTACATCTAAGCTCCTGTTGATCAACACTGGGCAGGACCCCATACGAGAGTGCATTGATTGCACTTGCATTGAGACCCCCGAGGGGCTCACGCTCTAGATGAGCATACCTCAGTTGTAGTAGCCGCTGTGCGGCAATGCACTGTACCATCGTAAACCAGGGCGTTGTTGTGCTTCGTGATGCTTGAATCGGAGTGCTTGAAATGGCGATCAGATTCCGCCGTCATCTCCATCTCTCCGCGTCAAATTCAGCGTACGTTAATTGGCGTCAGCACCTCTCCTCCTCTCCCCGCCCTCAGCACCCCCGAAATCGTGTATCATAACATCAGGACATAAGACATTCACAGTCATTGTGGCTGCTCTCCCCCTACCACTTGGGCTTGACATACCCGAAGATCTGGGATGTGAGGTTAGGCGGGCGCCACTGTCCCGTTGTCTCCGGCGCCGTGTTGTGCATCTGCTGCGACTGCACATGCACCGGCGGCGGGGGCACCATCTGCGTCCCAATAGACGTGGGGTGGACGTACGCCGGCTGCTGCTGCTGCTGCTGGTACTGCTGCTGCTGCGGGTACTGCGGTTGGCTCTGCTGGTACTGCGGGCCTTGCTGGTACTGCTGGTACTGCTGGTACTGCTGGTACTGCTGGCCCTGCTGGTAATACCCCTGGGTCTGGCCATGCTCCTGGCCATACGCCGGCGGCTGGTACTGGCTCTGCGGGGCGCCGGGCGGCGGCGCATACTGTCCCGGCTGGGCGTACTGCTGCTGCGCCGAGCCGTGCCACTGCGCCTGCTGGGCTGTGGCGTGCTGCGGCCCCTCTTGGCCATACGAGGGCGGCGCGCCGTGCGTGTGCGGCCGCGTGAACCCCGTCGGGCCCGAGGGGCGGTGGCCCGCGGCGTTGAGCGCGGCGCCCGTGCGCGCGGCGGTGTGGCGCGAGCGCACGGAGCGGATGGGCCCCGAGAAGCGCGGGTACTGGTGTGAGCGGGGCGAGAAGCGCGAAGAGAAGTCACTCACCTGCTGCTCGAGCTCGTCGAGCTTGCGCACCACGTAGTCTTGGCTGTGCGTGTCGCTCATGCTCGCGTGCTCCGCGTACTCGGACACGAAGCGGCGCGCGTCGTCGTCCGTGCACCGCTCGTCGCCGAGCGCAGAGCTCAGGCGTGCGGCTGTCGTGATGTCCCGTGGCGGCCACTCGGCGCTGCCGTCAGCCCGCGAAACCGTGATGGGTTGCGTCGGACTCACTTCTCGCTCGGCACAATCTTCTCGATGCTGTACTTCTCGCGGATCTTCTCAATCTGCGGGCTGAAGCGCGGGAAGTCGGCCTCAAAGTGTCCAAGCTTGTTCGCCATCATCTGGATGCTGCGCTCGTTGCGCGAGTTCGCGACGTAGTACGCCTTGAGCGTGTCGTACGCCTCCCTGTTGTCAGCGGCGGTGCAAGGCGGGCGGTGGCCCGAGGGATCAAGTCGGCCGCGCTTAGCGCGACTCACTCCGGAGTTGTCTCCTCTTTGCGGAGCACGCGCTCCACGCCGCTGCTAGTTAGAGCTGCCATGTTTATGAAAAGTGGGCGATGGAGGGTTGGTGGGATGGTAAGCGAAGTTGAGTCTTGGCGTCTAACGATCGGCATCTGATACGTCATATCCGGCTGGGCAGCTGCGGACTGCAGATCGGGGGCGTGTGCCCTGCCACTGAGTGAATCTGGTCTGCCTTACTACCGTGCTCACAATCATGCAAGCAGTGAATGTCTACAAGGCTGCGCACGACTCGAGATATCTAAAGCTCTTCTACTGCTACTCTAGCCTAACGAACGCAGAAGAAGGCCATACCCTGGCGCGCCTCAGCCGTGGCAGCCTCCAAGTTGCGGTCATCCTCTGTCGTCCACTTATCTTCACCGGAGATCTTACTGACGTCTCCGTTGGCGCCAGCAAATGCAGCATCGAAGCGGCGATGACGGGCAGCGAGTTGGAGCATAGGCCGGGGGTCAGCGTGACCCGTCAGCACGATGAGTGCAGAGTTTGTCGGCAGCGCCTCGTGCAGACGCTGGAGGCGGGCGTTGAAGCGCTCAAGCGCAGCGTCCAGCGCCTCCTCCTCCTGCTCCTCGGCGTTCAAGCTGTCGCTGTTCGAGTTCCAGTTCTGCACATTCGCGAGCTCAGTAAGGCGCGCGAACACATACTCGTGCTTGCCGACCTCCTTGGCAACCGCATCGACGATCTCGTCATCCGACTTGCACGCCACGGCTGTGGTGGCCTTCGCTCCAAACCACGCGCGTGGGTTGCCATAGTCTGCAACGAGGGAACGGCGGGGCTTTCCTCCCATGCGATTCAGGCGCTCGAAGACTGACTCCGAGTCCACGTTGGGATCCCCAAAGTCCGGACCGTGCTGCAGCTTCATACGAAGGAGGTCGACACAGGCTCGCGCGTCCTCTCGCGAGTCGTGCCCAAGGTTGCCCGTCTGAATCTCGCGTCCTAGCCACTTCTTCGTCAGCCACTTGAGAGACGGCTTGTACGGCGGTCCTCGCGCGTGCCGGTAGATGTGCGTTGTATCGATTATAAGAGGATGGCGGATTTTGAGCGTGGCCATGTCGCAGTCCAAGCTGTGGCCCAGGAGGATGGTGTGAGGCGTGATAATGGGGTCGGAACCCGTAACCAGTGCCTCCTGTACACTCTCGAGCGTATAATTGGCTTCTGCCATGCGCTCAGCGGTCATGCCGGACCACCTGGTGTCAGCAGCGCACGAGGTCAAGGACCCACTGAGTCACATAGTCGGTCACCGGTTTTGGAGGCGTCACCAGCTCGTCAAAGACGGCCTCACCCGTCTCAAGGTCGACGACAGACACACGCGCGAGCTCCTGGCCGTCCTCCGACAGGACCTGAAATTAGATTGACGGTCGAATCAGGTCGACATACCATTTCGCAGTCGATCGCGCGAACTGGGTACTCGCCCCCAGGCGGTGGCCCTTCTGCGCGTGGCGTCTCGACCCACCCCTCGTCTGCTCGGACGTTCCCTCGTGTGCGCTGTCCAGCCTCGTTGACCTCGACGTACTTGGTCTGGCTGGCAGCGACCGTGACTGTGCCGGACAACGGACCCTGAACGCCCATCTCTGCGCTTTCTCGTGTCTTGGCAAGAATCTCGGCGTCGCGCGCCGGGACCTCGCCGGGGATGAATACGTGCTCGCTGGGCGTAACGTAAGACGGCAGGCGGTACCCGTTTGTGGCCATCTGCTGCGGCGTGAGGACGTAAAGGAGGGGCGTCGAGTCACGACCCTTCACAAAGCTCGCGTTGAGCTTCTTCATCTCAGACTCGCGTTTCTTCCTGAGTGCGTCCGGCAGAGGACCGCGGAGCAGCGTGCCCATGACGGAATGGAGGCGACGATTGTCGCCTGGGGCTCGTGTGGGACATCCGTACGCCCAAATCTTCTGAGCAAAGGGGACGCGCGAGCCCTCCGCCTGTGTGGGAAAGGGAAGGCGGTCGTTGGGATTTAATGATGGCAAGCCCAGATGCTCTGGGAGAAGCCCAGATGCAAGGACGACCACCGTGTGGGTCACATAGCTTTGATGCTGCGGTCAGCGCTGGACTCGACAACTCTCACGTCAACCACGAGCCACCCAGGCTTTGGAGCCTCTGCTGCAATGTAAAGCGAAAGGTCGCGAATGTGCTGTTGTCAGAACTGCGAGTCGCGCAACGCACTGCAATGCCAATGTGTTTGGCGCCACTGAAGAACGCAGTGTCGTAGTGGAACTTGGGACGGTGCCGATCCAGCTTGCGCTGCTTGCGCTTGTTGACGACTGTGAAGCCATCATCAGCGTCAGATACTCTGCGCTTTTCGGACATGGTGGGTGAGGATGGTGGAGAGTCGTGTTGTGACATTTGATGGTCTGTAGCCATTGTGCGCGGAACTGCATGCATTGATCTTTCGATCATTCTGCGGTGGCAAACTCACCCACGTGGGCGGATGACCTGCGGAGATATCTAGCTGCCCCACTTTCTCTTATCCACATTTCGGCCGCGACCCTGCCCCACGCTGACGATAGTGATATTTCCCGGAAATACGTCAGATGAGCGGACTTGACGCGACGCGACTGCCCATCGTCATGTCCAACCTTCCCTGTCTCCAGAACAAACGCCATGAGCGCCAAACGGCAGGCCGACGTCGTGACCTGCCCCGTATGCCAGCGCAGCGTGCCCGCGGCCGAGATCAACCTCCATCTCGACCTGCGGTGTCCTGGCCTGCCTGCGGCTGGCCCATCCTCGCCACTGCAAGCAAGCGGCACGCAGAGGTCACTCGTGGAAACATCGCAGCCCGAGACGCCGGCGACGCGCAACAATGCCCCCATGTTTCGCTCGCGACCAGCGTCGCAAAGCAACGGGAAAGCAGGCGTGAAGCGTCCAGCACCACCCGATCCAGCAAGGGAAGATAAGAAGCCGCGCATCAACGCGCTCAAGGCTGCCCAACCGTGAGTCCACTGCCCCACATTAGCTGACATACAGGCTTGCAGAACGATCGCGGCCGACCTCTTTGTCGGAATACGTTGGCCAAGGGGACCTTGTTGGGCCGGGGAGCCTATTACGAGCACGCATCGAGGCTGGTGAGGGTGTGGGAAGTTGCATCTTATGGGGTCCTCCGGGCAGCGGCAAGACGTGAGCACTCCCCCTTTTTGGCTAACGCGCAGAACTCTTGCGCGGCTTATCGCACGTAACGCCAACGCCGACTTCCGAGAACTATCAGCCACGAGCTCGGGGACGGCCGACGTGCGCCAGGTGTTCGAGCAGGCGAAGAACGGACTCTCGTTGACGGGACGGTGAGCATGACCGATCTCGGCAGCCTTGTTGACGACAGAAAGACGATTCTGATGGTCGACGAAATACACCGTTTTACACGCCCGCAGCAGGACCTGTTCCTCCCTTACGTTGAGAACGGGTGGGTGCAGCTCATCGGTGCGACAACAGAGAACCCATCGTTCAAGGTGAACGGGGCACTGCTCTCCCGCTGCCAAGTGTTCACGTTGGCCAAGCACACGCCCGAGGACCTGGAACAGATCCTCAATAACGCGCTCAAAGCCGTGCCCGATCCACCACGGCTGCCGGCCGCACTTATACCCTTTCTGTCAGAAGCAGCGGACGGTGACGCAAGGCAGGCGCTCAATGGCTTCGAGCTCGCTCTGCAAGTCTGCGCTATGCCCGTACAGACGACATTAGACGAGGAAGCTGATCTAGAAGCCGCATCAGCCAAGCGCGACGGGCAGCTCATGGAAGCTGTGCGCCGTGGACTGCGGAAGGGCTACAATCGGAGTGGAGATGAGCGTTACGACATGATATCGGCTATGCACAAGTCTATCCGTGGGAGCGACGGTTCAGCTGCAATGTACTGGCTCGGTAAGTGATACTTCTGAGCGTGGTGCTGACTCTCAGCTCGCATGTTGGAAGGCGGCGAAGATCCGCTGTACATCGCACGACGGCTCGTAGTGGTAGCATCAGAGGACGTCGGTCTCGCGAACAATGAGGCGCTGCCGCTTGCCATCGCCGCATATCAGGCGTGCCAGTTCATCGGGATGCCTGAGTGTCGGATCAACCTTGCGGTTCGTGACGACCTTGAATCGCAAACCGCAGAAGCTGACCTCGCAGCACCTAGTCGCGTACCTCAGCGAGAGCCCCAAGTCCACCCGGTCGTACACCGCATACAACCGAGCCGCACAACTTGCGCACCAGACGCCGCTCCCCCCAGTCCCGCTCCAGATCTGCAATGCCCCGACGAAGGTCATGAAGCAGCTGGGCTACGGCCGGGACTACGCTTACAATCCCAATTACGCTGTGAGTAGCTCATGTGACCTCAGGCTGACCACAGCACCCAGTCACGAACGACTATCTTCCGCGCGAGTTGCAAAAGAACTCGTCGCTCTTGCCGGCGCCAACAACACAGAGCATCCTGCGCGTGCCCTCTGCTGAGGAGGAGGATAAGATGTGGGACGAGGGGAAGCTCAAGGAATGGGAGTTAGACTGTAACGGCGGCGTGCCATGGCCGGGGCGGGCAGTGAGGGACGCGAAGCTCATGCGCGGCGAAAGCGTCCACCGGGACTCGCAAGAGAGGCGCGACGCCCCGCCTACTTCCCCCGAGGTGGATAGGCGGCCAGTTAGCGAATCAGTGAAGGATGAGTAGAGGTTGTATCACGCATGTAACTCTACAGCAGCCGACATACTGGCGAGGCGCCGCAAGATCCTGCGCGCACAGTTGCGCCCTCGTCTGTCCTTCAAGCTTGCATTCTGCGCCTACGTCTAGGGGTCCTCGAAGCCGGTAGTTGGGCGACGGGGGCGGTTGGGGACTGAATGTTAGCTGGCGTGCTCTATGGAATGATGCCCGCCGAGCTTCAGCCCGGTAAACCGCGTCCAGCGGACTCGGAAGAGCCGCCTTTCATCGATATATGCACTCACTAGGGTAAGTAGCAGGGATGCGCTCCGCGGGCTTCCAGCCCATCGACTTGCGAATTGGCGGGACGGTGAACACGAGTGCGGGGCCTGGCATCAGCACGGCCGCCTCTATCTCACCCAGCCGCGATCCTTCCCTCAAAAGCACTTACCCGCAAACCCGATGACGAGCGAGTAGAAGATGACGGGCGACTCGTGCGCGTGGCGTTGCTGTCGTCAGCCGAGGTCAAGAGAAGGTCGGGGAGAGCGGGCGGTCGGGTGTGAGCCGCCCCGAGCAGGCAACAAGCGGTGTCGGACAGCGCCGCACCGCGGCGTCCGTTCCGCAGCGCACGCGAGTGGACGTACCAGGGCGCGGTAGAGGCCGGACATGGTGAGCGGAGCGGTGCAGAAGTTGGTTGGGCCGAGTCCGACATGGTCGGTTGAGGATGCTCTCAGCTTTCCCACGGTGCGGTCGCCCAGACCTCCACCGCAGTTCGAGCCACTGCGATGCGGCCAATTTCAGATTCACGCTCTCCGCCACCACTTGGACTCGTCGACACGCGTGTATGTGTGCATCTCACGTACTGATTCTAACTGGAACGCACCGCGGAAGCTAACCACGATCTACGGGGCGACTGTCGATGGACGATGATACTAGGAGTGGGGAGGAACAGGGGGGGTGGGAATTGGATGTGTGGGATTTGGTCACTCACAGCGGACTTCTCGCTCCATTCGCACGACTCGCATCGAACGAACACTGCAAACTGCAATCAGGGGGAGCAGCGCTCCGCACGCCGCGATTACTGGGGATGCGCGAGCTGGTGATGCAGCCCCTGCAGTGCTGAGCTGAGGGCGAGGTTGAGAGTAGAGTGCCACTCGACGGACTCGTCATCGATGAGTTGCAGAGCACGCGCCATGAGGTTCTCGACTACGAGGATGGCCTGGATGATGTCCGGCTTTGACATCTGCTCGCGCATCTTCATGATGATGCCTCCGGCAATGACCATGAGGTGGTGGCGCTCGGCAAAGGGATCCAGAGGAGGGGTAGGGGCGTGCGCGAGCGCCGCGCGCGCCAGAGGCATGCACAGGGACTCGAGATGAGCTTGGCAGATGTTAGGCTGCCCGCCTATACCATGGGCTGCATCGTGCGAATGACCTTCATGGGTGGGGGGCGCGTTGGTCACGAAGACGGGAAGCAGGCCGCGCGCGACCACCGTGCCGTCGGGGTACGGCCAGTTCGGGACGGGAAAGTGGACGCTGATGTAGTAGGGTATGGCGGACGGTATATGGGCGGGAGGGCGATCGGCATGAGGCTCGGGGCCACTGGTGTCGGTGGTGCGCTTGTGAGCGATCCCAAAGCAGTGACTCACGGTGTGGCAGTGTCGGGTGGGTACGGCGGGGGAGGGGAGGCGCCAGCGGGATAGCTGTCCTCCGAGAAGTCGGGGGGTAACATCTCTGCGAAGCCTGTGGATGAATAATGACAACGAGGGGGAGGGGCACCCCTACTTATACCTATTCAAGGGGGTGGGAGCGGCACGGAAGGCCCCCCAACTTGGCACTCGGTCGCGAGTTGTTCGTATGACTGCGGCGGGCACACACACAGACACAGGCGTGTGACACAGCAGCGTATGTGCGGGTTCGCGCACTCGCCCGCGACTCGACCGAAGGCGCGACTGCCTCCGTGTCCTCAGCGGAGGACAACAGAGTGGTAGGGAGCACGACCTGCTCGCCCCCGCCTTGCACGCTTTGAAGTACAATCACGCTGGCTCGCTTCTCGGGATGATCACTTGTCTCGCACGGCAGCTTGGGAGCCCTTCCATCGCTTCTCAATGATTGATCAATATCGGATCCTCTTATCCTGTCTACCAGCGCTTGACCTCTCGGTGTTTTACTCTCGGTTAGAACTCCCGTACATGTCATGTCCTCTGGCCAGCGAACAGCCACCCATTCGACTTTGCGGGAGTAGCGAGACTTGCATCACCTTGTCCAGACTGACTGTTGTGAACAGTGGATCCTCAATTCAGCTGTCCATGATTAGCTGATGCCAGACGCCTGTGCTGTCTAAGCCCCAAGACACTAAAGAAGAAGACTCGGACACGCTTCAATCGGACACTCGTGACACGGCTGTAGCCTGGAAGACCATCTCCTGCGGCGTCGCTTCTCAGCAAACGGCAGCGAGTGCTCGCACCTCCGCTCCGAGCCTGGTCCCTGACCCGACGTGCAGCTGTACCGCTCGGGAGATGTCATTCATATTCATCACCCATCGCCACCTCTCACACCCCCTGGCCCCCCGGCATCACGAAGTCCCTAGTAACCACCACTTCATCCCCATACCGCACTACGCACAGTATGAATTTCACCCCGCGCGATAATACGCACCGCGGCCTGCCAGCGGCTCCAGCCATTACTATCACTTCGCCTGTGGCTCGCGGCGGCGAGTTTGTGAGAGGCGGTAACCCCTCATCCCTTGTAAGAGGCAGTAAAATTGCTCGGCCTTGCAGTGACTTGAGCTGAAGTCGGAAGTTGAAGGGTAAAGCATGGGGTTTCTTCGAAGAGTCTACGACTATCGGTAAGGAGGATTGGAAACAGAACTCGCGCTGAGTGATTCACGTCCTGGAAAACGAAGAACCGGGGCCTTAGGCAATGCATACATCCCCAATTTCTGTCAGACCCACATTCCAACACACCTGCGAGGTATTCATGCTCGTTTGAAGTGCTCGTGAGAGATTGTCAGGTGAAACGCACTCATGGTCGAGTGGTCACCCTCCACTTGCTACAGGCACGAGCGGCATCAAAATGTTGAGTGGTCTCCCACGGTGAGATATTCCTGGGCGGCAAGATTTTCCTCGCCCCCCGTCAAGGTCGGTGGCTGGCGGCCTCCCCGCGGAGAGCAAATATCAACTCTCATCCTCCCTCCCCTTCATACCAAAACTTGCTTTCACCATGGGCAAGGGCAAGAACACCGTCAAGAAGGAGGGTCATGGGCGAGTCAAGGGCAAGTCCGCCTCGGGCTCCAAGCTCGTCGGCGAGTTCGCCACCGGTGTCACGCGCGTCAAGGGCGAGAACTTCTACCGCGATGCCAAGTCGGCCTCCCGCGTCAAGATGCTCAACGGTGGCAAGGCGGTGCGCGACCGCGACGGCAAGATCGTCAAGGCCGCCGCCTTTCAGTCCAAGGAGGCCGAGCCGGGGCGCGTTCAGCCCGACAAGCGGTGGTTCGGCAACACTCGTGTGATCTCTCAGGACGCCCTGGACCACTTCCGTACTGCCCTCGCCAACCACAAGAACGACCCGTACTCGGTTCTGCTCAAGCGCAACCGCCTGCCTATGGGTCTTATTCAGGACGAGAGCAAGAACGCCAGCGGCAAGCGTCCCCACATCGTCGACACCGAGCCGTTTTCCAACACATTCGGACCCAAGGCGCAGCGTAAGCGCCCCCGCCTCGACACCGGCTCGTTCCTCGAGCTTGGCGAGTCGACAGCCGCAATCGATGACGCAGAGGATGAGGCCGCCGCTATGATGACGCTCGAGGAGGCGCAGGCAGCTAAGGAGGCCGCGAAGGAGGCGGCGTACGGCAGCACTCGGTCGCTCGTCTCTGCCCCCATATACCAGAAGGGCACGTCCAGGCGTATCTGGGGAGAGCTCTACAAGGTGCTTGATTCGTCGGATGTCATCATCCACGTCCTCGATGCCCGTGATCCCCTGGGTTCCCGTTGCAAGCCTGTTGTCGACTACATCAAGAAGGAGAAGAGCCACAAGGCTCTGATCTACGTTCTCAACAAGGTCGACTTGGTGCCGACTTGGGTCACAGTGAGTGTCTTGTCCCGGTTGTCTCAATCCCTCATATGCCCCCCCTTCCATCCCACACTCCTGTCAGGGTGATTGTGCAACTTTCCTACACAATTGGCTGTTACGAGAGTGGAAGAACGAGCGTCTCCCCGCCAGTGCCCCACCTCCGTGCCCGTCTTGGGTTTCGGAGGCCACAAAGTCGTCATCCGTTTTGGATGTTTGGCGAGGAGTCAAGGGGAGACGATGGAGAACCGATAGAGTTGGAGTCTGGACCGCCTCTGTGCAAATTTCGTCTGGGTTCCTTAGTTTTGGATCGTACATCTCTTGGCTTTATGTCTTATCGCGCTTGCGCTCACACTCTAGGCTCGCTGGCAGAAGCACCTCTCGCTGTCGGCGCCCACCATCGCCTTCCATGCGGCCATCAACAACTCATACGGCAAGGGTACCCTCATCCAGCTCCTGCGCCAGTTCTCGGTGCTGCACTCGGACAAGAAGCAGATCTCGGTCGGCTTCATCGGGTATCCCAACGTCGGCAAGAGCTCCATCATCAACACTCTGAAGAAGAAGAAGGTGTGCACCGTCGCTCCTATTCCCGGAGAGACCAAGGTGTGGCAGTACATCACCCTGATGCGCCGCATCTACCTTATCGACTGCCCCGGTGTTGTGCCCCTCAGTGCGAAGGACTCGGAGTCGGACACGGTGCTCAAGGGCGTCGTGCGTGTCGAGAACCTCGAGACGCCCGCCGAGCACATCCCGGAGCTCCTGAAGCGTGTGCGCCAGGAGTACATCCAGCGGACATATGGCCTGGAGCCGCGCCCTGAGGGCTGGCACGGCGAGGAGGGTGCGACGATTCTTCTGAGCTCTATCGCCAAGAAGTCGGGCAAGCTACTCAAGGGTGGCGAGCCCGACCTCGAGAGCGCGGCCAAGATGGTGCTCAACGACTGGATCCGCGGCAAGATCCCCTACTTCATCGCGCCTCCTGCCAAGGCGTCCGACACGGACATCGCCAGCGAGGGCGTCATCACTGAGGCCACTGGCGAAGCGGCGAAGCTCCTCGAGGAGCAGGAGCGCGAGCTTGGCAAGGTGCTCGGCGAGAAGCGCGTCAAGGGCGTCAAGCAGGAACTCAGGGCGATTATCACCATGCCCAAGTTTATGGGCGACGACGCCAAGCGCCCTGAAGGCGAAGAGTCTGACGAGGAGATGGCCGATGGCGAGAGCGAAGACGCCGCGGCCGTCGATGAGGAGGTCGACGAGGACATGGAGGACGACGAGGAGAGCGACGACGAGGCAGAGGATGAAGACGACGAGGACGATGATGAAGAGGAGGCGGACGGCGACGACGACCTTGCTTGGGAGGACGTCTTCCCTGATGACGCCGACACCGACGCCCCGCCTAAGAAGAAGACCAAGCGCGCCGCCGAGGCCGAGGCTGAGGTTGAGGCTGAGGACGACGAGGATGAGACGTCATCCAAGGGGAAGCGTATGACTACCAACAAGAAGAAAGCCACCAACTTCTACACCTTTGCCGTGAGTCGACTCGCGTACCTCACAGGTCAAAAGCTGACATACAGAACGTCAAGAACCGCAACCGCGACCGCAAGACGCCCAAGAACCCTAGCGTGCGCGAGCGCGGGCGTGACAAGAAGAAGGCGGCGCCACGCAAGTAGGCTGCTTCCTTTACGTTGTGTTGGGTCATTGGAGATCTTGTAGCGATCGGTCGGGCTGGCGTCTTAGATGCCTAGACTTTGTGTAACATTGTTGTATCCTAATGCATACGATGTGTCATCTGTGCCAACAAGAGTAATGATGTGGAGAGATTCTTGCTGCTATGCGCCGAGCATTGCTCCTAGGTCGTCTTGACAGGCGCGAAGCAGCCCAGTATACCCGTGTGCATGAGTACCTGCGCGAGTGCTTCCTCGGGCACGCGCGGGGCAAGTCGGGTTATGGCAGGGCGATGGTGTGGAAGTTTGGGAACACGAGCTCGTCCACGAGCGTCTTGCGAACTACGTCGACGATGAAGCGCTCAACCTTGCCGACATTGCGGAGGACATGGGCATCTGCATGCCCTATTTCGCTCTCGATGTGCAGATGGGGGAGGATGCGCTGGCCCGGCGTGACGGGCTGATGGTGGCCGTAGGCGTACGGGGCATTGTGGTCGTGCTTCTCAGGGGTAGTGCCATCGTCGCCAGTGTCCACGATAGTGATGTGCACGCGATTCTTTCTTGACGAGTATGCAATGACAACGTCGGCTGCGAGGGTAAGGCCTGTGATGACGAGCTTGAGCGGGAGACTCATGAATAGCGCAGAAGGGTAGTTGACCTGAAGGGAGGTGAAGAGCGTGAGGCTGAGGTCGGCGGCATGCTCGACTCGAAGGTGCATCTGCACTGGTGGAATGGAGCCGGAGCGGTCATTTTCAAGACCTGCGGGACGCACTGGCGGGCTCGGGGGCGGAGAGAAGGGCAAGGCAGCCGAGTCGCGTCGCGCCTGCCCTGTTCCCGTCTGCGTTGTTGGTCGCTCGTCCACAAACTCGTTGCGCGAGTGTACACGGCTCGGCGGGAGGGAGGCACGCATTGGGGAGCCAAAGGGACGGCGAATGGCGAGGCCTCCAACGCCCAACCCGACGCTGGCGACAGACCGACTCCCTACGCCGGAATAGACACTTTCCCCTTCGTCATCGTCGGGAGAGCCTAACCCGGAGAGAGCCGGGGCGCGCTGTGGCGCGCTCGCGTGCGACGGATACCGACCTCTTCGGGGACGGGGAGAGATTGGAAGCGGGTGGTGGAGTGGCGTGTGGGAGGGGGGATAAGCCTGTGCATGGACATGAGCATGAGCATGGGAATAGGAGAGGTGAGCGGCATATGGCGGGGGCGGAGAGCGAAGGGGATCGTCGAAATCGACGCCAGCGAGCTGAGCGGCCTCAAGCTCGCGCGCCTCGATCTCGGCGTCGCCCTCCTCGTCGCCCTCGTCGAATGCGCGCCACACGTCCCGGATGTCCTTGATCTCGACTGAGGGCCCAATCTTGCCAAAGTCGAAGGAGGAGACGGTCACGGGCCCAAGGAAGGATGGGCGGGCGGCCGTGTTGAGCTGCGCATTCAGCGCGGCCATGAGGCCGTCGGCGAGCGCCTGACCCGTTGGGGACGGCTCGGAGAGGAGAGACCAGTCGATTTCCACGGACATGGTGTTCACGCCCGTGGGCGCATGGTTGGAGCAAGATTGGGTGGCGGATCTGAGGTCCAGGTGGATGCGCAATTGAACAAACAGCGGCGGTGCAACTTTAAAGGGGCTGAGCCGACGCGAATGTGGAGGCAATATGGCTGCAAAAAGCCGCGGCGGGGGATCGAAGTCTGTCCCTCGCCCCACTCAGTTGGCATCCGGAGTCCACAGACTCTGCGATGAGGGGGCTGGTGCTGCGCACGCGAACAATCAGAGCACAGTTGCACCATGGTACAACCGTGAATAGCGACCAAGCACCCGAGACGTCCTCGCAGCTACTTACTGCCCCAGTCCTCGACTGATACCCTCGGCGTGCGACTGCCCCACTCGCCTATCATCAATCTCCACCTCTTCCAGTCTGGATCGAGGCCTGCTTCAACCCCCCACCTCCTGCCTCCTGCCTCCTGCCTCCTGTCCGTTGCATACTGCATGTCTCTCTCAGGAGCCAGCAGCACCACTCGCTCCGAGACCATTGATTCACTAAGAGGTCAATGGGCCAATGCCTTTCCCGGCTGCCTCGGTCCTTGCTTCCTGTGCCGAGCATAAATCCGCAGGTGCCACATGTCTGCTACAAGCCAGCTTTGGCACTTGGATAATCTGGACTTGGTCCATTTATCAGATGCGCGCTACCAGCTTTGGGCGTCTGCCTTCCTTTCCTCTCTCTCTCTCTCTCTCAATGTCTGGTTGGGCCGAGTCTGAACACGTCCTTAATCATACCACCGTCACTCCCGACAACATCATCTGCGCCTTGAGACCATACGTACAGCATGCCGGCGGTTCGCGCACCGTCTTCGGTATAGAGCAGCTACGTTGGGTCTCCGGCTCTTACGAAAGCTCCAACTTTGAATCTTCACAATCGGTTATTCTTGACCTCGTCCTCCACGAAATTTCCACCGTTACTCGTGGTCGGCCTGTTGACGAGACCGACACCTCCATTCAGGACCCTGGCTCGCCCCCTACCATTGTCTACCGCAACTTGCGCGAATACTTCGAGAGTTTGTGGGTTTTCTTCGAAGTACAGTGGAGTATATAAACGCAACAACCGGAGTGAGCATCGTAAAGTAACGGTTGACGTAGCCATCGCAGTCTCATGAGAATGCACTCCTGGCATTTTGCTGCAGGCAATCGTGCGACAGGAAACGAGTGTGTGGTGATGCTCCGGCGATTGGTGCACATGGTCACCAAAGTCTGCGCAAAAGCAAATCAGGCAGTGGCTTCACGATAAGAGGCAGCATGCACAGCCCACTAATGACTGCCGCAAGCTCTGCATTGCCTGTCGAGCACGATGGAACATGGCTGTGACTTTAGTTCCATACAACACAGCCAGCCAAGTCCTCCGCCCCCTGGTACGTGATACGGTGTGACCTCCCATGCCACAAAAAAAAAACCCCACGTCCCGCCCCACTACCTGTTCCATTGATCCTGCTACCCCAAGATTCCTGATGCAGTGATACTCTAAGGTGAAGGACGGAAACGGTCGGAGTGGGGCATAGCACAACACAGGGCCTCCTTAGCTCAGTGGTAGAGCGTGTCACTAGTATCTGGATCACAGAGCCGTTTCATGACAAGGTCAGTCGTTCAAGTCGGCTAGGAGGCAAATTGAGTACTTTTTGGAGTTGTTTAGGCGAGTGAGATTCGAGCGGCGGCCATGACAGGCGCTGCACATGAGCATGTGAACCTCGGAAGGCAATGGAGAACGGTAGTCTGTGGAGGAGGACGAAACGATGAAGGTCCTTGGTTCATCACGCTAGAGAACCCTTTGCGGTCTGCGTACCCATCTTTGGTTGGGGTTTCACAAGCGCGCGCTACGCCCTGCTTCCACTGACGCCAGCTACACGTGTCTCAATGTCCAAGATATCTATCCCAGACTCTATTATCTAAGTGGAGGACCTAGTCCTCGGCCTCAACCATCCAGTAGGACGGGGCGTCAAGCTGGCGTCAGTTCATGCGCAACCGGACGGCCCCACCTTATCAGCGCCGTGGAGGAACGGCAGCCCCACAACGAAGAGGTACTCGAGCGTCTTGCCGCCCGCCTTGCGGATAAGCTCGCCCGCCGCCGCCGCCGAGCCGCCCGTGGCGATGAGGTCGCTGGGGTAAGCTGCATACTAGAGAAACATACTCGACGACGATGACCGTCTGGCCGGGCTTGATCGCGTCCTTCTGCATCTCGAACCGGTCGACCCCGTACTCCTTGGTGTACTCGGCGACATTGCACTCTCCGGGGAGCTTGCCGACCTTGCGGACGGGCACGAACGCCGCGCCGAGGCGCATGGCGATGATCGGGCCGAAGAGGAAGCCGCGCGCGTCGAGGCCCACGATCACGTCCGGCTTCACGCCGGGGTGCACCTGCGCGATGTGGCTCAAGAAGTGGGTGATGAGCATCTCGAAGGTGAACGGGTCGCGGAGGAGGCTGGGGTCAGCTGTGGGCGGGCGGGAGCGGGGGCGAGGGTGGCCATCACACGGCGAGAGGGCGGAACGGTGACGCCGGCGCTGGGCGAGTTCGAGGCCGGCTCCGCTCGCTTGCTGGGTTGGCGAGCGCCAGGCGCCGAGGCGGAGCTGGGAGCACACCGACTCACGGGAAGATGTCGATGAACGTGATCCCCTCCTTGGGGAAGCCGGCGTGGACGCCCAGCTGGGACTTGAGGTACGAGACGTCGGACATGGTGAGCAGGGCGATAATGACAGCGTACACACACGTTTCACAACAAAAATCCTGGAAAATGTGCTTTACGTAATGCAGACCGCTATCGGCCCACGTGGTTTCAGTTCAGGCATGCCACAGCACGGCTAGCTGTACGTATGTACTTTAAGCTGCAGACAACAGCTATGCGACAACAACGGGCAGACATGATGGTGCACGGGCGCAAGGCGACGCGTGAAGCCCGCCCAGGTTGGTGTGACATGACCTGTTGGACAGGTGCTGTGCCACGAGTGTCGTTCCACCACAGTGTGCTGTGCCACGTTCAGATGTAGAGAGCAGGTGGCAGCTACTGCATCGTTTCTATATACAGCTTGGTCCTTCTTGACAGACAGCCGCGAGTGCCTACGCCGTGGACTTCCACGCGGCGGCCGCGTCGCGGCGCTTGCGTGCCTCGTCCGTGGCAGCGCGCGCCTCAGCGGCCCTGGTGCGGCTCTCGTCGGCAGATACGCGCGCCGCGGCGGCGGCAGCACGAGCGGCGTCCGCGGCGGCTCGGGCGTCTTGCGCGGCAGCAGGAGCGGCCGCCGCAGCATGGCTGGCGGGAGGTGCGGGGGGCGCGGCAGAGTCGGCCATATTTGTGGTATGGGAGTCACCGGGGAATGCGGGGATGGAGAGGTCTGTGAGGTCGGTGGGTGCGCTCGAGACGGTGGTTGCAGCGGTCGAGGTGGTCGCGGTGGAGAGTGGGCGGGGAGAAGGATGAGCTGGCGCCTTGCGCTTTGAGCGGAGGATGTTGCGGAGGTGCGAGAGTGTGGGGAGGGGCATGGTGCGTTGAGAAGACTTTGGATGTTGAGCTGCAGGTCACGCACGGATGCGCACGGGCGTTTGGTGCGTCACGATTTCGCCGCACGATCACGTTCTCACGGTTGCTGCGGGTGCTTGGGCCGTGGTCGCAAGCACATGGCGTTCGATGCGCAGTGCATCGTCTGCAAGGGAGCGGCAACGAGCGCAGCTCCATGACATGTAGATCAAGGAAGCAGCGGGTCAGTGGGTCAGTGTAAGCAAGATGACCCAAGCTCTCCTCCCTGCCGCCCGCGTCGCTTCGTGGAACCTCCTCTGCTCTCCTGGTGCTTCTCCTGGGGGCCGAGCATCAGGAGAGCAGAGGAGGTTCCACGAAGTCTGGATCAGCAGTGTCAGTGCCAATGAGTCCTCACGCAGCGAGCTTGGCAAAGCTCCTACGTGTCCCACTCTGTAGTCGGGCCCAGTCACCCCCGCGCTATCCAATCCTGTGCATCTGTGTCTGTATCTTGCCGCTACACTCTAGCCCAGGCCTATGCCTAGACGATCTCGTACTTGTCCACCGTGAGCACCTTCTCCTGGGAGAACGTGGCGTCGCCGCCTGCGAGCAGCTGCGCGGTCGCGACATCAATGTTGGCGAGCGAGCCGGCGGCAGCAAAGCCCACGTTGACGGGGAAGAAGGCGTCGGCGTCGCCCTCGCAGCGGAACTCGAGCGAGCCGCTCGGCGCGTCCGCGTCGACCTGGTCGATCGTCCAGGTGAACGCGCCGCGGTCCGCGCTCCAGTTGGCGTCGCTGTCCGCGACGACGGGGAGGGCGTTGGGCGGAATCGGGATCGAGATGACGAGGTTCCGGATCGTCAGGTGCTGCGCCTCGAGCTCGTACTCGATCGCGACGTCCGACGAGCCGTCGCCCCGGCCCTGCGGCCACACCGTGATGGTGATAGGCACATTGCTCTCGTCTTTGCTCGCCAATCTCCACCGGAGGACCTTGAGGCCCTGCCCGACAGGGAAGGAGCGGGTCGCATCCTTGAGCGCAATGATCTTGTCTCCTTTGGGCGCAAACTTGGCAACGTTGGGGTGCTGCCGGAACTGAAGGTCCGAGTAGTCGTTGGGTGTGAGTGTGAGCTTGAGCTTGGCCTGGTCGGCATCGGCGATGCGCAGATCCAGGTCACCCTTCAGCTCAAAGTTCTCCAACCCGCCGTCACGGTGCATCGTGACCGACAGCTCCTCCTTGATCGTGACGTGCACGCTGCCATCAGCTTCGTCCATGGCTCGCAGCTCACCTCTCCTTCTCCACTGCGTCGAGGACATCGGCGGACACGGCGACTTCCGGCTCTGGCTCCGGCTCCGGCTCCGGCTCTGGCTCCAGCTCGACCTCGTTGCCGAGCGCCGACATGAGGTCATTCTGGCGCCCCTTCTTGCCGAGCTTCATGCCGCTACCCTTGAACACTGGCTTGGACGCTGCTGGTGCAGGCGACGATGTGCGGTAGTCCTGCTGCGGCGCCTCGAAGCGCGGCGTCGACGCGACAGGCGTGTATCCGCCGGCCATGCCCCCGTATCCGCCGCCCATCCCCCCCATGCCGCCGCCCATGCCCCCGTGACGCGATGCCTGCGCGAGGCGCTGCTGCTCACGACGCTGCATCTCGAGCTGCTTGGCGCGACGCTTCAGCTCCTCCTTCGCCTCGGCCTCCTTGTTGCGCGCGATGATCTCCTGGATCTTCTCTTCGTGCGACTCGCCCTCAAGCACGCTCCGCACCTGCTGCAGCGACACGTTCTCCTTGTAGCCGAGCGAGACGACCTCGTCGAACGCGCACAGCAGGTCGAACGCGTGGTGCAGAATCGCGGCCTCGGTCATCGCCGGGGTCAGCGACGAGATGAGGCGCACTACCAGCGACAGCGTGTTAATGTCCTGCAGGATGTTGCTGCCCTTGTTCGTGATCAGGAGCACAAACAGCTCCTCGAAGGGCTGGTACACAAAGCGCACATCGTTGGTCTCGACGGTCGTGTGCTGCGAGTTGGCAGGGATGAGCTTGGGGAACGACGCGAGCAAGCCGTCGATGCGCGAGCGTGGGATGGGGCGGAACTGTCGAGAAAGCAGCGCTGGGATCAGCGCGTCCCCATGTTGCGACACTCACGCTTCCCGCTTCGGGTCGTGATGGACGCGGCAAGAACGACCTAAAAGTCAGAGACTGCATTGCGTGCTATTCGCTGCGGCGCTCACCATGTTGGTGCGCTTCCTGCAATGTCTTGTTGTGGATGCGAGTTGGAGTTGTGGTCTTGCACGCGTGGACGTGGAGGCGTGGAGGGTCGAAATGGCGGTCGCGTTAAGTGGGTGGTGAATTTATGTTTGAGCCCGAATCTCGGCTTCCACTCTTGGTCAGCTCACCGGTTCGATAGAGGTCGAAGAAGATGTTAGACCTGTTATCCCTCTGTCAAGCTGTCAAGGGTATAATTGCGATGGGTCCACACGTGAGCCACGACTGAGTTCGTGGATGAATACAAATACATATGCACGTTGCTATGCGGACTATATGCTGCTACAGACAAACACTCAGTCGACCATCATCGGTTCCTGCTTTACTGGCGGATTCAAACGTTTGGAAGGCGACGCGCTACGCGACTTGGACTTGGTCCTGTCACGTGCCGGATCGCTCGGAGGACGGAAGAACGCCGCAGCGGATGGGACAATCGGCCCCGAGGAAGAGCTAGGTCCAGCGTCCAAACTTGGGCGGGGCGAGAGGCGTGATGGGCCGCGGTCTGGCGGCTTGGGCGCACCGAGGCGGAGCATCACCTTGGGCGAACTCGCTGCGCCGGGCGACGACTCACGGGCATCGACAATTCCGGGAGCCTTTTCGTTAATCTTGATGCGAAGCGCTTTGGCACCCGCCGACTCGCGCGGGAACTTCTCGCCCTCGACGTGTCGGACAACCTTCTTGCCCGAAGGTAGGCTTCCCTTGCTCCAGCGCTCCGTGCCGCGCGGACCAGAGTCCCACGTCGCGCGGAAATAGAGCTCTGGCTCTTCGCCCGTCGCCTTTCCGCGCGCCTTGGCGAGAGCGCTCTCGTCCGCACCGCGCACGGCCGGGCCGAACAGAATTGGGCCGGAGTCGTTCTGTTGGGCCTGGGGCGGCCGCAAGGCTGTGAGTCGTTCGCGTAATGATGGAGGAAGGTAAGGTGAGCGAATTTGTTGAATGAGCGACGAGATGATACCGTTCTGGTGTGGATTAACGGGTAAGAGTTTCGGCGGAAGGCTCTCCGAGTGTGAGGGCACGATAGGTGATATGTGAGGGGGAGGGAGAGGGATGGAAAGCGTGTCTTTGGGCGTGAACACTTCGGGGTTGCCGACAAGTAGACGCAAGAGATCGGCTGCCTGCCGGCGCCCGTCTGTCTGTCGCAGCGCAAGTGAAGGCTCGCCTTTAACTGCTTCGTAGGTGGATATGAGAGCGGGGAATGATGTTGGAGCGTGAGGCAGCTCTGCATGTGGCGTTGTGCGCGGTGGATCGACCCACTCGTGGTTTTCCGCAAGAGTAGAGGAAGCGAATGCAATCGGGCGGCGATACCGGTCGGCCACAGACTGTGGCGCGGGGGCGCTATCCATTGGTGCTGCCACTGTCCCCAGCCCACTAGCGCCCACAACCATGTTGTCGGTTGGCAATGGCGGGAGCCACGACATGTCGGGCGAATTTGGACGGTAGCGCGTGCGCAACTCCCAATTCGCACCTTCCTCCTCACGCTCCTCGGTCTTGACCTGGACATCAATGTCCATTACTTTGTCCTCCTGGAATGCATCCTCCTCGTCGTCAACATCGGATTCGTCGTCAGTCTCGACAGGCACAAAGTGCGCCTCGATGCCCTCGTTGATTAAGAGTCCGTCGCGTAGATAGCCTGGACTAGTCAGGCCGGTTTTAGGGGCGCGTATTACTCACTCTCCAGCTCGTCCATCTTTGTGCCGACAAACGATACCTCCTTGTCGAGGCTTACTGTCCATTCCTGCAGCTCGCCAATGCCCCCCACCCCAAGGTCCTCGAGGGTACCAACCACATCGATAGCGGCGACTTTGGAGCGACCTGCGAGAGCAGCGCGTTCGGTGCACTCAGCGGCGACGAGTCGAAGGTAACGGGCGAGGAAGGCGGAGAGGGTTAGGGAGGCAGCGCGGGACGTGGACGCAAACCCAGCATGTGCAAGGGTGTGGAGCGCTGCGAGATGTAGCACGGCGTCCGGCGACGCGGCCATGGTGGTCGTGTGCTTGGGATGTTATTGTTGATGGGATGTGGAATTGGTTGGGTGAAACGGAGCGATCGATGTCAACAAGTGGCAACAGAGGAGCAGCCAGCAGGCTACCAGGGGTGGAAGCAGATTGAGCATGCCGCGGCTGGATATGACGGAATGGCCACGTTGTGCCACTTTCGGCGTTTTCGGGTGTGAATAAATTGTTGAACTGTTCAGTCGGGAGTCAGTTTTGTAGAGGGTGATTAGGAATGATTAGTAAGTGATAGGATAGGGTACGGTGATGGTTGTGTAATGCGGGGTGGAGAGACGACACGGGGGCGAGAGTAAGGGGGCGTAGAGAGGGGCCAGAGGAGAGGGGGACGGGCGGGAGCAGAGGCCTCTGAGTGTGCTTCCCTCCAGCCAGGAGAGGAGGTTGGTGCATCGCTGGCCCGGTGGGTGCGCGGGGGAGAGACGCCCTTAGCACGCTGGGTGATTGGATATCTACCCCCCGCCTTTTCCTTCATCCATCCTCTTCTAAAATCTACTCTCGACAAGTCCTCTCTCCCTCCTCACCCAAAACTCTTATCAAGTGAGCTCGCGATCACCTCGACATCCTCAGCCCCATCCCTACTTCCAACACACCACACTAACACTTCCAGAAATGTCCGACGACGAGCACCACGAGACCTTCGAGTCGGCCGGCGCCGGTGAGTAGTTCGATGTACTGTTGTCCCATCCCACCACGATGGGCAACAGTTGGGGGTGCGGGGGCACTCCAAGTCCCTCTCACCCAACCTTGGTCCGCGAACTAGCGCTGACAATGCAGGCGCCTCGAAGACCTTCCCGTGCGTATTGATGCTGTCCAGCACCGCGTCTGGCCCTCAGCCGATGGACCCAAAAGGTCGTCGGAAGGAGGCCAGGCGCTGTGAGGATTCCCACTGACATGACAGGATGCAGTGCTCGGCTCTTCGCAAGAACGGCCACGTTGTCATCAAGGTGAGTGCGATGAGCGATGGCGAGCAGCGAGATGGTCGGACATGGGTCATACTGTTGCCCACGAGCCAGCAAGTTTGATGAGAGCTCAGGGACTCCTGACGCTATCACTTAGCTCTTAGGTCTCGGGTGACTGTTGACCACAATTTCCACCACTGTCAACCATTTTGCTACATTTATTGAGCTCGTGAGATCACAGCTGACATCAACAGGGCCGCCCCTGCAAGGTATGCATCGCATCGCCGGCGCTAGGTGACGGCGAGGAGCGGTAACAGTCACTTTGGATTAGCAACTGCGTCTCACCTGATCCAACACGTCATCAGCATAGTCCGGAATGGAGAACTAACGCCATGTAGATCGTCGACATGTCGACCTCGAAGACCGGCAAGCAGTGAGTCTATAACCGCACCGCTGCTATCTAGGATACATCTAATATTCCAGCGGTCACGCCAAGGTCCACCTTGTTGCCATTGACATCTTCACCGGCAAGAAGCTCGAGGACATTTCGCCCTCGACCCACAACATGGACGTCCCCAACGTCCGCCGCACTGAGTACCAGCTCCTCGACATCCAGGACGGCTTCCTCTCGCTCATGGACTCGGACGGTGGCATGAAGGACGACGTCAAGGTCCCCGACACCGACATCGGCTCTGAGATCCAGAAGGCCTTTGACGACGGCAAGGACCTCATGGTCACCATTGTCGCCGCCATGGACGAGGAGCAGGCTATCACGTGGTAAGTTGTGGCGAGCGCGGGCGCAGCTGCCCAGCGCCTCGCCGTCCTACTTTTTTTGAGCACTTGGCTGACAACGCAGGAAGGAGGCCCCCCAGGGCAACTAGATCTGATGACGTGGGTACAGTGGGCGAGGCGACAGGCCTTATCTGTCGATTTAAGCCATGCATCCTTGTTTCTTAATTCCAATGTGTGGTAAATTGTTTGAGAGCGAGGTTCTCATGCGAGAGAAACAGCCGATCGCAGGCGGCATGGGTGGAAGTGTGCAGTTGAGACAGACAGCAGTAAATCAGGAGATGAGGCATGTCTGGCGTGCGCCACGGACGCCGTTGTGCTCCAGCTTTAGCGGGCGCTGAGGGAGGGAGTGCGCACTCTGAGACTGAGGAGACTGAGGAGACCGAGGAGTCTGTCCACGGCTCAGCCGTCGTTCATCGCCCGATCACTCAGACAACATAGAAGTCACCCACATTGCGAGCGTGGCGATCGGGCGGCGGAAGCTAATTGCCCAGCCACAAGGGTGGAGGTCGCCCATCCAGTGCTTGCTTGCACAGTCATCGTCACAACATTCTCCAGACACCATGACAGACGACTACGAGCCTGGCCACCCCGACGCCACGATTCTCGTGCTACACGAAGCCGAGCTCGATCCGTCTCCGTTTCTCTCTCGTGCGTGCCCGGCCTTACCTCTGACGATTCTGACGAAAGGCATCATAGGAGAGGAGACCAACGGAAGCGGCGCCGAGCAAGCGGACTCCGAGGCCGAGGCGGGATTGACGCCCTGGACGATCTCGAACAAGTACTACACTGCTTCGGTCTCGTTTCGCGCACACCCGCTGCACCTTCCCCTGCCAGATCCACACCCCGTTGTCCTCTACCTCTTCTCCGGCGCCGCGCCCAGCCCCCTTCCCCCCGCACTGACGCGTCTTTCCGTCGCAGATCCGGCGCCAGATATCGCGCTCGCAGTGCGTCTCGGAGCCGATTCCTCTCCAGAAGACGACGAGGAGCGCTTCAATGAGCTGGGCTTCGAGCTGGTGGATGAGGCAGGCGATCCAGAAGACGATGACGAGCGACGTGCGTTCCGCCTTCCCTCTCCTCGGAGCTAACTCCAGCACTCGATCCTCTCGAGACCGTCCGCCAAACACTCATGACTCACATGTGGCCCACGATGGTGCGCAAGGCTCCCGGCCGCCACGCCGCTGGGCCTGAGCAGAGGTTACCCCCCGGTGCGGAGCCGCGGGAGCGCGTCCCAACCATGGACTACGCGACCTTCCCCGTCACTTTTGGCGCTGGAGCTGACGGGGTGGAGGAGCGTCCAGCTGGGCCTGCGAGTGACTTCCCCGTTGGATGTGATGCCGTGTCACAAGATCCTGCGGCACAAGATGCGGACGAGGATAGCGATGACGGATTTGGGGACTTTGAGGGACCCGGTGCGGAGGAGTACGCACGCCTTGACGAGTGGCTCGATGGCGATGGCGATGAGGATATGCCTGTCGTCCGGGGCGAGGCCACCTCAACGCACGCCCCCGCGACGGCGCACACCGCCCCAGCCAGCTCTGCTCCTCCCGCTGCTACCCTCAACGGCACCAGCACGGCCCCAACCACTGGCTTCGAGGACGATTTCGATGCCCACGAGGCCAGTTCCGACCCCAACCTCCCGCTCGATCCCACGCCAATTCTCCTGCATCTGCAAAATGTGCGTGCCGAGCTCGCAGACGTCGAGGACGAGGACGAACGGCGCGTGCGTGCGGGCGCCGAGGTCGCGCGTCTGATGCGCTCCCTAGGTCTTGGAGGGGATGACCTGGGACTGGACGAGTTTGACGACGACGATCTCCGCATGCCATAACCAACGGCGTGCTGGGGACTGCGAGGTCACCGCCACACGTTCCTACTCGCACTCCTGGACCTGGAGGGTGCGGCTGCAACGCGGCGCACTCAGGGGCAGTGGCTTGCTGACGGGGCCTCCACGCATGCATGGTTTAATGATATATGTACTCCTTTTCCTCGCACCTCGTCTCCGCTATGCATTACCACATCTGCATCTGCAAGCCAACGTCGCAGATCGCGCCTGGTTTCGCGCTCGCCAAGTCGCACCACCTGCCGGCCATCACACGTCACCTTGTATTTGGTTCCGCGCGGGTCCCCTCACCGTGGCGTCACTGTGCCTCTCTCTTACGGCGCTGACTGTGGGTGCGCGACTCGAACGCCATCTCGCCCACGCAACTCTCTTGATTGACACCACTCCATCCTCCAAACACCTAGCAAACACACGCCGGGCGACATGGACGTGTACCTCGCCTCGGACGGCGGGTTTGTACAGATCCCCCATGCCCTCAGCGACTACGACTCGTGAGTGTTCTCTCTCGCCACCCGTCGCATGTGCCGGAACGCATCGGGTCCGACGCGCGCACATTCAACGCGCAGTATTGTCGCTGCGTGCACCCATACATTCAGTTGTTCTCAGCGCAACACCTCTTCTTGAGCGCGTCCCGGCTTCTTCCGCTTCACTTCGAGCTCACTACCCCATCCCCCCGCCCAACACTCCGGCGCACTCCGTCGCGCGTCTGCTGATGCCAGACTTGAAGGCGTCATCGCCGACGTGTCGGCCGCCACCGGTCTCATCTCCGGCAATGTCCTCCTGTTCACAGAAGACGGGCGCGAGCTCAAGCAAGAGGTGCTCGAGGAGCTGTGGGAGCGCGGGGGGCATGGTGGCGGGTCTTCAGTGAGTTAGCGTGCGATCACTGACTCACGCGACCACGCTGACTCAAGCCACAACGCGAGGTCGTCTACCTCTTCAACCGCGAAACTTTCTTCAGCGATCCGGAGCGCTGGGCTAACGAGCTCCGCGAGGAAGTCGTGTATCCTCCAGTTCTAGAAGGTAAGCTTGTCAACCGCGGCAGTGGCGCGCATCGCTTGGGTGAACTGCACAACGGTTACCTCCCTCGCTCTCACTTGGTGCATACCTCGTCGCACTGCTCTGTCACTCGCGCTTTCTTGCTGCTACATGCCACTGCTCCATTGTTCTTGTGCACCGCTCACACCAGCATCGGGGCAGCTTGGCGTATCGCAAGCTCAGGCACCGTTCGCGGTCGCTTACGACCACCTGTGCCATCTTCAATCCCTGTTCAAGGCGCAGGCGCACGCCTTGCGCATCGCATATGCTAACCTGGCCTACCATCTTGACCCTATTGTCCAGGCATTCCGCGAGTTCTCCTCTAGAGCCGAGGACCAGCTGTACAACCAGGAGAAGTTGCTCGCTGGGTATCATGTTGACATGGCGATGCTGCCGAAGGTTATCGTCCACGAGGCTGTATATCGCCGACGGGACAAGGATAGTGTAGAGAAGCGGAAGGCACTCGTTGACTGGATCCACACAAAGAAGATGGAGGAAGTGCGGAACCACTGCCAAGTGGCTCACAGTGAGCATAACACGTCTTTTCCGCTTACGCACAGCCGACTGGGTTAATCGGTATAACACTGTGCTAGGCGAAATGGACGAGTTGGCTATCCAGTCAGACGCCGATCGTCAACAGGCTGAGCACCGCATTCTGGGCGTCGAACACGAGTTCACCGCAGCCCTCGAGCGCGTCGACCTGGCGATACAACAGGTGGAGGCGCTGTTACGTTCTGGCGATGGTGAGTAGCCGCGATCAGATCACAAAAATGGCTAATAGCAGTCGAAGCAGATAACAGCCTTCGAGATCTGGATCAGGCTATGCGCGAAGATCTCGCAGGCATGACCGCGGTCAAGAACGACTTCACCCTCGATCTGCATGTCCACTTGCGGGGCATCGCAAACTACCAAGTCCGCATGACCAAGCTCACCCGGCCGATGACGGAGCTAGATCTCGACCTGCGGCAGAAGAACGCGTTCCCTCATCTGGAGCGGCTGCACAATATGCCCTTCGCGTACGCTGCCAATATCATCGAGATTGTCCACCGCAAGAACTTTGCTTCGACACTCACGGAGTGGGCAAGCAGACTGTCCCGCACACTGAATACTGTGCTCGCAGAGGAAGCTCGGCGGCGACAGCAACACAAATCGGACAACTTGCTGCCCTGGGAGATTGCTGCGTTGGAGGAGAGCCAGGTCGCACGGGTAGACGTGTCTTTCCCCAGCACCGACATATTGTCAGCCACCGGTTTGTCGCGCAAGGACATAGACGCGCTCCTGGCATCGCTCGAGCACATCCGAAGCGATGCGGAGTTCCAGAACCTTCAAGACACGGAGAACCCCATTCCTCCGCTGCTCGAACAGATCAAGGTGCTCATGACTTCGCTCGAGTCCTCAACCTTGACAACGACAGCTCAACTTGACCAGGCTGCAGCCAGCTCGGCGGCGGCTCCCAACGAGCTGCAGGAGTTGCGCGATGAGAATGCCGCATACAAGGATCGTCTTGCTGAGATGGAGAAGCACATCCGCGACATGGAGGAGCGGCACGAGAGAAAGGTCAACATGCTGCAGAACCGGCAGGGCGAGATGCAGGAGGAACAGGTTCGTCTCCGCACCGACTTGAGCGAAGAAGTACAGGCACGGCAGCACATTGCCACTGAGCTGGACGACAAGAGTAGAGAGTGCGAGGAGCTAGCGCTTGCGCTAGAGGAGCAGAAGGAGCTTGTTGCCGCGCTCAAGGTGGACTCGCAGCAAGAGAAGGACCGGATCAACGACCTTGGGGTTCGACTCCAGGAGGCCCTCCTTGACGTCGACGGCCTGCGCAGCGCCGAGCAGACCCTCATCTTCCAAATCAGGGAGATGCAGGAGGAGCGCACGCGCATTATCACCGACCTTGGCGAGGCGCAGCTCCTTGCCACCAACTACGAGTCGGAGCTTGCGGGCACTCGGGCAGAGCTGGAAGCGACGTCAAACCAGCTCACTGAAGCGCAGCGCGAGCGCGATCTGGCTCTCAAGAATCAGTCGGCCGAGGCCGAGCGTATGATGCGCGATCATATAGCCGAGGCGGACGGCGACCGCGCCGTTCTCGAGCACCAGAATTTGACACTTACGAAGGAGCTCGAGACGGTGCGCGCTTCACTTACCGAGAAGCTCAATGCCGCGAAGAACGCACACGTTCGCCGTGAGGATGGTCTAAAAGCGGAGCTGTCGTTCACAAAGGCGCAGCTGCGCGAGGTGCAGCGGCGCGAGACGGTGCTCTCTGATGAGCTCGCCATGGCCAAGGACGCCAGTGCCTCCGCGGAGAAGAAGGGGACCCACAACTCGGAGATTGCGCGTGACGCTGTAATCCTTGCGGGCAAGTATCACGAGGCGTGCCAGCGCCTCATGCTCGCCATATCGTCATCGACGACTATCTCCGGCAGCCTGTCTCTCCCGTCGAGGCCAAAGCCAGCGGTGCCTCTCCGTTCCGGCTCGCCGACGAGCAGCATCGACATGAACAACTCGTCGGTTCTCACGCGCTGCCTTGAAAGCGCGAGCGGCTTTGAGCTTGATGCCTTTGCCGACGCGGTGCTGCGCACCATCAATCTTGCGCGCAAGCTGTCCAAGAGCTGCAAGACATACCGTGAGCTATCGCGCAGCAAGATCACCATCTCGAACTTTGGCAAGGGCGATTTGGTGCTGTTTTTACCGACGCGCAACGCCGCCGTCAACGCATGGGCTGCATTCAACATCTCCGCGCCCCATCACTTCCTCAAAGTGACCGAGCCTATCCGCCAGCAGCTGGTCGGCAAAGACTACTACCTCGCACGCATTACTGCGACCGACGAGGCGGTTGTGAACGGAGACGTAAGTTGGCGCGTTCTGAGCACCTCAGCTGACAGCAGTCCCCCGAAACGAATCCGTACGGCCTGGCTGAGGGACTGCGCTATTACTCGCACTATGTGGAAGAGTGGCAGCCCGGCCAGCCCCGCTTGTCACGCCGCTCGATGTCGTCAAGCGCCCCGGCAACCCAGAAACCTTCCCAGCCGAAGCGCCAGGTCAGCCAGCCGGTTCCGCGTCAACGCAGCCTTTCGCCGTCGAAGGAGGAGTCGGCTTCGCCGTCCGCTGGGCCGTCGCCCCCGCCCCGGATATCGCAGACGCAGCCGTCACCAACGGCGCCGCTGTCTCCACAGCCGCAGTCTGCCGGTCACTCTGCTATACACTCTGCGGTTCATTCCCCTCTGGCCTCATCGCCAGCGCCCCAGGACTCATCGCCCCAAGATCAATCGAGTGCGGGAGACTCGCCCCGCCGGTCTCTGGACGTGCGCTCGCCCCCTCCGCGCGAGTCCACCCCTCGTCGCTCGCTGGATGCGCGCTCTCCTCCGCCACCTGTGGAGACTTCCCCTTTGCGCTCTCTCGAGGCACGTTCGCCTCCTGCGCCCAGTCGCAGGGCCATGGTCTCGCCGCCCCCGCCCCCGTCCTCGCCCACTACACCCTTCTCGCCATCGGCAGCTTTTGTGCGCCGTTCCCACCGTGCAAGTCTGACCAGCAACGCATCGCCGCCTGCGCGCGACTTTGCAGCATCTCTGGTGAGACCCTCGAGCGTAGCGAGCAGCATAGGTTCCGGCGCGCGCGCTGGGACCTTGCCGATCCCCATCGCTGCGGCGAAGGGCGCTCCCGCTGCACCGGTAGCTACGTCGATGGAAGGATCGCCGTCGCCGTCCAGTTTCGGTGACCACGGCCCGGGCGGCGTCGGCGCGCTCGTCCCCGCCTCTCGGCGGCTGAGTACCAAGGGCTCGGCCGCGAGCCTGAGAGGCGCGGCCGCGAGTGCGAGCCCGAAGAGCGCCGGCCCGAAAGGCAAGGCCGAGGATCCGTTCCGACCCTCCCCGCTCGGCAACAGCGACGCACCGACGCCGACGAGCGCAGGGGGGTTCCTGAGCGGCCTGTCGATGTCACGGAAGCGCAACATGAGCTCGGGCGGCGGGGCGACCGCACTAGACATCCTGAACAAGTACAAAGGCCCTACGGCGTAGATGTAGATGGGTGGCGGAGATTGGAGAAGCATTGTCGGTGTTAGATGCAATGCATTGCGTGCCCCGATTAAAGCAGAGCAGTGCACGTGAGTAAGGGGGAAAATGGGACGGAGATGGAGGGCATGCAAGGGAGCGATGGTGGCGTTTGGCGTACGCATTGACCACTGCTGGGATCGCTGTGACTCGAGTAGCTCGAATTGCTCGAGTTACTCGTGACAGTCGAGTTTGAGGGTAGTCCGAGGTCTGTGCCACACCCACCCCGCTCCACTCGTCGTGCATCCTCTTCTTCCAGCTCGAGGCTCACTCGAGCTCGTCTCGTCGCTGTTCTCCAGTCGCCGAATCCATCCACTTCCGCGATCCGCTGGTCGTTGCTCTCCGAACTCTGTCTTCACCAACTTCCTCTTCTCACCTCTTCCCATCTCCATCCTCCGCCCTCGGTCCTCTGTCCAACCCGACTCCGTCTAGCTGGCCTGGACATCTCTCCCTCTCCCCTACCCCTCCCTCTCCTCTCCTCTCCTCTCCTCTCCTCTCCCCTCCCCCCACCACTCGCGGTCGCTGGTCCGCCGCATTCCGCACACCCTTCCCCGCACACACCCACACTCGTTTACTCTCTCCTCGACATCCTTGCTTTGACTTTGCACACTACGCCCAGCAACATCCACAAGCTACGTACTGCACAGCACATGTCCCCACCCCCACGCCTGGCCCCGGCACGCCGGCAGGGCGGCCATGCGTGGCAGTGCAACGGCGACATCCGCGACTGGCCCGGTGCGTTGGGCTCTTGCCACCATCACCTCTTCTCATCACTCACGCTCTCCTTTTACTGACTCCAGCCGAGTGGTTCACGCAGGACTGGTACCTCGACAACAAGAGCCTCTACGACGAGATCGCTAACCAGGGCATAGTTTACCCTCCATGGTCGGTGTGGGGCTCGCTCTGCCCCTCGCCCACCTTCCCGACAAGCACCATCTCTGTTGTCCCAAACACAACGTCCTTGAGCACCCGCAGCACCGCAGTGTCTAGCGTTGTGGTTCCCACTGCAGCCCAGGGGGCCTCGTCATTAGCGTCGACCTCTACGTCAGGCACCGTGGCGGTATCCATCCCGTCAACCCCAACACCGACACCGAGTCCCACCCGCTCTCCTAGCCTCGCTGCCTTTTCGACGGTCTCCTCGACCACATCAACAACCGGCTCCTCTATTGCGTCACCCCCGACACCGTCCCCTGCGAATCTGGGGTTTACGCCATGGGATTATCAGGCCAAGGGCACAGTTGTGGCTGCAGCAGCCGCGATCGGCGTCGGCGCCCTCCTCTGGGGGCTGTGGGCGCTCCTCATCCGTCTCAAGCAGTTGTATGCGCCTCGTTCGTGGTTTCTTCCGCCCGGGTATGTTCAGAGCTGTGGTGAAGCCGCGTCTGATACCAGTTCCCGCCCACCTGCATCTACTATCGCCGCCATGCTCCTGCCTTTTCTCCATCTTCCTCCGCTCAATGCGCCCGCGTCTGATGCGCAGGTGATGTCCCACGTTGGCGCATCAGCTCTTGGCATCGCAGTTGTTTCGGCGGTTGTTGGGGTCGGCATTCTTCTCCCGCTGTCGATCGCCAACGTTCCCCACCTGTCAGTGACGACGCCCCAAAATGCGCGGGGAGGGAAGCTCGGCAGTCTCACCGACCTATCTCTACTTCGGCTCCTCAATGCCCACAGTCCACCACTCTTGACTCCAGCAGCCGGCACACAATTTGCCTCCCGGGGCGTCCTAAGCTCCACCACCCCAATGGAAGGCTCGCGGATACGCCTCATTGTCATTCTCGTCCTCATTGCGGTCCTGTCGGTGGGCGGCACATTATTCATCGTGTGGCGCACGTACGCCAAGCTCTTTGCCTACTCGATTCGCTTTGACGAGGCCAGCGAAGGTCAAAGCATGGTGTTTATCCCAGCGTCCGAAGCACCGGCATGGAAGGGTCTCACGGAAACCGGCATTCATCGCCAACTGACAAAGGAAGCGAAAGACAGCGGGAGTGTCGCTGGCGTGTTCGCCATCGGCGGATTTGATAGTATCAAGGAGATGACGCGCGAGCGCGCTCACGTCCTCAATGTACTCGAGGAGGCGGAGGCATTATACATCAAGTCATTCCCCGCGTTCCCCTCCATGCCCGGGAACGTGAACCGCAGTCCTCCATGCAACAGCCGCCGCGTCTCCTCTCGACTCTCCTTCCCGCTGGATAGCTCCTCCTCTTCTGCCTCTTTGTCTGGCCAGCTCGCTGACTTTGACCCTCCCGGAGAGGGTGGATCAGTGTTTTTGGAGGTCGAGCAACGCCAATCTGTCATGCGACGCTCGGGCAAGTTTAACGTCGGCGACTCAGTGATTCGCGACGAGGATGGCACATTCCTTCCGGCGAAAGAGCCTGAGCCCCCCAAGGACCTCGCCCCTGCAACAGACGTCCCATCTCCACCCAGTCTCTCAGCCCAAGACTTCGTCCGCGCGACACGCTCTTCTGCCCAGGATCTCGTAGCGGTCCTCGACGATAGCCGCAACCGCGAGTCGTATATGACGCTCTCGTCTGACCTGACTCCGCCTCCTACGACTAGGGGTGACCCGCCGCTCTCAGTGCGCCCCCAGTCGATCTTAGCCCCTGCAATTTTAGCCGACCTCAGAGCTAAAATCACATGGTCACGCGCGCGCCTGCAGAAGTTGAACATGAGTATCGACAAGGCGCAGCAGGAGGCGATGAAGGAGGTGGCAACAGGCACCGGCGCCACAGTTGGGTGGATTATCGTCGGTCGCGGCGTCACCTCGCTTCCGTGTGCCGTCGAACTTCCCGGTCGCACAAAGGAGGACATTTTATGGGACAACCTTGAGGAGCCTGTGCATTGCCGCATCTTTTGGCCGAAAGCTGCGAGCCTTGCGGGAGTTCTTGGCCTTATCTGTGAGTTAACTATACCCGGCAGAACGCTGCCTCTGCTGACATCAGTCGTTCCGTTCCTGGTGCTTGCCGTGTCCTCGGCTCCTGGTTTCGCCCACCACGTCCAACCACTCAAACCGCTGGCACGGAGCGATGGCTTTGACTCCGGCGTGGCGGAGAGCCTGGTGCCCGCCATCGCCATTATTGTCCTTGTCTGTACTGGAATCGAGTTGGTGCAGTGTACGTGAAACTCGTGGATGGGGCTGACAACAGATTTTGTGCGGCAGACTAGGCCCGCTTCGAACTCTGAGCTACGCTTCCGCGCGCTCAAAGGTGTCACCTACCTTTTGGTGAGCTCCGCAATCTCTTGTCGGCTAACGGCAGCTAATTATTGGAACCATTTGGGTTATCACTCTGGGTGCCATCCTGTATGGCATCGATGCGTATACGGAAAACGTCGGCAAGGCCGCGGCGGTTGCGGACGGAGTGATGTTTATCAGTGAGTTGCACCGGAAGACCCCCGCTGATCTTAGCTTGGCTGTCTCTAGTCCTTGTCATCAACCTCTGCATTCTTCCTGGCGCTGCGGCACTACAGCCTCAACGGCTGCTAAGATGGGTCGTACAGCGACGCCGCGCCGTCACTCCGCGACAAAGGTTTCAGCGTGAGTCAAGCGGAGGGTGACAGAAGACGGGTAACCAGCTTACACCTAGACAACCTGCCTCCCAATTACAATCCAGCAACTGCTCTGGCACCACTCCTCGCTGGGATGTTCTATCTCTTCGCGCTTTGCGGAGTATTTCCGCTAATTTCAGTTCCTGTTTTGCTCCTCGCCTATCTTTCTCTGGTTGCCCACCAATGGCTCACGACAAGAGTTTTCTGCGTCACACGCGGGGGCATGGCCGATGCAAGGGCTGGGCTGTGGGCTCTCAGGCGACTGGGATGGGCAGCGGGCCTGCAGCCCTTTGTTTTCGGCCTCGTGCTTCTCTCCCGGCGAGAGTGGGCGCTGGGCGGCGCGGGACTAGGTATCACCGCGGCTGCCGTTGCCATGTCCGAGCTCTTAACCGTCTCACTACACCGGCGTCGCCCAACTGTGTGCTTCTCGGGCCTCTCGTTGACAGATGACTCTGATTCGTTTGAGCGGACCCAGGCAGCCTTCCACAAAAGAGTAGAATCTGACCATTCCGCACTGGCGCGCTTCCACATTCTGCTTCCTGGTCTAGGCCGGCTGGCGGCGGACAACCCGCTGCCGTTCTCGACAGACGCCATTGACGACTACTTGTCGACTGAGCGGGCGATGCAAGCAGCGCCAAACGCCACAACAGACGCCTTTGGGGCCAGCCAGACAAGCGTGGTTGTCACGCCACCAGCTGACTCGGCGCGCGGGCTGATCTACCCACCCGAGTTGCTGCAACCAGCGCCAACGGTGTGGCTTCCCCGAGGCCAGTCGACTGTGGCAGAGCAGGAGGTCGACGCGCTCGCGATGGAAGGTCTCACGGCTGTGGTGGACCAGGCGCGGGGTGCGCAACGCTAGTCTTAGAAAGGAGGCATATAATAGTCTGTAATGCTTAAATCGGTTCTTATAGTCTCACGACAAGAATTCTGCCAACGATGTGTATGTTTTAGGGCGTTGGGTTGTGGGCATGGTCCAGTGGAGTAAATCAGACAGAGTTTGTGCTCACACTATTAATGACGCTTCTGCATGCTGGGTACGACTACTATCCAGGATCCGTCACAGCTTCTCCATTTCAATGTCTCGGTGTCTCCCGTCCATCCTCTCCCGCGTCCACGATGCATACAATCTAAGCCTACAGATAAAGCGAGGGGTTGAAGACGACCGAGTTGGTGCGCTCCGTGATCTCGATGCACTTTGTAAACTTGGCCTCGAGGTCCGCATTCCCAATGACGTTGGCGGCACTGACGAGCTGGCGCAGCAGCTCGAGCAGACGGCGCAACGAGCGGATGATGGACCCCTCGAAAATGTCCGTCATCTTGACAATGTCGGAAAACGGCGACCCGCGGCACCACGCGTACACCAGCGGCGCCATCTCGACCTTGAACGACTGCACGTACTCGTCCTCCACGAGCGGGAGCTTGCTCTCGATGCTCACCTGCGCGATCCGCCGCGCCGTCTCCTGCAGTACGCGCAGAGGCGCGGCGATCTCGGCGTTGAGCTGTGTCCTCGCCTCGGACTGGCGTTAGCCTTGCACATGATACCACTCTCCACACTCCACGCGCCCCCGCCCGACCCTCCGCCTGCCCTCCCCCACCTCCCGCACTCACCTTCTCGTCAAACACGAAGCAACTCAGCAACGCCGTAAGCGCCTCCGGCGCGAGGTCGTTGAACGTGCCCCCGAACATGAGTTCGGTGAGCAGCAGCTCATCACCCGTACTGAGCTCGCACGCGACACGGCCCTTGACCGTCGCGACCTCGCCCTCGACGAAGCCGAGGCGGCGGAGCACACGCTTGCGCGCCTTGAGCTCCTCGAGCTGCAGCACGTCCTGCACGCTCCCGATGCGCTTCTTGAGCTCGCGGACCTTTGCCGCGAGCGTCGCTTTGCGGTCGTACGTGTCGAAGAGGCGGGGGAGCGCGGGGTCCGCGGCAATCGGGAGCGTCTCCACGCGGTCCTCGAGCACCTTGATTTTGCGCACGAGCTTGCGGAACGCGTCGTCTTTGATGCCCTGGTTCGCGATCGGGTCCAGCAGCGTGATGGCGCCCTTGAAGCGCCGCTGCACCTCGTCGACGAGCTTGAACGCCTGCTCCTTCTGCTGCCGCTGCCGCAGGTCGGTCGGCATCTTGAGCCGGATGTGCGCGATGCTCTGCACCGTGTCGAGCGTGACTGCGATGATTGCGACGTCGCCGCGCGCGTCGGGCCGCGCCGCCTTCGCGGCGTCCGACTGCGGCTTGCCGACGTCCGTGCCGGGCGCGACGCGACACAACACGTCGAGCACGTAGTGCTTTTGCGGGGGCGCGTTGGGGTCGACGACTTGCCGCCCCCGCTTGCTGTTCTCGAGCTTGTGGTACGCCACGACGACGCACCACCCAAAGTCCCGGTCGCCGTCTTTGATCTCCACCATCCGCCCCGGCTGCATGAACGGCAGCGCGTAGTCGGGGTGGTTGATGACCGCCCGGAAGTCGCCCTCGAGCGTCTTCAAGCTCTCCCGCAGCTCGTAGTACTCCTCCACCTCGTCTTCGCGCTCGACGGCGATGGCGTCGCGCTCCTTCTCCGCCGCCTTGAGCTGCGCCTCGAGCGCCGGGATGCTCAGCGAGTTCTGGAACTGGTGGAACGACCGCTCCAGCATGTACTCGGGGCTGATGCCTTCCACGCGCATCAGGTTGAGCACCATGTTGTAGCCGAGCGAGAAGGCCGAGTCGAGCCGGTCCGCCTGGCCCTTGACCATGCCCTTGGCGGCCTCGGGCTCGAGCTTCTCGTTGACCATCATGATGACGATACCGCGCGAGTCGAGACCACGACGGCCCGCACGCCCCGACATCTGGATGTACTCGCCGCCCGAGAGGTTGCGGAAGTTCTTGCCGTCGAACTTCTGCACGTCGGTAAAGACGACGGTCTTGGCGGGCATGTTGAGGCCGATGGAGAAGGTCTCGGTCGCAAACAGACACTTGAGCAGTCCCTCCTGGAAAAGAATTTCGATGACCTCCTTCATGATGGGCAGCAGGCCGCCGTGGTGGATCCCGATACCGCGCTTGAGCAGGGGGAGGAGGTGCTCGATCTGGGGCAGCTTGCGGTCGTCGTCCGACAGCACGGCGATGGCGTTTTCGAACACCTGCTCGACGGTCTTGGCCTCGTCCTCGGTGTTCATGTCGATCTTGCTCATCTGCATGGCGTGCGCTTCGCATTCACGCTTACTGAAAGCGAATACGATGACGGGGTTGAGGTTTTTGCTCATGATGAGCTTGACGATCTTGTAGATGTCGCTCGGCCCGCCCTTCATCGCGCCCTTGCGCGTCTTGTTTCCTTTCCGCCCGGCGCCGGCGCTCGGGTCGGCGCTGTCCTCGCCCTTGTTGGCCGCGAGCGCCGCCATTGCCTTTTGGAAATTGTCCTCGCGGAAATTGGACTTCTCGTCGACGACGAGATAGATGCCCTCGCTGCCTGTGGGGAAGAGGTAGTGCTGGAGCGGCGTGGGCCGGAAGTCGGTGTAGACGATGTGGCACGGCTGCTCGTGTGTCTGGCACCACCACTCGGCGAACTCCATCGAGTTGGGAATGGTAGCGGACAGAAAGACGCAGCGGACGGCATGTGACAGGAGAATTAGTGTCTCCTCCCACACGACACCACGGTCCTTGTCGCGCATGTAGTGCACCTCGTCGAACACGACCCACGCGAGCTCGCGGACGACCTCAGAGCCACGGTAGAGCATGGAACGCAGAATCTCAGTCGTCATCACGAGACACGATGCGGACGGGTTGATCGTCACGTCACCTGCTATCAGCTGAGCTCACGCAAGCAACGCACCGGTCATCAACCCAATATTCTCCTCGCCGAACTCCTCCTGGAACTCTCGGAACTTCTGGTTCGACAGCGCCTTGATTGGCGACGTATACACGGTACGTTTCCCTTCTCTCAAGCATGTGGCGATGGCAAACTCGGCGACGACCGTCTTACCGGCCGACGTGTGCGCCGACACCAAGACGCTCTCGCTGCGCTCGATGCAGCTCGTCGCCACGCGCTGGAACGGGTCCAGCTCGAAAGGATATGTGCGCGCGGGGGGGTCGAGGGGCTTGTGCTCCGCGATGGGGACGTAGGGGTAGTTGGGCGGGAGGGCGACCTGGTGGCGCACCGAGTGGACGAGCTTCATGCCCGCCTCCTCTCCGGCGAGGCCTGAGCCGCCGGCAACCTCGCGCTCGGCCTGTGTGCTGAACTCGTCTGCGCGGACGGGGGCGACGCCGGGGACCATGCCGTCGGCCTCAGCCACCGGCCCGTCGTGCACGCCTTGCCCTGCGCTCTCGGCCTCTTCGAGCGCCTTCATCGGGTCGCGGCTGGGCGGGCCGGTCGGCATGTCGACATCGCTGGCGTCGTCGTCGGCGTCGATGCGCGGCTGCTTGGCAGGCTTTTTGGAGGAGGACGCCTCGGCGCCGCGCTTGCGCTGCTTTTTGCTTGGGCCGGGAGAGGCGCCCATGATGATAGAGTGAGATGGAGGATGGAGAGTTGTGCAGGCGCAGTGGAGGCGCGCCAGAGATCCAAAACTGAACATTCTCAAAACATGGGCGGTGGAGGGAGGAGATGCCGCGGGATCAAACGCACGTGGGAGGGCAAGGGGGGCGGGGGAAATAGAGTGTGCCTGAGCGGGCGTAGGGTGGATCGGAAGGCACTGGGTGGGTGGCGGAAGGAGCAAAGTCAGCAGCCGAAGCCTTCCTTCTCTGTAAAGTTGGAAAGACCTCTCTCGACGTCGTCGCCATCACTCCATCTTCAACCACTCCTCTCCCGTCCCCATCACCATGTCGTTCCTCGGAAACCTCTTCGGCATCTCCCCCCCTCCTGTGCAGCAGCAGCAGCAGCAGCAGCAGCAGCAGAACGGCGACTTCTCCGCCGCCGCCAACATCCTCAACTCGACCGAGTTCCGTTCCGCCGTCCCTCCCCCCTCCGCCCCTTCTGATGCCGACCTCGCCGCCCCGCCCGCCCCCGCAGTCGCAGCACCCAGTGCCGCCGACATGCTCGGGAGCCAGTTCGACGTTGCCAAGCTCCACCCCATGGCCGAGCTGAACGACAACCTCGACTTCCTCGCCCTCGACGAGGACAAGCTTACCGAGATGGAGGGCGCTGGGTCGGTCCTTCCCTCGCGCGGATGGACCGACGACCTGTGTGTCGGGACGGGCACGACGTATCTTTCTGGTGAGCCCTCAGTGATGCGGAGCACTTTTTTGAGGGCTGTTGCTGACGGCAGGCCTCGCGATCGGCGGCGCCTGGGGCCTCAAGGAGGGCATGTCCCGGCCACTCGGCCCCAACCCATCTATGCGCCTGCGCCTCAACTCGATCCTCAACGCATGCACGCGGCGAGGCTCGTTCACGGGCAACTCGCTCGGTGTGCTGGCCATCTACTACAACCTGACCAACTCGGCTCTGGATGCTGTGCGCGAGAAGCACGACCCGTTCAACTCGATGGCTGCGGGTGCATTTACTGGCGCCGTGTACAAGTGCACTTGTGAGTGGGGTGATTGAGGTGGTTGGAGACGGCGGTGGGAGCGGGTGGCGGAGTGGAGGAGGAACGATGAGTGGAAAGGAACGACGGAGAATCGCTTCGAACATGTGCTGACAGCAGCCGGCTTCCGCCCTATGATGGTTGGCGCGGCGATTGGCACGGGCGCGATGGGCGCGTGGGAGGCGTTCAAGACGTTTGTCTAGACATTGTATTGCATGCACTCTTCTCTTGTCTGGGTGGGCGGGGTGCAGTCGTTGTCGAGCAGTCAGCTGTCGGCTGTCGGCTGTCGTCTTCGGAGCGTTGTGCCACGCCCCGAGGCCGCGCCTGGATCGATCGTGGTGCGTTCGTCGGTTGCTTGCAGAACGCGCACTTGTCTCCTGCGTCCCCCCCACTCCCTCTGCACCACCTCTCACTCCCCTCGCCTCCATCCCCTCCCCCTGTTTTGCGCTCACCCCGCCGCCTCCCGCTCAAGCTGCTTGAGCTTGCGCTGCACGACCTGCGGCGTCGGACACGACGGGCTCTTGGCCTCTCCCTCGCGCGCATACATCTCCGCGCAGCACTCGTACAGCCGCCGCACCGCCGCCTGGCACTTGGCCTCGTTGTACCCGTTGCGGTCGAGACAGTCCTGGATCGCGCACGCTGTGTGAGTGGTGTGCGGGGTGGGGGCGTACCTTCCGCCTGGCATGTGCCCATCTTGGAGTGGAGTAGTGTGGTGGAGAGAGATGGAGAGAAGAGGAGAAGAGGGAGATGGGGAGAGATGGAGATGGAGACGCAACAAGTGGAGGCCGAAATCAGCCCACCCTCCCACATCAGGCTCAATGACGTCGGAATACCAACTATATACATCACACCTTGACGCGCTTGCTCGCGTCGCCTACTACTAGCAGCGGGCCGGGGGTGAGGCTCCCGCTGCGCTCTTTGCGCACGCGCGAGCTCTCGCCTTCCGCGCTGTCTGCGACGTGCGCAGTCGTCGGCGCGGCTTTGCTCACGCTTGCGCCAGCGCGCGCACTCCCCGGTCCGGCCACCCCGCTCCCGCTTCCACCCCCGCTCCCGCTCCCACCCGCCCCCGCGTTGACCATGAGCCGCGCGCTCGTCTGCCGCGGCTTGATGGGGTGTGCGTGTGCGCGGAAATTCGGCTGCGCAATCGGGAGTGGCGCGGCGGGCGCCGAGCTCGCCACGCGCACCGCCGGCGCCGGCGCCGTGCGTATAGGTATCGTCTGCGTGGCGAGGGTGCGGCCCGTCGCGAGCTTGGCGAGCTTGCGGCGTTGGTTGGGGCGCGCGTTGCTCAAGTTGTGGTGGCTGACGCGGGTGCGCGCGCTCGTCTTCTGCGCAAGCTGGTACGCCGTCGAGGGCGTGAACGACGCCGAGAGGGGGAGGGGCATGCTCCCAGACTCGAAGTGGTCGGTGGGGGGCACGTCGTCGTGCGACGGGCGTTTGCGGCACCATGCCGTGATTAAGAGCACGCGTTTTTGGCGCCTGCGTCAGCGCTGCATGCGAGGTGCACCCACTTGCTGTAGAAGAAGTAGTTGGCGCTCCATAACAGCCCGCCGACTTTGCGTGCGCGGCCGCTGTCGGAGATGGCGCCGAGCGTCGGGCTGAACATGGCCAGGTCGGCGTAGTCGATTGCCGAGCTCAGCGACATGGAGCGGACCGAGCGCGTGGGGTTCGGCAGCACAGACGTCTCGGGCACATCGTCGAGCTCGAGCTCCATGCCGGCCTGGCCCCAGCTGATCGGGCCGTCGTCGATGTCCATTGGATCGTCGTCCAGAGCCATAAAGTCTTCGCTGTCCTCCTCGTCATACTCGCTCGCCTCTTCGTTCTCCTCCGGCTCGACATGCGGGTCGTACTCGGGCTCGGGGTACCACGAGTAGACCTCGCATTCGTGGAGGGGCACGACTTCATTGAGGATGCGGAAGAGGCTGGGGTTGCCGACCTCGGCAGCTTTGGGTGACGAACCCAGGGAGGGGGAGAAACTGGGGGACGATCCTGACGGGTGCGGCGATGCGATAGCGAGCCTGAGAGATGGAATGCAGGGATTAAGACGGTTGAAGCGGTGCGAGCGCGGTGCGAGATAGACGTCAGGGCTAGCCGGACGAGGGGGCTCCGCGTGCGGGATAGCAATGGACTCACGGAGAGAGGTCGAGGCCGTCGATAGCGAGCAGGTTGGAGCTCAAGTGGGACAGGACTTGTGCAGCGCTTATCTCGCGCGTGAAGTGGTCTGGGCGGAGCGCCGAGAAGTCGTAGCCAGAAAAGGCCGAGTTGAGCGTGTTAACAAGGAGGAAGTGGACCTTGCTAGGTGTGAGGACGCGGTGGCGGAACAAGCACGCACCGAGACTCCTTGACGTCGAGACGGCCAAAGCACGACGACAGACCTGCCTCCTTCATCTCTGGCGAGAAGCTCATTCTTGAACGCGTCAGTGGGCTGTACGGCGGTGCGCACCTCGGCAGGGCGTCCTCACTCGTCCATGTCCTCCTGTCCGCTGACATATTGTTCCTCCATCTCGCGGAACATCTTGCGGTCGCCCTTGATGGGCTTGATCGAGTAGGCCTCGACGCGAGCGTTTGTGCGGGCTTCTGGGGTGGGGTTGGAGGACAGCACATGGCTGAGTTGGGTGAGGACGGGGTAGTCGAGGTACTTCATTGTGATGGAGTGGGCGGTGGGCGGTGGGCGTTGGGCGTCGGGCGTTGGGCGTGGTGACGGAGGGCAGCGCGAGGAGACGCGTGAGGAGGAGTGAGGAGCGGGAGTGACGCGCGTGGGCGTGGGCGGGCGCGATGGCGCGGGTAGACAGGTAACGCGGGAGGAGCAGGCGAGGTGTTGAGGCCGAGTCTGGCAGAGTTGATGGGAGCAAGCAAGACGAGGAGATAAGAGGATGCGGCGGCGAGGCAGAGGCAGCAGGCAGCAGGCAGCAGGCAGCAGGCAGCAGTGAGGAGATGATAGCGCACGAGGTGATGGAGGCAGTAGTAGCTCGAGGAACGTGCGCGCGGAGGGGCCTTGAAGATGGGTGTGAGATGATGATAGCTAGAGTGTGACGGCGACGAGATAGAGTACTTGGGATAACTAACGAATACCCATTAGAGGGCTATCCGAGTGATCATGGTCGTCGGTGCGACGGAGACGGAGTGACGGAGTAGATGGAGGAGAGAGAGGCGGAGAGAGCGACAGCGAGGGGATCCGAGCCTTCCTCCGGCGCCTCTGCTCTGGTGCCTCCGCCGTACCTGCTGCGAGACGGGGCGCAGGGCGCAAAGGGCGCAAGGGGCGCAAGGGGAAGCCTGGTCCTCCTTGCGCCACCGAGAATGCGTCACCATGCTCCCAATCGGGCAATTTCCAATGCCCTCCACTCTCCACCTCCACTTCTCTCGAGCTGTCAACAATTACATTTCGTTTCTTTCCACTTACTCCCCATGGACAGCGACGACTCATTCTTCAACCCTCGCGCCCCCGCGCCCCCCGCCACCCTCTACCTTCCCACGCCCGACGACGACTCGGACATGTCCGCCGACATGACCCTCTTCGGCGACGGCGCGCGTGCCGTGGAAGCCTACAGGCAACAAGTGCGCGCGACGGCGCGGCACGACGCGCGCGAGCACGAGCACGAGCACGAGCACGAGGCGCACGAGCACGAACATGACGTGCAGTACGAGACATATGAAGCACAGTACGAGACACACGAGTCGCAGTACGAACAATACGAGGACGAGGCGTACGAGCAGGACATGGACAGCTCGCCGCAGGACAGCAGCCGCGAATACAGCCCGGACATGAACCCCGCGGGCTTTGCGGAGCGCCTCGACGAGCTGGCAGGCATCCTAGAGGTCGGGGAGGAGGAGGCGCGCGCGGTGCGCTGGGGTCCGGACTTGAGCGGAGAGGGTGCGTCCGCGGAGCTGCGCATGTGCTGACGATAGATGTCCCCTTGAGCATCGACGAGTTCCGCGAGGTGCTGCACCATCACCTTGCGGCGACGGAGTGGCGGTATGAGATGGTGGAGAAGGTGCATCCCATTCCCGTGCTGGGTGCGTCCTGGGCCGGGCGGAGGATCGTGCAGAATGACGAGGAGATGTTTCGTGTGCCGGCGTGACGCACTGCCCGCAGTCTTCACCATACAGTCATTGCAGTCCCCCCGCCACCAGTCACACCGCTGTAGAGAATAGCCCGCACACCCCGCACACTCATACCTCCTGTACACAATGCATTTGTATATCAAGAAGTGCTCGGCGGCTCCGCTCTGGGCAGGGCTGTCCGCCCTCTCAATGGCGGTTGCCATTGCTGCCATTGGCGCCGTTGGCACCATTAGGACCGTTGCTCCCGCCCTCGCCGTTCCCACTGAGCAGCCCGCGGCGCTCCTCCTCCGTACCCCGCTCGCGGCCGCCGCAGCACCGGAAACTCGTGAACCAGTGCCACACACGGTCAACGGTCCTGTCGCGCCAGCGGTAAAACGCGGGCTTGCGCGAGTCCAAGCGGTCGGGGCGCACGCGGTCGCGGTCGTCGATAAGCGTCGTGAGTGCAAACCACAGCGCGACAATAGTTGCGAGCGCCGAGCTCGCACTAATCATGAACATGACGATCATCTGGAGCTTGGCGGCCTGCTCGACCGACTTGCCGCCGACGATTGCACCCGTCATCATCCCCGGGATCGAGATGAGGCCTATGACGCTCATCTGGTTGATGGTCGGAAGGAGGGCGGCGGCGAGCGCATCGATCGCGAGCGGCCGCACGGCTTCGAACCGCCCCGCGCCAAAGGCGAGATACGTCTCGATCCGGTCGCGGTTGTTCGCGAACTCGGTCGAGACAGAGTTCATCGCAATCCCGATCGCGCTGATCCCGTTCCCGAGGAGCATGCCCAGGATGGGGACTGCGTGAGCTTACTCGCTACGAATACGAAACCCACTGTACTGCTCGGGCTTCCAGAAGGGACGCTGCTCCATCGCAAACTGCTGTCCGAGGATGCCGATGGGGATGGAACCGCACAGCAAGGACAGAAGGATGCAGGGGAACTGGGATTAGTCGTGTCAGAAAGCGCAACTCGCCATGTTGCTGAACCTCCGCTTGGCTTTGTTAAACGTGGCCTCGATCGCGCCGAGGACGTTGAGGACGAAGGCGATTCCCGCGACAGCGAAGGGGTTGTTGCTTGCAAACACCTTTCCAAGCACCATACTCATCACCATAAGCTGGAGAATGCAGCGGCACGCGGCGACGATGAGGTTGCGTCCGATCTTGAGGCCCATGATGGTGGAGAGGACCGCGTCGAACACGATAAAGAGGAAGCCGAGGCCGACATTGCGCCAGGTCAGCACCGAGCCGGAGCCGATGCCGTCGTCGGGCGCGCCTTTGTGGCCGAGGTAGGAGAAGTCCATGTTAGCGGCGGGCGTTAGAGTGAGAAAGTGAGAGAGATGGAGCCCAATTCTAACTAAACATGTCATTTTGGGAGTGGATGCAAGTGACCATGTCGTCATCGCCCGCATTCATGTTGGGTCGAGCGGGATCAAACGCGGCTGGTGCGGATGTCGCGTGGCTCGTGGCCACCCAGATCGAGTGTACATAAACAGATCCATTCACATCCCTCCTCTTCTTCTTCTTCTTCCCATCCTCTCTTCTCCTCTGCTTTGTCTCCCCCTCGCATCATACGATGCCCCCCCAGGAGGCGCTAGCAAACACACACGCCATCCTCTCCCACCTCGCAGAGCTCCGAGACTCGCTCACCGACCGCGTAGACCGCCTCAGCACCGCCGTCGCCCGCCTCCGCTCCCAAGCCACAGAGCTAGAACAAGCCGTCGCAACCGGCTCACCCATCCCCACCATCCATCCCCCAACCTCCGAGATACTCGGCCTCGCCCTCCCCTCCATGCCCAGTCACGGCCCAGTCGTCGAGATGACGCGCTCCATGGATGGCCTCGGCGTCGAAACGCGCATCTTACGCGCCGATCACCGCGGCCTGCAGCCTACCAATTGCGCGCGCGTGGCTGCCGCGCCAAAGCCCGTTATTGTTCGAGGACCCGGTCACAATGACAAAGAGGAAGCCGAGTCGGGCCAAGAAGCACTGGATACACACACGCACAGCGTCCGCCCTCCTCTTCCCAGCCCCGCCTCCACTCGCACACCCTCTCCCCCCGCTCCTCCAGCCGTCGAGCCAGACCGCCAGAGAAGAGCGCTGATGCATCCATCCACGCCGCGCCCGACCGACCTTACTTCCCGCGGCATCCTTGTGCGCAACCGTGAGGGCAACGCCGAGGTTGATGGTGGTGCATCCTCCCGGGTCGACGTGGAGGCCGCGCGCGAATCGGTGCGGGAACGGGACCGCGAGCGTGAGTTTCGAGAGGCGGAGCGCCTTGATCGCGCCATCGCCCGCTATCAGCGGCGACACGACGAGTCGCAGCGCGAGTTCCATAGCGCCTGGGAATACGAGCGCACACGGGCCATAAGTGTTGGCCGTGTGCCCAACGAACATAGCGTCATCCGGGCCGACGCTCTTCGGCGCCACGTGGACAATGCCCATCGCCTCTGGAACCTGATGCACCAGCGCTCGCGTCTGTCTGTGCCTCCTGCCGAGGCCGATGCTCCGCTGGAGATGCGCCATCTGCTCGGCACGCCTACCTTCCGCCGCGGCCCGCTGCGCCCGCGCCGCAGCAGCCCCCTCAGTGGGATCGGCGCACTTGGGCTTGATCGCAGCGACCCGATGGATGACTTGACTCGGTACTACATGGACAATGCGTTCGAGGAGAGTGACGACGAGGACTGGCCGCGACGGCACCCGATTGCGCAGCGGCTCGTCCGGGTCGTCACGCTTAGCGACGAGCTGCGCGACACTCCCACACGTCGGCAGGAGCGGGAGCGTGCGGCCGAGCGTGCGGCCCAGCGTGCGGCCGAGCGCGCGGCGCATCTGGAGAGTGCGGTGGAACGGGAGCGTGTGGCGGAACGGGAGCGTGCGGCGGAGAGCGCCAGGGAATCGCTCAATGACCTCTTCAGCCGCGCCGAGACGATACACGATGACCTGCTTGAGATCCGGCGCGCACGACTCGTCGGTGAGGGCCCCTCTCGCGCGGACAGACAGGCGCGCGCAGACGACGTCGACCGCGTGTCCCTCAATGCGCCGCTGCCGCCCCCACCCCGCCTGCGTGGCCGGCACGAAGCCCTGCGCCCTCTCGCGCCCGCGGGTGCCGCCGACGCCGAGGACACGGACGCCGAGCGCATTCTCGGCGACGACGGGGACGCGGGGCGCCGCGCCCTGCTCGACCGCCTCAACTGGACCGTCGCGCGACTGAATGCCACTGCGCGCCGCCGCCTCCCGGACGCCGAGGAGGATGTGCTCGAGCGCGTGGAACGGGCGCGCGAGCGCGTCGCCGAGCTCTCGCGTATCCAGCGCGACCTCGAGGCGCTGCGCGCCGGCATGCGACGCGGAAGCGACGCGACCGTCGTGCCGGGCGACTGGCCGCGCGAGTCGGCGGCGGAGACTGAGACAACGGAAACTGAGACGATTGAGGCGGCGAGCGCGAGAGTGGCGGGCGCGGCGCCCGCCAGCTCGACGGGGGCGACGAGCGGGAGCGTCGACGACGAGGAGAAGGAGAGCGGGGCGCTGAGCGCCGACACGTGGCCTGAGGCGCCGAACCGCGCGCGCCCCCGGCCCTACGTCTCCCTCCTGGACCTGTAGCAGCCTATCCCGACATCGCTCGCCATTGTACATGTTTGTATCTATTGTATTATGCGAGCATGCCTCACGCCCTGCGCCCGCGCTCCTCGCGCTCCTTGTCGCGCTGCTCGCGTCCGCGCTGCTCGCGTCCGCGCTCGCGCGCACGCCGCTCCTCGACGGCCAACCGCTCGTCGACCATCTCGCGGAACTGACTAATAATCGCGCCCTCGCGCGCCTGCGCGCTCTCGCGTTGCGCGAGGAGCGCCGCGCGCTTCTCTTCCGCGCTCACGACTTGCGCCTCCTTGCGCTGCCGCACCGCGTTCATCCGCACATGCCGCGAGCCGGACATGACGAAGCCCGCGGCTTCGTACGACGCGATCTTGGCGGGGTCGATCCCGATTTCGCCGCGGCGCGGGATGCGCTCGCCCTTCTGGAGGTAGGCCGCCATGGCGGCGCCTTCGCCGGGCAGGAGGCGGGCGTAGCTGGTGTCAGTGGTCGAACAGGGGGGGGAGAGGAGAAGGAGGTCAAGGAGAGGGTAAAGGACGGTGGGGGGAGGGGTAGATGGGGAGAGAGGGAGGAGAGGGAGGGGGAGGGAAGAGAGGGAGGAGAGGGAGAGGAGGATGAATAATGGAGTGTCGAAAAGTCGAGAACGGTCGCACCGCCCTGCACAGGATGGCGCCACCCCGTAAACATATAAGTACTCACGCATCACGATCGAGCTGCACCTCGTATTCGGCCGGCGCGACCGGGCCGACCTCGGGCTCGTCGTCCATGGGCGCGCGGCTCTCGCTCCGCTCGCTCCGTCCGCTGCGTTCGCTCCGTGCACTCCGTTCACGCGCGCGCCGCTTCTCTCTCCCCTCCCTCTCGCGCTCGCGCCGCCGCCGCCGCCGCCGCCGCTCATACTCGTCCTCGCTATCGTCCGTCTCGCTCGCATATCGCCGCGACCGCCGCTTCTGACGCGCGGGCACAGGCTCCGGACTCCCGGCCGGGCGCTCAGGCGACGGCGGCCAGATATCTACTTCGGCCGCGTCCCGCAGCCTCCGCCGCCTGGGTTAGCGTCGCGCGAACGAGACTCACTCTTCTAGGTCGGTTTTGGGGTTGCGCGCCCCGGACCCCGCCGTCCTTCCAGGCCCTCGTTGAAAGGGCGGCAGGCCGAGCGGCGGCGGGCCGTCGAACCCGAGGCGGATGGGCGGGCCGGCTGGTACAGGCGCAGGCGGGGGGGGAGTGTATGACGGCGACGCGCGCGAGGCGGGCGAGCGCCGATCCCACCGCTCCCGCGGGCGGCGGCCGTCGTCACCGTCTCGCCTGTCCCGCTCGCGCCGGTGCTCGCGCCCGTGAAGTTCTTGCCTGTCTCGCCGTCCGTCGTAGTCTCGCCGTCCGTCGCCTTCTCTCCGCCCGTCACCGTCGCGTCCGTTTACTTCCCGCCCGTTTCCGTCATGCCCAGCTCGATCCCCGCGCGACTCGGCCGCGCGCCCGCGAATACGCAGCGGCGCGTCTGCGCCTCGGCCTTCCGGGCTGCGGCGCTCCCCTGGAACAACCGCGGCGCGGGAGGGATGTACGAAGGCCATGGTGGTTGAGTGGTTGAGTGGAGGAGTACGTGAGTGTTGTGAGTGGAGGGTGGCAAATGGAGAATCTGGTCCCGCGACGGAGATGCTCGATCTCCGTCCTACCTCACTCCATCCACCAAGGAGTCGGAGGTGTGTCGCCTCGCAACGACCAGCTCGCATTCGACTGCATTCGACGCCGTGAGACACGTACATCCACGCACATTGACGTTCATACACGTCGTGGACGCCACGTACTCTTCTGCCGGCAGATACCGGGCTGCCGTCGCCCAGCACGCAAGGCCCAGGAACAAAGCATGCTTACTCCACAACCTCAACCTTACACCGCCTCGCGTTAGCGGCATCGCGCGGCTTTACGGGCGGGCCAGAGGCCAGAGGCGCCAGCGACGCCAGCAACGCCAGCAACGCCAGCAACGCCAGCAACGCCAGCTACGCCAGCAACGCCAGCGACAGCAGGCGGTGCGCGCAAGAGCGACGAGAGCGTGCTCAAGCGCCTCTTGCAGAATTGCATGGGGCGGCTGTCGGCCGTACAGCCATTCGTTATGATTTCTTGCTGCTAGAATCACCCCGCACCGCGGATAAGCAACGTTCCGTGCCTGCTGGAATGCTGTGCTCGCTAGGTGCTCCCTGGCGTAATCTCTCGTGACGGCGTACGCGGAACGGCGCACAGCGGCACGGGCCGTCAGCTGATGCATATGGCATGCCGGCAGCCAAGGGGAGCGTGCTCAAGTGCATCGCATACAGGTGTTGCCGTCTGGCCGCGTCTGTGGGACAAGTGTTAATTGCCTCGAGCCTGGAGGCGGTGCCGAGTCGCAATCGCCAGTCGTCGCAAAGGGACGTTCTGCCTCCGAAACCATCGCAGCGTCGCGTCCCGTGACCGTGACGGCGATCGCGTCTGCTCAAGACGCTGCTGGCATCCAGGCAAGCTAGCAGCGAGCAGCTAAACGACGACGGGCCATGAGCCAAGCCAAACCCTGTGTGGGTTATGGATGATTTTTGGAACGGACATGTCGTAACATGTACTCTATTTTTTGTGGCCTCAGGGGGGTGGGGCGGAGGAGGCGTCGCTGATGGCCGACGCCTCTTCGCGCGCTCTCTTCTTCTTCCACCAGCTTCCAGCCTGTGGCCTGCGCCTGCTTGACAGTTCATTCCTGTGCTAATGAGCGGAGACAGGTCCGGAGCTATACGCGATCAGCGATGACTGTCACTTGTCCGCTTGTCTGGCCGAAAGATGAATGCGGGCGTTTCCAGCGGAATGCATGAGAGGGCGGAGAGGGAGATGAGGAGAGCCAAGCAAAGGGCGTCACCGAAGCTCGGACTTGGGTCGTCGTGTAGATCTGGCAGCGACTCGGCTCATGTGGTGCTGCTCGTGCCCGTGCTGCCCGTGCTGCTCGTGCTGCTCGTGCTGCTCGTGCTCTCTCCTATCCTCTCTGGTTATCACCGGTGTTAGCTAGCTCTCCTTTCCTCAAACGCCTTCAAGCCTCAGCCCTGGCATACTCGCCGTCTCTCAACCCTCGCGCGCCTTGCGCCACCACGCCGCCATCACCTTGCTGCTCTAGCCCGGCACCCCGGCACCCCGGCACCCAGCGGCACGCGGCACGCGCTCACCCGCCGCCGTCGACTTTGTCAAGCAAACAATATCAGCAACAGGGTCGGACAAACCATACACCATCAAAGCAGATCAGCCCAACACCGGTCAATCGCGCAGCCATTCAGTCGTTCTCTAATCTCATCCGCAGATCCGCCTCAACTCGCCGCCCGCATCCTCCCCTTTCTTTTTCTAACCGCTCGCGCCGCTGAACCGCTCAGCCGCTCAGCCGCTCGAGCAAAGCATTTGTCAAAGCTCAGCCCCATGCCCGAGACCCCCGAGGTCACAGCCCCTCCCCCTCTCCCCCTCCGAACCTAGCGAGGCTCCGTCTCCGACCGCCGACTAAAGGGGCCGCCCACAAAGATCTCTCAAGACCGTGGAGCTGGTTGGCTACATGGCTATCTCCGGCTAAGCCATCTTTGTACATGAACCCCGCGCGCGCGACTTGTTGTCCTCGTTGTTCTCGATCCCAATCTCTCGCTTCCCCTCGGATCCGTACCCAGCCTGATCTACAGTATTACTCTCTCGCGCCAGTCACGGCTGACCTCACCTCTTTCTCTCTTCTATTCCATTCCACCTTCGGCCCCCGTTGCTCTCTGTGGCCCCTCTGTTACCCCCCACTTGTAGAACCTACTACACTGTCTCTCTCGACCTCTCTCGACCACTGCTCCTAACCAACCCTCGTTCGCGTTCATTCACAATCACATCAAGTTGGCATCAAGGTCTGGGCAAGTCCTGTCCATCTGTCGACACGCATACATACTTTGACTCGACTTTACTGTACTCTCCCCCCTACGGCCTCTTCCGCGGGAACGGAGTGACATGCTCTTGGGCGGTCGCAACGTTCATTAGCTTGATTCATCAATCGAGACATACGACCTCTCGTCGTGCCTCTATCACCACCACCACCACCACCACCACCACCACCACCACCACGAGCACCATCTCGGCCGCCTCCTACGCCGCCGAGCTGACCAAGCAACAATAACAGCAACAACAACAATAACAATAACAAACACAATTCCGCAAATCCGCACCCCTCAGCCTCTAGCCAGCGGCAACGGCATCTACCAGCGCTTCCACCACCCCGGACTAGCGCTCACCCCTTGTCCCGCCCATCTCCCTCCCTCCCTCCTCGCCACCATTACATACGACTTTGCGACCGTGCTGCCCATGGCCTCGTCCTCGGCAGCGATACCCGCTGAGCCCAAAGCCAAGCGCACTCACGCGCGGCGATCATGCGACCTGTGCAAGATTCGCAAAACGCGCTGCGAGCTGCCCGACCTCGACGTGCCGTCCTCGTCCGACCCTCTGCCCGTCGACAAGTCGTGCCACCGATGCAAGGTGCTGGCTCTGCCCTGCGTCGTCGACGACAGCCGCATGAAGAAGCGGCGCAAGAAGGACTCGCTCCCGATCGGCGCTGTGGGGCCGGGGCCGTCCTCGTCAGCCTCGGCGGCATCAAAACGCGCATCGGCGTCGTCCGGCCGGACTCCAAGCGAGGGGTTCCAAAAGCGCTCCCGCTCCTCTCTTAGCCGCCCGAGCTCGGGGGGACGCAGCGCAGACGACTGGGGACCGGTCAACGTCGTCAACTACGATGTGGACGTGTCCGCCGCCTTCCAGATCACGATCACGCCGACGTTCGTCCAGCCCCAGCCGCAATGGGGGTCGCCGCAGGGAAGCACCACATCGGGCCGACAATCGGCCCCTCTCCCTGCCCCGCCGAGAAATGTCCGCCTCCACGGCCGCCCCCTCTCCCTCATGGGCGCCTTACTCAGCGTCGCTTCCGGCAATACCTACGGAAACGTCAAGCGGCGCGTGGTCATCGTGGACGACGTCGACCTCGATCAGCTCATAGATGCGCGCTTGCGCGTCCGCCTCGGGCCCGGGTACGCCCAGCTCCGGACATTCCACCCGCACCTGCAGCCCCTCGCAGATCTGTTCAGCATCTTGCGCGAGACGCCCGGCGATCTCTGCGTGCAGCTGCTCCTCGCTACTGCGGTGTATGTGGCGTCGCTGTCTCTGGGGCCTGACCCCGAGGCGCAGGTGCTCCGCGACCAGCTGGCGCCGACGATCCAGAACCTGCAGTACAACGTCCTCGCGCACCAGCCGGGGTCGTTCCATGCGATCCAAGCGCTCGAGGTGCTGACGCTGCACGCGCCACTCTCCCCCGCGCTTCCGCTGCAGCTCATGGACCCGTCGTCGCTGGGCGCGGCGCGCGGTGTGATCGGTGTGGCGCTCAACATCGCCAACAGCCTCAACTTCAACGCCATGGTCAACGGGCCGCTCGAGCGCTGGCCCAACCCCGACTTCTGGCTGTGGCTTGGGCTACGGGCGGGCGAAGCCCAAATGGCGTTCGAAGACGAGCGGCCCAGAAAACCCGCGCTGCTCGGCGAAGCGCGCGCGCTCACGTGGGCACTGACGTCGCCCGAAAACGACCAGCAGTGGGTGTCGGCGGCGTCGATGGACGACCCGGCCGAGCTGTTGGGCAAGCTCGCGGTCGCGGACCGGCTGGCCCGGTTGGAGGAGCTGCACGACACGTACGGCCGCCTGCGCGGCATCTTGGACACGGTGGCGGGCGCGGCGGACTGCGACGGGCAGCACGTCATCCAAGACGAGATAGAGGGGTACACCGCGCGCCTGGGGGAGATTGACCGCCGCCACGACAACATCCTGGGCATGTTGGCCGGCGCGTGGGCGCGCGCGGCGGACGCGAAAGGCGTGCTGGCGCCGGCATCGCTCGCGGCCGGCTGGAAGGCGTACCGCGCCATCCGGCGCATGTGGGAGATGATGAAGGTCTACCTCGTCGCGTTCCAAGCGCTCGTGGCGCTCCACTACCTCCCCGGATCGATGCACGCGACCAGCGGCCTCCCGACGCACTTTGCGCCGGCGCAGGCGATCCACTATGCGTTCTCGCGCGCCAACAACCCGCACGACATCCTCCTCGCGTTCGCATCGACCACGCGCGCCGCCGACGACATGCGCAACCTCTCCAAGTTCCGGGGCGTCCAAGCCGAGCGGCTGCTCAACGCGTTCATCGAGCTCGCGCCCGCCCTCGTGCCGAGCATGGGCGGCGCCGCCCTCGTGCCCCTGCACGACGTCATGGCCATGGTCGTCGAGTGCGCCAAGGGGTTGATGGAACAACGCGCCTCGAGCCTGACATACCACCGGTCGGTGCGCACGCTGCCCCCGACAATCCCGCTGCCGAGCTGGGCGGGCTCGCTGTCGCAGATCTCCCAAATCCTGCGCGGCCTCAGCGACCTGCGCGTCGAGCACGACGACAACCCGGGCAGCGGGGAGAGCGTCGCGAACGGGTGCAGCAATCTCCTCGGCTCGATGGTGCGCATCCTCCAAGAATGGTCGGCGATGGTCGAGCGCGACGGGGGCATGGGCATCCCTGTGCTGGCGTCGCTCGCGACGCTCGGCCCCCAAGCGCCGCCGCGCTTCGGCCTCCCCGAAACGCAGAGCCCGACGGCGATCGGCGACCTCGCCGACACGCCCATGCGCAGCGCCTCGACGGGCGCACTCGACGCCGCCGGCTTCTACATGCCCTCAGACAGGTGGATGGCCGACGAGCGCTCCATGTCCCTGCCCCCGCAGTCGTCGCTCAGCACCCCCGTCCTCTCCGCGCCAGAGTACACGCACATGGTGATGGGCGCGGGCGCGGGCGCGGGCGTCCCCGGCCCCGGCTCCGGCCCACCGCCGCCGGGACCCGACCCGCACGAGTACTCCCCCGCTTTCGACCTCTTCGGGTTCACGTACCCCGGCGTGCCGCACGCGCCGAGCGCGTTCGACCCGCGCGCCCAAATCGCGCTCCACGGACACTTGCCTCTCGCACGCACGCCGCCTGCAGTCGGCCCCGGCCCCGGCCCCGGACCAGGACCAGGACCAGGACCAGGCCATGGCCCCGGCGCCGCGTTCATGCAGCCGCAGCCGCGGTATGACGAGTAGGACACTGACAATGAACATGCATGTATCATTATGGTGTGAGCTGTTGCCGCTAGATTTCTTATCCACCATCTGTCAGCGTGACTGATATCCCGCGCGTCAGCAACTTTCCGCCTCCGTCTCCGTGTCCGCTCCTGTCCTCGTTCCGTCCCCGGCCGATCAGCACAGCTTCCCCTAGATCCAGATCTTGCTTTGCGGTGGCGCAGTCGCGGCCACACGACGCGCTCGCGGTCATAGTCAGACGCGACAGCCGCGGCTCTCGGTCCGCAGCTTCGGACTCGTAGCTCGCAAATAGCACTCGCGAGATCGAGCTCAGCTCGAGATCGCGAGCGGGATATCGTGCGGTCTGCGGGTTGCCTGCGGGTCATATCGCAGAATTCACCGCTGCGCGCCGCCTGCATGCCGCGCCGCCGCCGCCGCCGCCAAGCACATTCCTTCGAATTCCTTCGCTGCCAAGTCGCCGGGCGCCGGGGGCTGCTGCCAAGGCATCTGTGGAATCAGCAACATCAGCAATCCCTCGACCCTCGTGCATAGCTTCATGCCGCCAGGGTGGGATAGCGAGGTTAGCGGACCGGAGTCGGTGGTAACACCGGCGCCACCGCCACGGATTCCGCCACGACCCTGGAGTCATGCCGCACAAGCCGCGCCCTCCTGCAGCCGCTACCGCACATCTGCATCCGTCTACAACCCGCCGACAGTCCGTGACCCGGTTCGCGGCCCTCATTATACTCCGCCCTCATCGACCTGCTCGACATTCTCCACGATCTCGAGCACGAATGCCGACGTCACGCCGGGAATCTGTCGCTCGGCCGCTTCAAAGGCCTGGCGCAGGCGCTCAAGCACGACGCGCGCCGCTTCGTCGTTGGGTATGCGTGCCACGAGCTGAGGTCAGCCATATCAGTGCGGCACCGCCCTGCTGGGCTTCAACTCACACTGCCAATGGCCGGCACAATGACGTTTTCCAGCATACTGTCCTCGTCGTCATCTAATGGGTCCGGCATGAGATGCGGCGGCATGTGCTGGACCTGCTGCAAGTGGTCCATGTGCTCAAGGTGCGCGGGTGGCATGGAGTGCAGAGAGCCGGCCGGCGGCTGCAGAGGATGGTGAGGGTGTTGGTGAGCTAAATGGGAGGGATGAGGTGGAAGTGCCGGGGCTGGCGCCATCTGGGCCATGGGGTCCACGGCCAGAGGCGCTCGCTGTTGGGGCACGGCGCGCTGCATTGTGTCCGAGTAGTATTCGACGCCGTGTTGCTGGTACGGCATTTGCTGCTGCGAGCTCAACGATGCCGCCGAGGGCACAGGACTCGGCGCCCCAGGCATCGCTCCTGGCTCAGGCAGGGGCCGCGTCGCACGCGACACAGTAGCAGGGAGCGTATTCCGCACCGTCCCAACTGCTGTCAGCGTGGCCCGGCGGCGCACTCACAGTCCCACATTGCATCTTCAGCAGGCCCATACCCTGGCTCTTCTGGCCCCGGGTCGCGTGCGGCATCGTCACCTTTAGCACCCCCCTCGGCCTTCCACTTCTCGTGTCTTTCGATAAGTTCGGTCAGATACCCCGCCTTCTTAGCCATTCTGATAAACTTGTGTTTCAGTAGCTCCTTTGCCGATGGGCGCATTCGCGGATCGCGCTGCAAACACAGGCTGACAAAGTCGCGGAACGGCTTGGAAAACCGGTCACTGAGCTCTGGCGGTGGGTTCTTTGGGATAAGGAAGAGCACCTTCATCGGGTGCAGGCTCGCATAGGGTGGTTCGCCCTCTGCCAGCTCGATCGCCGTAATGCCCAGACTCCAGATGTCCGCCTTGTGGTCATACCCCGACTGCTTGATGACCTCGGGCGACATCCAGTACGGCGTTCCAACGAACGTGTTCTTCTTTGTCATTGTGGCTGTGAGTTGACCAGACACACCAAAGTCTGCAAGCTTGACTGACATTAGCTGATGCTCGGCGTTCTTTGGCTCACCATCGCCACCAGCCGTTAGGAGGATGTTTGCAGCTGCGGAAATTAGCACACCCGCCCCTGTTGCTGTCTGTTTCAATGATGACGCTACGCACCCTTGATGTCACGATGCAGCTTGCCCTCGCCGTGGAGATATTCCAGACCTTTGAGCAGCTCGCGCAGCAGGATCGCAATATAATCCTCCTTGAAGACCCCGGCCTTCATCTGCATGTTAGAACTGCAGGGGGAGAGGGGACACCCACAAGATCCGAGCAGGACCCGCCGGCGCAGTACTCCATGATGATCCAGAGGTTTGATCCTTTGAGAAAAGAGCCAAAGTAGCTGCGCGTTAGTAGCGGCTCGGACGGCGTGCAGCCTACCGAGTAATATAGTCCGAGTCAAGCTGCCCGAGGATCTGGATCTCCTGCTGGATGTCGTCAATCTCGTCCTCGGCGCTCTCGAGGTCGATGATCTTGATCGCAATGGGCAGGGTCGTGCGGCGGTCATACCTGGAGTCAGCGAAGCCAAGCAGCGTGGGGATATTGCAAAGCGTCCTGCGCTTGCGGCTCTCGTCGGACTCACCCGCGGTACACCTCTCCAAAGCTTCCCTTGCCTATTGTTAGCAGGCTGCGGGTGCGAGGGGCAATGACGTACCGATCCGGTTCTGCTTGACATAGAAGAGCTCGGGGTCGGGCCCCTGGCCGCCCATGTTGTACGACTTGGAGTTAGTGAGGAGCGGAGGGTGGGTCGGGAGAGGAGGGAGGCCGCGGCGTGCATTGGCGGGAGGCGGGAGATGGACGGAGAACGCTGGGGAGAGGTTGATGAACGGGCGGAGGTGCGCCGTGAGGGGGAGTGCGGGCATGGGGGGCGCGCGGAGAGGATGAGGGGGCGGGTGCTGGGAGGGAGGAGAGGATATATGGGAGACGGAGAAGAGGAGGAGTGGCAAGGGGGAGGGACGCACCATGACTTGCGGGCCCGTCGACTAGCGACGGAGTGATGAACGGACGGAACAGGGAGGGAGGGGGTGGCGGTGGCGCGTCGAGCGCAAAGGGGAGCGGGTGCTTGCCTGCAAGCTTTGTCGCGATGGTGGATCGCGATGGAGTGATGGGGAGGGGGAGTGATGCGAGGGGGATGAAGAGTGATTGAGTAAAAGAGGAGGATGCAAGATGATGATGGCGAGGTGGATGATGGCCGAGGAAGGTGAGAGAGGTGAGTGTGCATGTTTGGTTGGCCCCCCCCAGGCGCCCCAAGCCGCCCAGGGAGGCGCGACTGGAATCAAATCCATGCGGAGTCGCGACTTGACCACCATCACAATGTGTTTGCATGCTACCACTTGTTCGTCACAGGTCATGTAAGCGATGCAGATGATCAACTGCCACTGCGCTCTACTCTTCATCATCCCCATGCATGCATTCATCGCTCAAATCTCACGCGACGTGGCCACAAGACCAGCACGCTGCCCCAGGTCCTAGGTCCAGCCGATCGCAGGCGATCATGGCGCCCGCGACGCGCCACGTGTGGCCCTCAGACCTCAGGCACGGCTGCCAGATATACGAGGCAGTAGCCTCCGAGCTCGCATGTCTCAATTCATTCAGCTCTATGCATACACACATCTAGCTCCCTCGCTCCGTCGCTGTACCTCTATGCCCGCGCCGCGTCAACATGCCCCGTCGTATGCGGGAAATACTCCGTCGGCGGCGTCGCAGGTCGCGGGATACGGTGCAGGATGCCGTAGCTGGGGTCAGCTTGTCTATAGTAGTGACGACAGTGTAGAACTCACCCAACACCACAGCCCAGCAAGCCCGACCCGCCCCACTTTTCGTTCGGGATAACGACGACTTCACGGAGGTTACTGCTGTTAGCGGGCCCTAGTTGCCCGGTTTGTCGTCTCGTCGACCCTCGTCCGCCTCGCGTCTACTCACTCCAAATCCGCCGAGTAGACATACAGCCGCAACGGCTTGTCAATATGCGCCTCCACGAGGTCGTGGAACGCGCTTTCGCCATGCAGAGGCCCACCGGCCCATCCGCACACCCAGTCGCCGAACGGCACGAGTCCGGCCATCTGGAGTCAGTACCAGTGCAACATCGACGGCGTCTCCAGGTGTGTTTGCCTGCCTTTTGACTCGCTGCAAGCTAGCAATCGCAGAACAGCGGTTGCAAACCACTCAATGCCAGACAACTCACCTCTGCCGGAGACCCCTCGAGCACCTCCAAAATGTGCCAGACACTCTCGAGCGCCGCGGCGGGGTTGCACACCCTGACACTCAGCCCGAGGAGGGACGCGCGCGCCTTGCCGCTCCCGGCGTGCCAGTCGCGCAACGGTGTAAGTGTGACGTCTGGTATGAGCGGAATCCACGGAATCATGCCTGGGTGCAATCTTCGCCAGGCGCAAGGTGGTTGCCAGTTCAGCTGTGATCTGCGGCTGCGTCGAGGCCCCCCACCGTCCAAGCGCGGACTCACCCCGCACCCGCTGCGTCTTGGCGTTGTATACCGTCAGCCGGATCGGTATCCCCTCGTTAGCTTCCAGGACACGCGCAAGCTCCACGGGCGTCGGGACGGCCATGGCGGCCTGCGCGTTCGTCGGTACCGACGACGCCGCGTCCACCCCGATGAGGTAGTCGAAGAACGGCTCGAGCTTGCCGTCAGCCGGCGACGCGTCCGCCACGCGCAGGCAGTGCAGCGCAAACTCGGGCAGCGTCGTCGGCGTCGCTGTGCTCGAAGTCTGGCCCATGATGTGGTGGGAGGAGGAGGGGTGGTGTGACGCGCGTCAGGACATGTTGGGTGGCGATCGCGCGCGCACGTATTTGCGTACCCCGTTATGTCCGCCCCCAACCGTGGGTTCGTTCATGCGTGTTGCGCGATCATGCTGCTCATGCCCGCCGAACTGATATATTACCCCCACCCCGACTCCCCACACCCCTCAACTCAAGCCCACCCATATCATAACAGTACATCTAGCTCCTATGTCTTGAGCGTCTTTTGCAACAGCGTAATGCGGTCGCCGAGGGACAGCGCAATGCCCTGCGTCTTTGAGCGGATCCGCACGTGGCCCTGAATCGCACCGTCCTCCGTCTTCTCGATCGAGAGGTTGGCCAGCGCGTCCTCGCCGAACAGCGAGCGCGCACACAGGTTGGCGCTCAGGAAATCGCAGTTGCCCGACAGCGACGCGTCCGGCGTGAGGCACGCCATGTTGGTGCTCTTCATAATGTGGTCGAGGTATGCGCGCAGGTCCGAAATCTGCGTGTTGACGTTGACCTTGTTCTCCCATTCAAACTCGGTCCACATGCTCCGGAACTGCGCCTCGTTGCAGTACGCCGGCTTGATGTAGTCCATGATGTCGACGTGGACGTCGTTGAGGACAATGTTGACGCTCGCGTCAGATGCGCCCTGCTTGTCGTACACAATGTTGCCGAAGATGACACCCGTCTCGGTCGACGACACCTTGATCGTCGCCTTGATGTTGTGGAACCCGTGCGGCGCGAGCGTGTATGGTGCTGGCCGCTCAACGAGCTTGAGGTCGCCCAGCGTAGCAAACTCAATCGTGAGGTTCTGCATCGTCTCGTTCGTCTGGTTGACGATAAGGACATCTGATGTCAGATATACACAAACTCGGGAACCCACCGAGCATGATGTCGAACTGCTGGATGTTGACAACAGCCTCAGCATACACTGGGTCCGAGAAACCCGTGAGCTGCACTATCCGTGCGAGCTTGGACACAAAGTCATCCTTGACCTCCGCAGCGCCAGTTGCACGCACAACGTCGGCCTCAAAGTCGTCCTCATCAGTGTTACGCTTTGTCACAAGCTGTGAGAACTGAATGAGGTCGTCGGCCTGCACCTGCGCCTTCTTCGACTCTAGCGCCTTCTTGGCCTTGGCCTTCTTCTCCTCGGCTGCCAGCATCTTGGCGTACGCTGCCTGCGTGTCGGACAAGAAGATTTCGTGGACCGCCTTCGAGTTCTGCAGCTCTGCCAACGACTCGATGCAGTTCATGATCCGCTCCTGCGAGTCCTCGTCAATGGGCGCTGACACAAACTTGGACTGGCCCACTCGGATGATGGACGTCATGATCAGGATCGCCTCGGCACGCAGCGTGTTGAGGGTCTGCGCATCGGCGTTGAGATCGGAGAACCGCAGCACCAGCTTGGTGAGCGTGGAGGCGAGAACGGTGGCTGTGAAGAAGTCGCCGCCGAGAATGAGCGCACGCAGTGGTGGTTTGGCTGCAGCGCGAACCTGCTCCAGGCGCGCCGCAGCCGCAGTCGATGTGTACACAGTCTCCGTCGCGTATGTCCCGTCGGCAAGAACACGGGTTGTGGTGACCGCCTTCGGTGCTTCCTCCTTCTCCGGGACGCCTGCCGCCTCGTCGGCCGCTTCAGCCTCGTCCAGTAGCCGCTGCTCGGACGCCAAGATAGGGATCTCGCCAATCACCTTGCGCAGCTCGAACAATGCGCGCTTGATGTCCGTCGCGCCCGTACAGTACTCGCCAACAATCCACATGGCTCCTCTGAACACCTTGCCCGATTTGATCTCGGAGAAGGTCTGCACAAGCTTCTCGGTGATGGTGGGGCGGAGATCTGGGAACTTCTCAACAACCTCGCGCACAAACGAAATGACGTCGACGGCCGAGGGGTTGTTGGAGTCGCCGAGGAAGTCCATGAGAACGTAGACGACGTTGGCAGCGACCTCGGAGAACTTGATAGCGCACGAGTGGATGCTCTGAATGAGCAGCTGGCGATACTCGATGTTCTTGTCAAAGTCGCCGTCCAAGGTGGACTGCAGCTGCTTCTTCAGGAACAGCACGACGTCCTCAACGTTGCGGCTCGTCACCATCTGAAGCGCGATGCCGATGGCCTTGCGCTTGACCTCCATGTCGGGGCTGTTTAGCACCTTGAGGATGTCCATGACCATGGAGTCAAGAACATGCTCGTGCTTGGAACGAAGGGCATCGAAGCGGTCCAGGACGATGAGCTTGACGTTGTTGTCGGCCTCCTTCACAATCAGCTCGGCGAACGCAGCAGCGGCGGCCTTGATGGCCGCGGGGTTCTGGGTGAGGGTTGTCAAGCTGGTGGCCGCCTCGTACTTGATCGCGTGGCTAGGCGAGTTGAGGAGCTCAAAGATGGCGCGGATCCAGCGGGCGCGGTGCCCGCCCTCCTTGCGGGCCTCCTTGCGGATAAGCTCGATGACGGCCATCTGCATGAGCTCGTCCATGCCGGCAATCTGGTCGGCCATCGAGAGTAGGTAGCGCACGGCAGTGGGCTGCGAAATGTTGCACAGCGACACAAACGCGTTGCGCTTGCACGTTGCGTCCGACTCTGCGACAAGGAACGTGTCGAGCAGCTCGGGCGCATCGGGGATGAGGTGCTCGTGGTCCTGGTAGATCGTGTAGACCGTAAACACGGCGTTCTTGCGAACAAACGAGTGACGGTGTTCCAAGCACGAGCGCACTGTCGGGATAAGGGGCTCAAGAAGTTCGGCCTCGCGGATCTTCTGGAGGAAACGCAGCGTCGCGCCGCGGATATACTCGTTCGGGTGCTGGAGATCGTTACGGATAGCATTGCACACCAGGATCATCTCCTGCTTAAGCTTGCCGTTGTCGTCGAACTTGGGGCAGATTCTGTCGTCAGCGCGCCGTCACAGTTACCCTGCCACAACATGCGCGCGGGCGGGGGAGAAGATCCACTCACTCCCAGTAGAAGTGGAGCAGCTTCTTGAGCTGCTTGTTGCGCGACGGCATGACATATTGGATGATTGGCATGAGCAGCGTGGGCTGTGGTCAGCTGGGCAAGCAGAGCTAACGCACATGGCTCTGGCCGTTGAGGGTGCCGACGATGATGCGGCGCATAGTCTCGAGCTTGACCTCGTCCGAGCCCTTCTGGAGGGCGTTGCGGAGGTCCTGGGACGAGGGCGCGTCGAGAAGGTCATCGTGGATGATGGTGTAGCACGTCGCCGAAGCGTCCATGGCGGGCAAACGCGGTGACCGCGGGACGGGACGGGAGAGAGTGTGAGGAGGAGGGGAGGAGAAGAGGGCAAGAGGGGAAGAGCGCTATTCGATGCGCGCGGCGTCGGCGTCGGTGTAGAGGTGTGGAATGGTTGGTGGTGGTGGTGGATGGGCACGGGGTGACGCGCCACGCTGGAGATCGCGGTGGACCATGGACCTCCACCTGGGAGGGGTGCCACGTTGAAACGCCGAAAGCTCCGGGGGAGGTGTACGGTGAGGGGACGCCGAATGGAGCCGAATCCCTCCTTCCCCCACGGCCGCTCTGCCCCCATCTGGCCCCGTCTGCCCCCGTCGCTCGAGCAAGGTCGCAAGGACGGGTCCCGGAGTTGGTCCTTCGCGCTCGCCAGCTGCTCATTGTCATTGACTTCCTCCTCAAGGCCACCTCCGTCCCCCTCCCCACCCCTTCCGCTCCCTAAAAATGGCCTCCAACACCCAGAACGTGAGCTCCGAGGCCCGCCCACGCCGCCTCTTCTCCGCCTGCACCGACGGCGGCTGAAAGGCAACCCCGGCATGGTGTTATCCCCCGAATCGTGCTCACCTCCCAGGTCGTCCGTTACTCGGCGCTCCTCGCCGGTCTCGCATACGGCTTCCTCCACAACAGGACTGTCCAGAAGGAGGGCCAGGAGGCTGCTGTACGTCCTTGCTCGCCAACCAACCCCGTTGCGCTGCTGACCCCGTGCCTTGATTCTTCTGCGCACCCCAACGCTCTTCGCACCTACGACCCCCACCCTCTGCATGCCTTGCTCGCGCGCGCTCTCCCTGTACTCCGCGTTCGAATGACAGATTGCCCACGCCCAGGCTCGCCGGGAACAGCTCATCGCCGACGCCAAGAAGGCATGGATCGCGAAGAAGAATGCGCCCAAGACCGACCGTGAGTTTGCCGAGCCAGCGGAGAACAACGGAGCAAAGTGCACCGGAGTGCCAGCGTTGGCGATGCCTTGCGGCACTACGGTCTGCGCGGCGTTCTGCGTCGCTGCAGTAGCGCTCCTCGTGCGCGATGCGGGCGGCATGCACTTATGCATGTTGTCGCATGTCAACATACATCTAGTCGTGTGATCCCCTGCGGCCTCGCTGCCATATTCCTCGCTAACATACAGTCATCACCGACCCCGAGGACCCCAAGTTCGACCTGGAGAAGGTTATCGCGTCGTGGGAGAAGAGCGCATAAATGACATAGACTCACGCCGCCGGGGGATATGCAATGGCAGCTCAACAGGACACAAGATCGGTCGCAGGCGCAGGAAATGCGGCGTGGACGTGAGCGCTGGCGAAATGGGAGAAGAGCGGTACAGCTTGGTGGCGCGATCGTGCAATTGTGCAAGTGCATTGGTGTGGTACAACATGGTGATCTACGCAGACCCATTGCTGCAGATACGCTTATCGCCGGGCTCTCTTCTTGAAACGCTCGTACACGGCGTCGTCTGTCGCGCTCTCGCCTCCTTGCGGCCGCTCCTTCCGCTGGCGCACAGGTAGCCCCTGCGCTTCACGCCTGACGTTGTTCATCTCGCGCTGAATATCAGCCTCGCGGGGCTGGGTGCTGCGTGCAACTGGAGTTAGCTCAGCGATGGCATCTTCCACTGTTTGTAGGCTCACATCGAACATTCGCCAGCGGATCGTCGACAGGCTCTTCCTTCTTGCGCTCCAGTAATGCCCGCTTAGCCTTCTCCGTCTCCTCGATGGTCCGCAGGCGGTTGCTGTCGTCAGCCGTGCCCTCGCGCCTCACCAATCCCACTCACTCCATGCCGAGATCGACCTCGGGGACCGCACTCAACATGCCCAGCGAGTTCTTCATCGTGCCCTCCTCGGCCTCCGTCACCGCCTTTTCGCCCATATACCTGTCCGCAATGGCGTACAGCTCGCCGTGCGCGTCCACCTTCTCCACCTTCTCCGTCTCCTCGATGCCCTTGCGCTTCGCCATCTCCTTGTCGATATACGCCATCATATGCTTGTCCGTATCGAGCGCGTTCGTCTGCTGCGTGAAATTGTTGCTCATGACCTTGCGTGCCGCGCGCGTTGCTTCGTCGTCCTCCTCCTCCTTGACGGACGGGTGCAGCCCGAACTTGTCGTACTCGATTTCGTGGGTCTTCGGCGCCTTCTCCTCGCCGCGGTTGAAGCGCTCCAAGTCGATGCCCTGCTGTTTCTCCGCGCGCCGCAGCTTGCGCAGGAGGATCATCTCCTCCACGGTTTGCCTGGAGTCAGACGAGCGGGGTCGTCGCGCGGGCCATGCGGATAGACTTACCCTTCTGCCGTAGGAGTAGCGGTGCCAGACGACACTTCGGACGCAGGCGTGTCGTCCCCCTCGCGATCGGCCTTGCGGACCGATGCTGGCCGTGAGCGTTTCTTGAACATGGTGGTGGAGCGGCGCGAGTGGAGAAGTGGAGAGTGCCGAGGTGAATTGTTGTTGCCTTGATTTGCCGCCGGCCGAGACTGAGACCTTCCTCCACCTCCCATCTTTCCATCCGCCAACGCTCAGTCCACGCTATCAAATGGCACTTCCCAACCTCCGCAGTGCGTCTACGTCTTTGGGGCCCGGTGAAGCTGACAGCAGCTATCTTCGCATCCGCCCGCAGCTCGGAGGAGGAGCGACAGCTGTCCCGAGCGACGTTCTACAAGTTGTGAGCAGGCCAGTGACCACCGCTGACGGGCAGCTCGGCATTTGTCGCCAGTGTACTGGTGATCTCGTTGATTGCATCCCGTAACGCGAAAGATCTCGTGCCGAAAGCTGCGAAGGCGGTTGCGGGTCGATGAGCCGCTGGCGCGCGGCGCCTCAAACCGTTCGCCGAGAATGAGCACACCCCCTCACCGCAGCACGCACAGCCAGTGTACACCCCCATCTCTACCTCTGTATTAGCATAGTATCTGTACCGCATGCATACCCTCCACAGATGTCGGCGGCATGGCGGGGCACACACCGACGACGCGGGAGCACGGACGCTTGGTGCGATCTCGGCGTCATGATGGAAAGCAAACTTTCCCACGGTGTCATCCCCTCGAAATCACCGTCATGGCTTTGTGCGACGCGTCTGGACCCATCCTCATCTTGCAATCTTCTCCATCCGGCCCATCCCCACCGCGCTTTCTCCCCTCCATCCATCCTCCCCTCGCGCAGTCGAGTATACCCTGTTACCCCCGACGCGCCGCCCTACCGAGCCTGCACCATGAGCGCCGACGACCCAGTCGAGGTTGGCGAGGAGCTCTCTGCTGCCGAGCACAACCAGATCGTGAACGAGGTGCGTTTCTCCTTGGTAGAACCACGCTGATGCGCAGGAGTATAAGATCTGGAAGAAGAAGTGCGCTTTGCCGCCTCGTGGACTGACGCCAGCACGCCGTTCCTCTACGACACCGTCATCACGCACGCACTCACCTGGCCGTCCTTGACGTGCCAGTGGCTTCCTGACCGCGAGACGTGCGTCCTCCTTTGTCCTTTCGCCCCCCTCCCCCCCCCCCCCCCCCCCCCCCCCCCCCCATTCGCTTCCTTGAGCGCGCTAACTCCAGCCCCAAGGATGCCGACTACACGGTGCAGCGCATGATCCTCGGCACGCACACGTCGGGGCAAGCGGACGACCACCTCATGATCGCGGAAGTGCATCTCCCGACGGGAGGTGCCGAGTCGAGCGGGCGCGACATCGCCGAGCTGTACGATGAGGAGAGGCAAGAGCTCGGCAGCCACACCAAGAGCCCGGCGCGCATCCGCGTCAAGCAGACCATCAACCACAAGGGCGAGGTCAACCGCGCGCGCTACATGCCCCAGAACCCGCACATCATCGCGACCAAGACGGTCGCTGGACCCGTCTACGTCTTCGACATCACCAAGCACGAGAGCCGCGCCCCACCAAAGGGCGAGTGCAAGCCCAACATCGTTCTCACGGGGCAGAACAAGGAGGGGTGAGTCACCACAGGAATCCGCTAATGGCAGGTATGGTCTATCGTGGAGCCCAGTGGCCATGGGCCACATATTGAGTGCGAGCGAGGACACGACGGTGGCGTACTGGTAAGCACGAGCAAGCGGGCGTGGCGTCTAACGGCAGGGACATCAACGCATGGGACAAGGGCCAGAACTCCATCTCCCCCCTGCGCAAGTTCACCGGGCACTCGGCCTATGTCGGCGTAAGCGATTGCTGTCTACCTGAGCTGACTCCAGGACGTCGACTGGCACCCCGAGTACGACTACATGCTCGCATCCGTTGGCGACGACCGCAAGCTCATGATCTGGGACACGCGTGACGCGAACTCGGCCAAGCCGAGCCAGCAGGTCGAGGGGCATGCCGCCGAGATCAACGCCGTCGCCTTTGCGCCCAGCAGCCCCAACCTCCTCATCACCGGTTCTTCCGACCACGTAAGAATCGAGGCTCCTGTGGTGGGCTAACAGCAGACGATCGGTCTGTGGGACATCCGCAAGCTCTCGCTCAAGCTGCACTCGTTTGAGGCGCACACCGACGACGTGCTGCAGGTCGCGTGGTCGCCGCACTCGCCTGTGCACTTTGCGTCGGCTGCCAGCGACCGGCGGGTCAACGTGTGGAATCTCGACGCGATCGGCGCAGAACAGACGCCCGATGACGCCGAGGACGGGCCGCCCGAGCTTCTGTTCGTGCACGGCGGGCACACGGCCAAGGTCAACGACTTGTCGTGGTCGCCCATGGCCAAGTGGCACATCGCCACGACGGCCGAGGACAACATCCTCCAGGTGTGGGAGCCGTCACGCCACATCCGCGCTGCGGCCGAGGCCGATGTGTCGGCGATGGACCTCGAGTAGTAGATAGAAGATGCGGTGTGTGTTTTCAGAGACGTACGTTGTGCGTTTGGACGTTGCGCTTCGAGACCATCAGCACGTGGCACGACTTATACACACATACATCGCACGCAAGCCACTGCGCGAATACGGACCGGGTGACGCTTAATGCAGGGAAAGAATATACAAGGACATTGGGTATGGTCGGGTGACTCCGCGGGCGTGCGGGGGAGTATGATGGGTCCTGCCTAAGCACTGGAGTAGAAGCTGTGGAAAGGCAACGACGGGGAGGAGAGAGAACAGGCAGGGATATGTATCCTAAAACAAGGAGGAGGGGAAGAAGGGGGGGGCATGACAAGCTCTTCGGCGACAAACAGCCAGGCAAGAGAGAGGGAGCGGCTACTCGCTGTCGGACGAGGTGAACGGGACCAACTCGCCGTCAGAGTTCGTAACCATAAACTCAACCTCGTCTTCCCAGTCCGAGTCGCACTGGTCTATAGGGGTGTCCACCATCGATGTTGACAGATCGGGCTCGTCGTCAACGCTACACCGAGCAAGCGCCTGGACGATATTGGCGATGAGGGTCTGATCAACGGCGGGTGATCCATTAGCAGCCTTGACGGGCGCATGGTCGGCGGGGGTGTGAGCTGAAAGAGGAACCGATGAAGTCTTCGAGGAAGAATCCTCCAAGGCAGGGGCGGAAGCGATACGGGGGGCGAGCCAGGCGCGAACCTCGGAAAGCGATCGAGGTGGCTCGCTCAACAAAACTTGGGTCAGCACAGTACTGCTTTTGTCGACGCACGCTTGTGGAAGATGATCATGGTATACTAGGATTAGCGCGATAGAGAGGAAGTGATTCTCACCGCAGCGTCGTTGCCCGCGTTGTCACTGGCAGTGTAAGCTGGATCGTTGGGCGTCCCAAAGAGGATAGTCATAATTTCCTTGAGACTGCGACGTGTGAGACAGTCGGCGCCTGCCGTGCTCCCAGGTAGACCGTTCTCTACCTCGCCGAAGAGGCGCGCGGTGTCCTGGATATATTAGCTGTGATCAAGTATAACGCTCACGATCCAGAACTTTTGCCCATTGCTGTGAGCGTTCGCGGAACCCGTGAGCTCGGTTTTAACTCCTCCGATGTTGATACCGAGATGGTCGAACCCGGCAGCGTCATAATCGGTGGAGTGAATGACAAAGTCTGCGGTTACGACGGAGGAAGGTGGGGTAACGTACACACAGGACCCCTCCCGGAACGGATCCACAAGTCTACGAGCTTCTTCTGGAACTCCCCCTTGATGCTAGAGCGCGGCTTGAGGAGACTGCTTCGAGTAAGCTGATCCTCCATGGCGAAGAGGTAAGGAGTCGGTCCTCCACCAAAGGCAATCTCCTCCTCGACACTGTTATCAGTTAAGCTGGTGCCCATAACGCTACTCACAGCCAGTGCTCGCGGTCAGAAACGGCTATAAAGTTGCCTGGCTCATCGGGGTCCTCGAGAAACAACATTGCGTCGTACCCAACGTCCTTAAGCTCGGGCTCATTGTCAATGTTGGGTTGTTCACGAGTGTAGACGGCGATAAACAGGGCGCGACCAGTAGCCGGGTCATCCTCCAACACATTGGGGTCCCGCTCCTGGAGGCGTTCCTGTTCGGTCTTGAGGCCGCCGACCAAGGCCAGGGCCACTGCCTGCTGGGCGAGTTCAAAGTATCCGAGATCAGGCGAGGACTCGGGGTTGGAGGCAGAGGGAGCCGCAGACGCATCGAGGGGAGGAGTGCTGGGGGTCACTGCTGGAAGCATGGGGGCGTGCCCGAAGCCGTTGCCTCGACGCTTATTCTCCTTGCGTAGCTTGACGTCCACCTTCCTTGGGTCCTGGCCCGCGGCGACAGGTGTCTTGTGTGGTCAGCTTTGGGGCTCTGGAGAAAGTGGAAAGGAGAACAAACAACTCACGACCGACTTGAACGACTCGGCTGGAATGAAACCAGCAGGAAGGGGAACACGTCGAATGGGTTTCTTGTCATCCTTACGGCTCGTGGCAGGGTTGGCGCAGTTGTTGGGGTGATTGGGGTCGGTGAGACCCATCTCGTAGATATAGTGCTGGAGATACTGCACCTGACCAAGGGAGTAGCAGAGCTGACGATTGCCGTCCGCAAACTCGCCTGCGAGTGTCAGCAACGGGGGCGTGCAAAAGGAGATCGACGAGGCTCAGTGCGGCCAACAGAACGAACGGGATCACAAAAAATTGAAGATCGCCGGGACGCGGATGCGACACAACTCACCGATGTAGAACGGCACCTCCTTGGTCGTGGCGTCGGCGAGAGGGTGATCGGGGTTCTTGAGCTCGTTCTTGTGGACAAGAGACGTGATGGCGCGACGCTGGTGTAAGAGGAGAAGGTGGGGAGGAGACTCACCTCATACTCGTTGGTGCAGGCCTTTGCCCAGCTGAAGGTGATGCCGGCCCAGCGATAGTAGCCTTCGTCGGTCTCGACGAGAGGGGGAGTAGAGGAGGAGGAGGAGGAGGAGGAGGAGGGAGGAGAGGAGTCGCGAGGGGTGGCCACGATGGTCTCGGGGCGGCCCTCGGCGTCGACAAGGTCTACCATGATGGGGATGTGGAGAAAAGGAGATGATTGTCGCCCGGTGTGTACATGTACACTCACCTCGCACACTGACCACCTCCACCTTCCTCTCCGCGGAGTTCCCACCCTCTCCGCACGGAGGCATGCAGTGACGCCACGGCACGTGGCGTAAATTGTGTACGACTGCCATTGTGGCTGTGGGCTGGGGACGGAGCACCGGCGCGGATAGCCGCTCGATGTCAGATCATTGTGGTCGACGCCTGCTGCTCGTTTCCTCGTCGCCATCGCCATCTCCACCATGTTTGCCGCCACGCCACGGGGCGCCCGTGCGCCCCCCCTCGCCCGCGCGATGAGCCAGCACGCGCGCACGCACATCCCCGTGATCCGGTCGCTGGGGCAGATGCGGCGCTGGCGCGCGCAAGCGCGCGCGCTGGGTCTCGAAGTCGGGCTGATTCCCACGGTGCGTCACGGTCTTTCGCGCTGACACCAGATGGGGGCACTGCACGACGGACACTTGAACCTCGTGCGCGCGAGTGTGAACCGGCACCCGTTGACGGTCATGTCGCTGTTCGTGAACCCGACGCAGTTTGCGCCGAACGAGGACTTGACTGCGTATCCGCGCACTTTCGAGAGCGACATGGACAAGCTGCGCGGGCTGCTACGCCAGGGGCCTGCGGCGGTCATCCACGGCCTCGGGATAAGCGAGTACGACCGCCGGTTGCCACGGCAGAACCCGGGGCCGCCGCAGGGCGAGAGCCCACTCGTCGTCTTCGCACCCACCGTCGACACCATGTATCCTTTGCGCGGCGAGCTGCAGAATCTGAAGGAGCACAAGGGCGCCAGCGTGAATGTACGGGGATGGGGAGACGTCATGGAGGGCGCATCACGCCGTGAGTTTGACAATGGGGCGTGCTGACGCCCAGCCCAGTTCTTCACCGGCGTCGCGACAGTGTGCACCAAGCTCTTTAACGCTGTCGAGCCGGATCATGCCTACTTTGGCCAAAAGGATATCCAGCAGGCGTTGCTGCTCAAGATTCGTGAGTCTCCGCCGGTTGGGAGAGCCGGTGTCAAGCGCCCCTGAGGGACCGTATGCCGCCCACCTACACCTATGCGCTGGAGAGTAGTAGGCAAGCGTGGGATGCTCTTCCGTGGACGTCGCCCTCCATAACCTTTAGCGCAGGCTCCGAGTGTGGCATGCCGCATGCGTAGTAGTCGGCGTGGGCAACAGCAACGTCTGTACGCAGCACTAACCCCAGTCCAACAAGACCTCCTCTCCTCACACCCCCTCCCCGAGAACCTCCACATCCTGCCGACGACGCGCGACAAAGACTCTGGCCTGGCGCTCTCGAGCCGGAACGCGTACCTCTCTGACGCGGAGCGCAAAGTCGCGCCTGTCCTACAGCGGGCGCTGCAAGCCGCGCGGGCGGCATGGGATAGCTGCGCGAGCGGCGCAGCCATGATCGAGGTGGCGCAGCGCGTGGTCGCGGAGGAGCAGGAGCGGATCCGTGCGGCTGGCGAGGAAGTGCGCCTCGCGCCCGACTACTTTGAGGTGTTTGACCGGCAGACGTTTGCGCCGTTCCGCGGCACGCCGAGCGGCGAGGACAAGCTCGTGGTCTCGGGCGCGGTGTGGGTCGGCCGGACGCGGCTCATTGATAACCTCCTCCTGGGGTGGGATGCTGAGGCGCTCGACGTGTCGGCGGACGTGTAGGCTCTAAGAGAGAGTGGAAATGCCCGGCAGGCTAGTGAGGGCAGGGCATTCGCGTAGCTTGTGAGACTAGGAGGTAGAGACTTGTGTGGCTGACAATGTCTGTCTCTTGTCTCATGTGTCTCATACCCACCTGCCCCCGGCGCGCCGGCACCGAGATGCAATGTCTCTTAACTGCAGAATGAGCAGGGATGAAGCATGCAGGGCGCCGAAGATGCCAAGACTGATCTACCGCAACAGGCACGCCACGACTCGTCGTTTCCGTCTGGCTCGATCTCTCACCCGGCCCAAACTCTCACCAAAGCATTGCATTCACCTGACCCCCAGGGCATAATTATAGCGGTGCCAGACTGCAGCTGGTGCCAGTACCAATGTGAGGCACTGGAGCAGGCCACCGGTGGTATGTGCGCTTCTACGTATGATGCTGTCGATCTCCTCTGCGTCTCTTCTACACAGTAAGGTCACGCTTGTTCTTCTCCTCGGGCGGCGTGCCCGAGCCCTGTGTGGCCGAGTCGCCGTCGTGCTTCGATTCGTACACGCCGGCATCGTAGGCGTTCGCGGCCGCGAGGCGCTCTTCGCGGCGAGCTTCGAGCCGCTTCGCCGCGGCAGACTTGACGCGGCCGCCGCAGGTAACGCGCCCCTCGGTCCACTTGTAGTAGATGAGGGCGGCCATGACGGCGATCCAGTAGAAGCAGTATCCGAGGATTGTGCCGAGAGATGCGTTGTTGTTCCAGCCGAAGATGGCGTTGAAGATCTGCCAGCCGCCGTTGGTGGTTGGCGAGCCGGTCTCGGGGTTGCCGAAGGTGATGTGCCAGACGTTGCCGTGGACGTCGTACGAGCCGGGCCCGTCGCCGGACTCGGCGACGTCGCCGCCCACGGCCTTGGCAAACTTGTAGTACTGGAAGAAACCGATGGCCTTGGAGAAGAGGCCGGCGCCGATGAGGAAGAGGATGGTGGTGGAGATGATGAGGAACCAGTGGAGGGTGGTGCTCGAACCCGTCTTGTAGATGAGGTAGCCGACGATGGCGCCGGCGATGAGGCCGACGACGACGGGGAGGGGGATGGAAGTCGCGGGAATGCCGAGAGACACACCGCCGACGAAAACCACGGCCTCAAGACCCTCACGCAGCAGCGTGATTAGGGGAAGGAGGAAAAGCGACCACTTGGCCGTCCACGATGGCTTCTTGTACGCGGGGCCTTGGCCGGACTCGGCCATCATCTTGGCGGACTTGTGGTCGAACGCCGCGGCAAGCTTGTAGCGCCACTTGATGCGCGAGCGGTCCATCTTCAGGAAGGCGATGCCCATGAGGAAGATGAGAATGGAGGCGATGAGGCTGAAGACACCCTCCCACAGCTGCTCGGACTTGGACCAGAGGTCGCTGAGCTTGGTGTAGAACTGTGGTGAGTGTGTATAGGGCGAAGGGGACGCACGACTGCGATGAAGGCCGCACCGATGCAGAGCGCGATGAAGAAGCCGACGAAAGTGCCCGCCCAGATCTGGTAGCGCATACGCTTGACAATCCTCTTGACCTTTTCGTTATGGGGACCATCGTCGGGTCCCACAGCCTCGTCGATGCGCTCGGTGGGCGACAGGCGGCCCGAGTTCATGAGCTGCTCGACGAAGGAAAGCAGAACCGAGACGATAATGGCCGCTTCGATCACCTCGCCTGGGTGTGAGTGCGACGCCGGTGAGATGACGGCGACTCACGGAAGACGATGAAGAAAATGGGCACGTTGAACACGTTGTTACCCATGTTGGCTGCTGGTCGTGGGTAGGGGATGAGAGGGGTGACTGAAGCCGGAGTGGGAAGCTACTTGACTGAGCAGGGCAGTACGAGAGGTGAGGCTTTATCGCGAGCAAAGTGTCTCAGATGGCGGCCTTTTGACAGACAGATGGAAAGAAGCGCTGATCGGGCTCCCTAAGAGACCTTTATCTTCTGAGATGCATGCACACAGCAGCAGCGGCTAACGTACCAGCGTACAGTGCAGCGAGTGTGAGCGCCCGCCGCATGACCGTTACTTTTTGGTATAGAGGCGGGGTAGATCGGCTCCTAGAGGAAAGTGTTCTATTCTGGTGCGCGACCCCCACTGGCCGCCAGCTTGGCACGGCCGACGAGGAATCTTCTCAGTGGCCGACTTGATGGAACGCGAGAGCAGCCAATTTTATCTCTGCTTTGCTTGGCCAGTAGTGGTGGCATTGTGCAAGTGCGGCTTGTGCAGGGGCATGCAGCTAGGAACAAGAACAAGGGATGGTGGCTGCAGGCTGCGAGCCGTCAGGAGAGATGCCGAACAGTTCATTAAGATGTGTCTCTCTGGTATCCTGCTGTCTACTGAACATTCAGAGGAGACAACAGGGCGCCAATACACGCCCGTTCCAGACGACTCGCTTGGACGCTCCACGCCTGTGAGGTCGTAATCTGATGCATACTGGCATGCAGCATGTGGGTTTGCATGTAAGATCGGGCGAGCTGCTTATTTCGCACGGACGTGGTTGGACGAGGGTGCAGTTTCATTACTGCTGGGACGCAGATGATCAGAGATGTTGACGTACAGCAGGCATCAGCTGATGGGTGATGGGGAGCTATATTGGGACGTGGTCGTCAATGTCTGAGGCCAAACGCGCGCTCCACCGAGGCTAATGTCAATTCCGCATGTTGCGGGTTGTCCACGCCAGCCAGGCCGAGGCGGAGGATATGAAGAGGTGAGAGGCAAGGCACAGGTGGCACTGGCTACGGGGGCTGCAATTGAGAGCCACGATGGGAGGATCGTGTTATTGTTGGCATTTTCGCTTTGGCCGTGAGGGTAACCGTGCAGTGCGCCAGATGGCTAGGCCGAAATCAAGAGGGACACCGGGGCCGGTGAATGTATTTCGCGCGAAATGAAGGAAATCAAGATGGCAAGATGGGAGGATGACGAGATGATATCGGCCCCGGGAATGCGAAGAATACCATGATATGGTTGGCTGGAATGCAAGTGCCACTGTACGATTATCGGCCGATAATGTTCAGGCACATTTGATCCCGTCCCCTCGTCGGGTGATCCTACCCGATACAAATGATTGGCGCCCCCCTTTGGCCCCTGGCTCCCTCTGAAACACCACTGTACGTTAAATGGGGGGATGGATCTAGGAGGGTAAGACTGATTCCGGCCGACGGTGATATTGTATTGAAGCCTGTATTCTATTTGATTATTAATCCACATTTGTAATGCAACTCGCCATCAGCCACATCGCCATCATCCCATCCTTGCATATCCCTCTCTCTCTCTCTCTCTCTCTGCTCTCCTGCCTCTGCTCGCCTGCCGCCTGCCCGGGCAGCCCGCTGGAACGGGTGGAATCGCCCGAGCCTGGACGACGACGTAACCCTCACTCACCCAAACAGTCCGAGGCGGCGTTATCAGATTAGACATCGGGAAAAGAGCTTGCACCACCTTTGCACTCGTCTGCCCGCACGCACAGCACCGCACCCTCTGCACTCCGCACTGTCGCTCTGCCCACGCACATGTCGCTCGTTCGACTCATCCTTTTGGGTTTCCATTCTCCTCCTGCATCACTGCTGCCTTGATCAAATTCCACCCCACCCGCTGGCTGGCCACGCGCAGTTGCAGAGTCGACTGTGGCCGAACAGGAAAAGTGACCGGCCGGCTTTCCGATCCCTCCGTCGACACTATTCCCACTCGATCCATCGGGCGAGAAACAGTCACCTCTCCATCCCCCCGCTCTCTCGCCAAGCCACTACTCTTCTCCACTGCTCCACCTCATCAAATCTTGTCATTGCACTCTTAATCTACTCTCCCTCTCCCCCCTCGCCACCCGACAAAGCGCCCCCGCCTCTCGCGACATGTCTGTCGCCGTGCCACCACCTCCCCGCCAACCTCGTCCACGCCCAACCGAGGTAGCACCCAAAATGCCCGCCGCGCGCCTCCAAGCCCGCGCACCTGCTCCAGCCCGGGCCGCAGTCCCAGCTCCAGTCCCAGCCCCCGCCCCACCCCCTCCTGCCCCCGTCACAAAAGTCTCCCCAACCACATCCACCTCCGCCTCCTCACCAACACTATCCACCGGCTCGACCCCCGGTCCCTCCCGGCGCCCCGGCGCACCCGCGCCCGTCGCCGCCTTCGCCATGCCCGGCAAAGACACGTCGTCGTCGTCAGGCAAGATCTTTGCCAAGCCCAGCAAAGAGTGGGTGCTCCCCGAACGTGCAAAGCCCGGCCGCAAAGCGTCTACACAGGAACCCGAGAGCAAGCGGCAGAGCCAGAACCGCATGAGCCAGCGTGCCCACCGCGCCCGCCGCACAGACTACATCCAGACCCTGGAAGAGCGGCTGCGGCAGTACGAAGCCGACGAGATCCACTCCAACGTGCGGCTGCAGGAGGTCGCGCGTGCTCTCAAAGCGGACAACGACAAGCTCAAAAGCGAAGTGAGTGCGCTGGGCTCGGCGCTGGCTGCCGCCCGCAAAGAGCGGGAGGCGTGGACGGCCGAGCGGCGCGCCCTCACGGACACGGTCCGGACGCTGCGCGCGCAGCTCGACGCCGCCGCGCGGCGGCCGAGTGCGACCGGGCCCTCGCCCCGTCTCGACGACCGCATCGAGTACGAGCTCGCTGCGCTAGCGCGCTCGCCCGCGCCGACGCCTACGCTCTCCCCGCTCGCCGTGACGCCGCGGCACGCGGCCACGCCGCCGCTCGCGCGCGCGCCGCAGCCGGGCCTCGCCTGCCCCATCTGCCCCGACCCCGATCCCGACTGTCCGTGCCAGCGCCCGTCGTCGCCCGCCCTCCTCCCCGCCCCGGCGCGCGGCGCCGACCTCACTCTCCTGCAAGCGACGGGCAGTTTCGTCGTCGGCTCGCCGCGGTGCGGGCTATGCGACCTCGCGCCCACCGCATGCCTCTGCGCCCCAGAGGAAGACATCAAGCCCGTGATCCCCCGCTCGCCCTCGCCGCACGACACGGCCATGGACTGCGGGCTGTGCACGAGCTCGTCGTTCTGCGCGTGCCGCGCCGGCGCGGCCGCGGCCGCGGCGCCCGACCCGCCCCTCGTCGCACAAGCGCAGATCGCCGCCCCTGCGGTGCCGCTGCGCCTCCGCGCGCGCCCCGCTGCCAAACAGAGTGTGTGGAAACTCGACAACGTGCCCGCCGGCCAGAGCCGGTCCGAAGCCGTGTGTACCGGCGACCCGAGCAACTGCGATGCGTGCCGCAACGACAGCTTTGGCCGCGAGTTCTGCGGGCACCTCTTCGGCGTGCCGGACGGCAAAGAGGCGTGTGCGGGGTGTGCGAACGGGCGCTGTGGCGGTGGCGGGGCCGAGAAAGCCGCGTCGCGCAGCATGAGCATCTCATCGCTCATGGACGGGCCTGTGCCCTCGAGCGCGCCCGCGACGCCGGGCGCCGCGCCGCTCGTCCTCGCGTGCTGCGGCGCGCCCGAGCTCTGCGGGCACGCCGCGGGCTGTGACCCGGCCGAGAGTAAGCCGGGGACGGAGAAGGACAAGGAGAGGGAGAGGGAGAGGGAGAGGGAGAAAGAGATGATCCGGCCCGATGAGGCGTGGAAGCAGCTCAAGGCGCACCCGAACGCGCAGTTCACGCCGCTCGCCGTGCTCGCGGACGTGGTAGCGCGGCGGACCAAGTGCGATGGGCCGCGCGTCGAGCTCTCCCCGCCGCCCGACGAGCGGCGGCTCGCGGACGCGCGCGCCACGCTTGCCGGCAAGCGCATGGCGGTCGAGACGAGCGCGTTGCGCGACGCACTCAAGTATCTCGACACGCACCCGACGCCGGGCAGCCCCGCCAAGCGCCGCCGCATGCAGTAGAGCGAAGCAGTGTAGCATAGACGATGTACAAATGCGTGTTATGTGGCTGCGGCGGTCGTGGGCGTCTGGTCCGCCGCGCCCGCCTTGTCCGTCCCCGTGCCCGAGCCCGAGCCCGAGCCGGCCGCGGAATACCGCTTCATCATCCAGCGGAGAAAGGACGGCACGTCCTCGGCAATGCTCTTGGGCAGTGCGGAATTCGTCACGAAGCGCGGGATGCTCCCGCCCGCATCAGACGACGTCGCCATGCGCCACTCGGTGCGCCCCTCATCGAGCTCGCGCACGCGCTCGACGCTCACGTACTTGCCGCGCACGCGCGCCTTCTCCGGCCCCCGCTTTTCGGGGCACTCGGGGTGTGCGAACGGGAGCGAGACTGGTAAGCGCTGGCTATGCGGGACATACTGTTCATGAAGCGGCGCTGGCCGTGTGGCGCGACCGCGAGCTCGCGCGACAGCAGGAGCACGACGAACGTGCGCGGGCTGGTGGGTGCGGGCGTGACGTATGTCAGGCGCCAGACTTCCGCGACGTGCGGGACGAGGACGGCGAGGCACTCCGTTTCGCGGCACGATTCGATGTAGCTTGCGTCAGCGGGTGTGGGCGAGCGTCAGCGAGCTCGCAGCGCTGGTGTGCGCATCGCTAATGGGCTAGCGTGGAAAAAACCCACTCCCGCTCATGCTCAGAATGATACTCCAACAAGCCGCGCCGGAAGTGCTCGTAGATGCCCCGCGGGTGCTGCGACATGACGCGCGCTTGGCGCGCCACCTCGTCCAGGTCCGCCGAGGGGCGGCGGCCGTCGTGGCTCAGCCGCTTCGAGAGGGAGCGCATGAGCGCGAGCGGGGTCATGGAGGAGGGCGCGGTCGCGTCCGGCGCGTATGGACGCAACGAGGCGGCGTCGTGGCTGCTGATTCGCCCGCACCAGAACTCGCTTACGCCGATGGACTTGCGGAGCTGGCGTTAGACGAGGGGTTCCGGCGGCGAAGCCGCAGGGCGCGGGAGGGCAGAGGGAGAGCCAGAAATAGGAGGAGGGCGGAATGGAAGACGCCCCGCCGAAGGGCGTCCTCAACTCACCTTCGAATGCGCACCGCCCGTACTCAAGCTCCGGATCTGTACCGTCCCGTTCTCTTTGAGCCCGCCGTCGCTCCATTCGCTGCTGTTAGCACGGCCGCAACCCCACCCACTCCATCGAGTCCGCCAGCCGCTCCCCCGCGGCAAAGTAGGCGTCGAGGAACGCCGCGAAGTCGTCCGGCGCCGCCGAGGGGTTCGGGATGTCCTGTGGTTAGGAGCTGGCAAGCTGGTGGACGGTAGTAGGACACGGCCGAGCAGAGGCTGAGATATCGTGATTGCTTTGCGTCTCTTCTGCCGAAACACTGGAACCGATGAGACGCGACTGAAGCTCTCTCGGGGGCGACGTCGGTCGCTCCACCCCACTCTTCTGTCTCTCTCTTCTGCCCCACCTCACCCGGCCCCTCCCCACTCGCCTGCCACCCCTCTCCCTCGTACTCCCCCAACCTCACTCACATCAAAGGTCAGCGGCTTGAGGTCGAAGGTTATCTCGCGGCCCATCGTGATGATTATTGACAAGTCAGCAGTTACCAGAAATACGTCAGCATGGCTTCTGACAGATCGGTGAGTGCCTCGGACGATCGCCGCGGTGCGGGGTCCCCGGAAATATACCCCCGTCATCAACGCCGCAATGCTCGTGCGGCCATCTGCTGCATCTCTCTCGATCTCTCTCTCGCCATCTCTCCAGCTCGCTATTCTCGCTCTTCTCGTCGTCGCTGCTCGCAGTGGGGTATACAAGCAGCCCCGCTCCATTCTTGCCCTCTGGCATCTAGCGCTCATCAAGCCACCCACCACCCGGCTCTGCTCGCACGACCTCATCGCGATGGACTACGACCCCCCGCCATGCGGCGAGCCCATCCCTCCATTCCTCGCTAAAATCCGTGCCAGCGCGCGCGCGCCCATCTCCGTCCCCCTCGCTGCAACAGACGGCGGGTCTAGCACAAACACACTGTATATCCCCCCGCCCCCGCCTGCAGTTGAGGAGGACGTAGTTCCGCCCGAGAACTTCTCGGCGGTCACTCACGGCGTGTACCGCTCGGGCTTTCCCAAAAAGCGCAACTTCAAGTTCCTCGAGACGCTGCAGCTCAAGACTGTTCTGTGAGTGACCCCGCGCGCAATCTGACACCAGAACGTTAGTCCTCGAGGACTACCCCGAAGCCAACCTCCAATGGTGCCAGGACCAGGATATCCAGTTCATGGTGTGTCTTGCGTTGCGCGGGTCTGACGCACAGCAATTCGGCATTCCCGGCAACAAAGAGCCGTTCGACAACATCCCCGAAGACGTGATCTGCTCGGCGCTCGTGGCCATTCTCGACCGCCGGAACCACCCCCTCCTCATCCACTGCAACAAGGGCAAGCACCGCACCGGCTGCCTTATCGGCTGCATCCGCCGCCTGCAGAGCTGGAGTATGACGTCGATCTTTGACGAATACCGCCGCTTCTCGGCGCCCAAGTCGCGCGCTGTCGACCAGCAGTTCATCGACCTCTTCGACCTCGCGCCCGTGTGGGAGGAGGTCATGAGCCCCATGGGCGGCGGGCTCGCCAACTTGCCCGCGTGGCGCATGCTTGCCTTGCCAATGAGATTGGCGACGAAGCGGAGCGCGATGGAGCGCGAGAAGGGTGAGCGGGACGAGAGGGAGAGACGGCGCCGCGAGGCTGTCGCGGTGACGGGGCCGGTCGCGATGATTGACGCGCCGCCGGTCGTGGATATTGGCATGGAGGTGGTTGCGAGGTAGGCGGTGGGAAGGGGACGTTTGTAAAATGTAATATGAACGATGGCAGTTGTCAACCAAGGCAGTGGGCTGCTCTCTACTAGCCCACTGCAACGAACGTCAGGAGTGCAAGCAATGTGAGCGCATCAGTCATCCCCTTACCGCCTATCCGCTGTAGGCTCCCTCGCCTCTCGCTCGTCGACATCTTCATAGCGCTACTTATCTCTAACCATCTAAGTAAGCCTCACCGTCGTGACAATGCGCCACTGGTCTGCCGTGCCATTGATGTCGACCACAGCCGCCTCGGTACAACTAATCTCGATTGGCCACTGCGCGCTCTGCGCAGCGCTCGCGGCGATCTCCTGCCGCTTCCCCTCCTCAAAGTCGCCGTAACACAGCGACAAATGCGGGAAGTACGGCAGGGCGCTCTCGCCGAGCCGCTCGGCAATCGCCGTGCGAAGCGCGACGAGCGACGCGGCGCTCGCGGGGTCGACAGGCGAAAGCACGCACTGGTAATACGCATCACCAACCTGCGGCGGGCCGAGGCGCAGCTTGATGCCGGGCTCGGCGGCTTCGCCGGCGCGGTCGTACGCCTCAGGGTCGCGGTTGAGCCAGCCGGCGTCGCCGCGCCGCACGCCCGGCTCGTCGGACTGCATGTCGCGCGCGAGCATGCTCGCGTTCACGCCGTGGTGGAGCGCCGTTTCGAGGGCGTCGGGGTCGCGCGCGACGCGCGGCGAGAGGAGCGTGATGTGCGGCATGAAGGCGGGCGAGCCGGCGCCCTTCGAGAGCGAGAACACGAGCTCGCGCAGCGTCTTGGCGTGCTCCAATGGCGGGAGGAGCCAGAGGCAGTAGCCTTGCAGCGCATGCGCTTGGTCCGCGGCGCCGGCGGGCGCCGCGCGTTCCAGCTTTTCCTGCTGCCGCTCAGCGAGGCCGGCCTTGAGTTTCTCGAGCATGATGAGAGGAGTGTGATTGAGACAAGGGACGTGTTCAATTCATCTTGGCGGTGTCGCGGTACGTCATAGGTCGGTCACATCCTCGCCACCGAGGCGCGACGCGCCTTCAACCAACATGTCCATGCGCTTCCATCATGCATTTCCATCCAGCAACGCTCTAGACGCTAGCAGCGGGTATCTAGGATCTAGCCAGTCCATGCGTCCGTGCGCTGCTCAGCACACCGCGCAACCTCCTTGCTCAGGTCGCCCTCGCCGTCCATGACGTCGAGCGTGAGCCCCGCCGTACCCGGCTGCGCAAGAACTTCCCAGCACGCCTTGGCGACGAGCTCGCGCGACGTCGCCTCGATCTGGAGCGCGCCGACCTTGGCACCGCCCGCCGGCTCGTCCATCAGCCGGCCGGGGCGGATGACAGTGTAGTCGAGCTGCGTGTCGTGCAGCGCCTTCTCGGCGTCGTACTTGGCCTTGAGGTCTGGGGTAAGTCTCGTCCTAGTCGCGCGGGGTCGACTCACACATCCCGATCGCGCCCCACGCCATGTCGCTCATGGTGCGGCTCGCCTCGGTGTAGTGCGCCGGCACGGGCTTGGAGCGGTCACGCACGTCCACGGACGAAATCATGACGAAACGCTTGACACCCGCGAGCCGGCACGCCTCGTACACCTTCACGGCGCCTTGGTAGTCGACTGTACGAGTGCGCTCCTCGGTGGAGCCGGCGCCAGCGCCGGCCGCGAAGAGCACCGCGTCCGCCTTGCGCTCTTTGAGAAGCGCGGCGAGGTCCTCGGCGCTAGCGGTTTCGAGTGAGAGAATCGCCGGCGTCGCCCCGAGCTTTTCGAGATCGGCATTGCTTTCGTCAGCAGATGCAAAAGAAGGCGAATACGCACTGCTTGTCGTCGCGCACGACGGAAGTGACCTCGTGCTCGCCGCGGAGGCGGGCAAAGTGGCGCGCACACTGGCCGCCGCCGCCGAAGACTACAACGTGCATTTTGGGGAGGAGGGATAAAGGGGTCTGGAGGAGAGCGGGAGCTAGGTTGACGCTGATGCCGAGTTGCCTTTGCGGAGAAGTGGACGAGAAGAATGAACTGCTGTCTCCAAACACTCTGGTTGAAGGGGGAGCTCGAGTTGCCAAGAACCAGAGCAAGTCAGCAATATGGCCAAATTACGTCACAAGCCAATGATATGATCACCGACTTCCGTCGGAAAACATTCGCCTCCACTTTCTCTGCTATCTGTTCGATTATCAACCCGACGCCAGCTACGCCTGTTGCCATGATCGAGCAAGCACCTCGCTAAGAATTGCGGCCATATCGGCCCGAATAAGGGAGGATATGCGCTCGTGGCCATGGAAGGAGTTGGAAGGTTCTCAAGAGAGATGAAAACCTGGGTTCCGCGTGGGACGACGCATGCACGATCAAGTAAGCGAGCGCGGTCGCGCCGCGGCCCATGGTCAAGACTCATGGTGCCGATAGCTTGCGAGCAGTTTGTTTAACGAACGATACCGCGAGCCTTGGGAGCGGGAAGCTTCAGAGCTGAGCCGGCTTGTGGAGCGATCAAGGCGAGAGCGCGAGCCGGTGACTGGCGACGGAACGCGTGGTGCCACCCAGGCACGTTCGTTGGCCTCACCTAGATACTGCTGACTGATGAGAGTCTTTTGTTTGCTGACTAGTGCACATTCCACCATCTTCCGACATGCTGCTGAATATTCCCCCGCGACTCATACTGACCCCGAAACGCCCCCGGTGGCTGTCACGGAGCCGAAGGCTATCACCCCACTTGCCATAAGGGCGCAACCTCCAGAAGGACGTACTGACGGCCAGATTGGAGTTGGATGACTGTACTATGTGGCGTGGAACCATCACATATGGCGATTACGGGTCCGACCTAGTGTACTGATTCAGCAACTCACGCTAATAGCGCTCACTCGCCCACTGACCGACGCCGAAGGTGTGATGGCGTGCAACTGTGCATGGCGTTCTTGGGGCCTATAAAAGCGGGGGGATGCTGTCCACCGCTACATCCATTCTCCCCCCGTCCCCCCCCCCCCCCCCCCCCCCCCCCCCCCGCTCTCGGCCTGCTTTGTCTCTTTGGGCGATCGTATCTCCAGCAAGGACCAGTCTTAAAATCTTGCTCTTTCTGGCCACCCCATCCTCTCCCTGTCATGTCGCTTGATCAGAAGACCTTCGAAAACTCAGCTCGTCGCCCTTCTGACGAGACGCTGTGTCCGAATGCCGGCCTCAGCGCTTGCCCGGAAGGAGAGTCTACCGTTGTCGACCTCGTAGCTCTCAAAGCCAACATCAACGATGGCAAGGATGAGGAGGCCCCCGCGCACAAGGAGGAGGAGCACGAAGAGCCTTCTAAGACCGCCGCTCCCGACTTATCGCAACCCATGAAGTGGACGCTGTTGTTCATCTTTTCGCTGGCGTTTTTCATTGACGGTAAGCCTCCCCTGCCACACATGCACTAACTCCAGTCCTCTCGTACTCGGCATTCTTCGTCCTCACGCGTAGCATCGCTCACGAGCTCAAGATCAGCTTTGCAATGCAGAGCTGGATCATCACCTCATACGCCGTCACCTTCGCCTCGTTCCTCCTCTTCTGGGGCCGCGTTTCGGATCTGTACTCGGCCACCCATGTGTTCACGTACGGTTTCCTCGTCCTCGGTCTCATCAACCTAGTGATCTCGTTCCTCCCGGAAAAGTTTTCCTTTCTCGTCATTCGCGCCATCTCCGGCATCGCAGGCGCCGCCCTCATCCCCGCCTCCTACCGCCTCATCGCGCACGTCTTCGAGCCCCACGAGCTTGGTAAGGCGTACACTCTTTACGGCATGACCGGCGGCATCTCAAACGTCATGGGCGTCATTCTCGCCGGCTTCATCGAGTACATTCCCGGCGGGGGCCAGATGAGCGCATGGCGCTGGTTCTTCCGCATCGTCGCCATCATTGTCGTCCCCTTCTCGCTCCTCTCCCTCCGCATCGTGCCCATGCAGCGCGGCGGCGAGAGCGCAGGCTCGTCCCGCTGGAAGCGCCTGGACGTCGGCGGCGCGTTCCTCGCCCTCTCCGCCATCATCCTCCTCACGCTCGGCTTGACGCTCGGTGCATCGCACGGCTGGCGCACGCCCGGTTTCCTCGTGCCCTTCCTCCTCTCGTTCGCCCTCTTCCCTGCCTTCTTCGTATACGAGTCGTATCTCGGCGAGGAGCGCGCCATGCTCCCCGCCAAGACGTGGCGTGTCCCGAACTTTGCCCTCTTCATCGCCTTCTCCCTTCAAATCTACCCGTGGTGGGCCGTCAACTTCCTCGGTCTCATCGAAACCTGGATCGGAGTGTACGAGGAGCGCGCGATCGTTGCCGCTGTCCGCACGCTCCCCGAGGGTATCATCTCCCTCGCGGTCAGCGCGCTGCTCACCCTTGTCCCCGTCCTCGTGGCCCGCCCGCGCTGGACCGTCGCCTCGGGCCAGCTCCTCGGCGTCGTAGGCTACATCCTCATGTCGCTCCCCACCCGCCTCGTGGGCAAGGACTACTGGCGCTTCCTTTTCCCCGGCATGCTCCTGGGCTCTGGTGGAAACATGGCTGCCTTCATCGGCACTAATGTCGCCATTATGACCTCGGTCCCCGCTGAGATGGCTGGCGTGACCGGCGCCGTCCTCCAGGTCGGTCTGCAGCTGGGCGCAACTCTCGGATTCGCTATCCAGGCCGGTCTCCTCACTGTCAACGAGGGCGGCCTGGCGAACCCTGAGAACCTCCGCGCAAGCTTTTACTTCCAGCTTGGATGGGGTGCGCTCTGGCTCATCGGCTTCGTCGTCCTGTACCGCCCGCCGAAGGCGAAGACGGCGTCCAGCGCCGACGCCGCGGAGCAAGCCCGCCCCATTATTCACTAGACCACTCACCGTAGGAACGCCCATATCGCCGTCTCCTGTTAGATTTCCCCGCGTCCTGTTTCATAGACACACTGTAGCGCATAGTATGAAGTATTGTGAGCTCGATGGGCAGTTACGGATGAGTTGTAGATGTCAGCAGGCGGATCCTCAGGCTCTCATCCTTGTCCAGCCGTGAGGCTACAGACGGCGAGCACATCGGGTTCCGCTGTCGCGCACTGTAGTCGATGATGTGGACATAGGGTGTGACACTGCCACACGTCGAAGCGGGGGCCTCGGCCATGGCGGCCCCGGCAAAATGTCACCCCGCATCGGCTCGGCAACTTGGGCGTCGCCGTGACACGGTGGCCGTCAAATCAGGCGCGCAGCATCGCCCATCCTCGTGTGACTCTGCCTGCATACGTACAGCCGACCGGACACGGGTGGGCGCGGAGCATGCTCGCCGACCTGCAGAATGATGTCAATCCGACCCGGTCCCTGTTGCACCACCAGCGTAAACCACTCCATCTATGTAGAGGGACCGGGTATACCCCTTTATCCGACCTCCACCGTACGGTGGGGGGCGCGGTGGGTAAACCACAGATGGAGACCGAGACTGGGGTATCAGCGTACCCCGGATACGCTCGTACTCGCTCCTCCCACCAACTCGCCCACCCGGACTCTCACGCTGGAGAAATCCAGCAGCAATCAAAAGGCGCGGCTGCACGAGCGGATGCCTCATCCTCTCCCCCGACGAAATGGACGACAACGCAACACTGAACGCGAAGGAGCAGCAGACGGCCGCGGCGGCGCAGGCCGAGGTCGCGTCGCCGGCGAGCATCAACGCGAACACCGTCGCCCTCGGCCTCCTCGTCCTCGCCGTCATCTACTTCCTCATGCCGGGCGGGAAGAAGAAGAAGACGCCTGCGGGGCACGCCGGCGCGGGCAAGAAGGCCAAGGTCGAGGAGGAGGACGATGAAGAGTCGTGGACGTACAAGCTCAAGGAGCAGAACAAGCGCGTGGCCGTGTTCTACGGCTCGCAGACGGGGACTGCGCAGGAGTACGCGCTCAAGTGGGCCAAGGAGGCGCGGTCCAAGTTTGGCCTGTCGTCGCTTGTGCTCGACCCCGAGCAGGTCGAGTTCAAGGTGCTCAACCGCGTGCCCCGGGATAAGGCCGTCGTGTTCGTCATGGCGTCGTATGGCGAGGGCGAGCCGACCGACAACGCCGAGGTAAGCTGCGCCCACTCAGAGTACAAGAGCTGACGCCAGGCAATGATGGAGTTCCTGATGGACGAAGACGTTCAGTTCAGCCACGGCGGCCAGCGCCTCGACAACCTCAACTACATCATTTTCGGGCTCGGAAACACCACGTACGCCAAGTACAACGAGGTTGCGCGCAAGCTCGACGAGCGGCTGCAGGAGCTGGGCGCGCAGCGCATCGGCTCGCGCGGCGAAGGCGACGAGATTGCAGGCACCGAGAAGGGGTACATGGAGTGGAAGGATGGGATGTGGGCCGAGTTCGGTGAGCGCCTGGGCCTCGAGGCCGGCGCGGGCGCCGACATCGCCGACTTCTCCATCACGGAGATCGGACGCCAGCACGACTCCAACACCTATCTCGGCGAGCTGTCCGAGCACGCGCTCAAGGTGTCGACGGGGCGCGCCCCCGCCCGCGGGCTGTACGACGCCAAGAACCCGTACCCGTCGCCGGTGACTGCGCGCGAGCTGTTCGCCCTCGACGCCGAGCGCAACTGCGTGCACCTCGAGTTCGACATTTCCGGCACGAACATCTCGTACTCTGCCGGCGACCACATCGCCGTCTGGCCCTCGAACCCCGACATGGCCGTGGAGCGCTTCCTAAGCGTCATGGGGCTGGGCGACAAGCGCGACGTCATCGTCGACGTCAAGGCGCTGGACCCGACGCTGGCCGCGGTCCCCTTCCCGAACCCGGCGACGTACGAGGCCATCTTCCGCAACTACCTCGAGCTTGCGGCGCTCGCGTCGCGCCAGACGCTGGCCGCGCTGGCCAAGTACGCACCGACGCCGGAAGCGCGGGCGATCATGGAGCGCTGGGGCTCGGACGAGGCCGCGTACGACCGCGAGGTCGACAAGGCGCGCCTGCGCCTCGGCGAGGCGCTGCAGCTCGCGACGGGCAACGACCCCAAGAACCCCAAGGACGCGACGGTGTGGCCCATCCCGCTCGACCGCATCATCTCGCTCCTCCCCCGCCAAAAGCCGCGCTACTACTCCATCTCGTCGTCGTCCAAGATGCACCCGACGACGGTGCACGTCACGGCCGTCGTGCTCAAGTACCAGACGCCCGAGTCCAAGATGCACGGCGGCCAGCCGCGCTGGGTGTACGGCATGGGCTCGAATTTCCTGCAGTCGGTGCAGGAGCACATGCGGTACGGCGACCTCGCGGGCGCGAACACGACCATCCGCTTGGAAGGCATGCCGACGCAGACGCCGACGTACCGCCTCACGGGGCCGCGTGACGCGTACATCAAAGACAATGTGTTGCGGATTCCCGTCCACGTGCGCCGCTCGACGTTCCGCCTCCCGGCGAACACAAAGGTGCCGATCATCATGATCGGGCCCGGCACGGGCGTCGCGCCGTTCCGCGGCTTCGTGCAGGAGCGCGTGGCGATGGCGCGCTCGGCCAAGCAGCGCAAGGGCGACGGCGCGCTCGCCGACTGGGGCGACATGTACCTCTTCTACGGGTGCCGCCGGGAGGACGAGGACTTCCTCTACCGCGACGAGTGGCCGCAGTACGCCGCCGAGCTCGACGGCAAGCTCAAGGTGCTTACGGCCTTCTCGCGCGGCCCGGACCGCAAGCCGGACGGATCAAAGATCTACGTCCAAGACCTCATTTGGAATGCGCGCGACAAGCTCGTGCCTGCCATCCTGCACCAGGGCGCGTTCATCTACATTTGCGGCGACGCCAAAAACATGGCCAAGGAGGTCGAGCGGTGTCTTGCCCAGATGCTTGCCGACCACCGCGGCGGCGAGCTCCACGTCGAGGGATACGAGGAGATCAAGAACCTCAAGGACAAGAAGCGCTTCCAGACGGATGTCTGGTCGTAGCGTTGTCACGCCGCCGCGCCAGCCCCGCATTGTACCAGTAGCCCCTCCATAGTTTGCATAGCACAGATTGTACGGAAGAATCATGAACAAGTTGGCGCATGACGATTCTGCAATGTCTAGAGGTCACAGTGAACATTGACCCGCAGTACAGTCTATACAGTGCATTGCTCTACAATCCTACGAACGCCGAAGGGGATCACTTGGGGCGCTGGTCCTCGGGCGTGTCGGGCTGGTGCATATAGTCGGCCGCCACGAACTCGGGGATGACAGACACATGCTCAAACACGCTCTTGATGGTCGGGAACTTGGTCATAATATCGGGGCAGTACCTGGTGTGAGCTCTGCCATCCGGTGGCTCACCTGAGAACGGTGTACATCTGCGGCACGAACGCGACGTCGGCAAGCGTAAGCCCGTCGCCATAACAGTACTTGCCGCGTGACGTGGTCACAAGGATCGCCTCGAGCGCCGTGAGGTACTCCATGCAGCACTGCTGCGTCCACGGCTCGACGTGTCCGCCGGCGGCTTTGACGCGGTTCAGCGTGCGCATGCTGAGCATGGGGAAGAGGTCGCCGCAGAGCAGGGCGACGATCGAGCGGATGTGTGCGCGCGCGCGCGCCCCCGCCGCGCCCCCGTCGCGCGGGAGGAGCGGGCGCGCGGCGCCGTACACGTCGTCGAGATACTCCATGATCGCGGGGGACTGGGCCAGCGTCCATTCGCCGCTGGCGTCGCGCACCACCAGCGTCGGCACGCTTTGGCCCGCGTTCACCGCCGTGTACGCCGCGCTCTTTTGCTCGCCCTGCAGCAGGTGGATGTAGACGGTGTCGTGCGCGATGCCGTGCAGGTTCATGACGGTGCGCACGCGCGCGCTCGCTGACGAACGGAAGTAGGAGTAGAGCGTGAGCTTGGCGTCGGACATGGGCGAGTTGTTAAGTGAGAGTGGGAGTGAGAGCTGGCTGGCTGAGAGCGAGCTGAGTTATCAAGCACTTGCATGCACGGACTCGGACTGGAGATGATGAATGTCATGTCCGAGATCGGATGGGTATGTGGGCATATCTTCCGGCAAAACCACCGGATCATCGCCTCGGTGGAACCAAGCGACATTCCGTACGTTCGTCTTCCGCATGACTTGAATCTGAATTCTGAATGGCGACCGCGCGGTCTTGCGGCTTAGAGGTCTGCCGGAGTCGATCGGAGTGAGCGACGCAATGGCCATGACGCCGCCGCCACCAAGTGGCGATGAGCCTTCACGCAGATCCGTGAGATCGCGTTGCCACTGCCCCTGGTAAACTCATACTCATTCATGTGCGACTGTCTCTCCGTCTCTGCCCTCAGCTGTGACCAAAACTGCTTGCATGATGCCACGAACCCATACAACACTGCTACGTGCACCTCGCTTTTTAAAGAGTCGACACCTTGTCGAGCCCCTGCCACGCCTTCCAGTAGTCCTGCTGGATCTTGCCGCTCTCCTTGATAGCCCACTTGGTAGTGACAATCTGGTACGCCGACTCGAACATGAACGCCATCGAGCCGTCACCGACCTTGTGGGGCTTGAGTTCGGCGTTGGTCGCCTTGGTGAACGTCTCAGCGTCCGGCCCGTGCGCAGTGTTCATGTTGTGCAGCGACGCGCCGCCGGGCATGAAGCCCTCGGCCTTGGCGTCGTACACGCCCTGGATGTTGCCCATGAACTCGGACATGACGTTGCGGTGGAACCAGGGCGGGCGGAACGTGTTCTCGGCCACGAGCCAGCGAGGCGGGAAGATGACAAAGTCGCACACCGCCGTGCCGGGCTGGTCGCCGGTGGGCGCGGTAAGGACGGTGAAGATGGACGGGTCGGGGTGGTCGTACGAGATGGTGCCGATCGTGTTGAACTTGCGCAGGTCGTAGCGGTAGGGCACGTAGTTGCCCGAGTACGAGACAACGTCGTACGGCGAGTGGTCCTGCTTGTACTGGAAGAGCTTGCCGACAAACTTGTTGACGACAGTGTACTCCTCCTTCTTGTCCTCAAAGGCGGCGACGGGCGACTCAAAGTCCTTGGCGTTGGCGAGACCGTTCGAGCCAATGGGGCCGAGCTCGGGGAGGTGGAAGTGGCCCTTGTAGAGCTCGCAGATGAAGCCCTGCGCGCACTCCTGGGGGTTGGGGTCGACGCGGTCAACGGTAAACTTGAGGCCGCGCTGAACGACCGCAATGTGGAGGGGCGAGACGGCCATCTTGCCGAACTCGGTGGTGATCAGAAGCTCGCCCTTGACGGGGACGATGAGATAGTCGCCGTCCGAGTTGTAGAACGCCTTGTTGCCCATGTTCTTGGAGAAGTTGTAGAAGTGGATAGCCAGGCCGTCCTTGAGCTGGGTGTCACCGGCACCGCCGAGGGTCACGATGCCGTCAACAAAGTCGACGTCCTCTGCGCCCTTGAAGGAGAGGGGATCCCAACGAAGTTGCTGGGGCGTGGGCTCAATGTCTGGCGAGAAGGGGTGGAAGCTGGAGAGCATCTTCTTGTTACCCTCGTAGTCCGAGAACGGCTGGTGCTGAACCGAAGGGCGGAGCTGCCGTCAGTCGGGGATCCTTCTCGCGGCCCTCTAAGGCTGGCTGAACAACTCACGCGGTACACCCATGAGCGCTGGTTCAGGTGACGGGGCGCGGTGAACGCGGTGCCGGAGATGCACTCGGTGTAGAGGCCGTGAGGGGGCTTCTGGGGGTTGTTGCCGAGCTTGGGCAGGGCATCGGGAATGGCCTGGGACTCGAAGTGGTTGCCGAAGCCGTCTTGGAGTGTGAGCGGATGTGCAGGCTGAGGAGAGCACTGCGTGCGCTACTCACTCTGGTACTTGAGGTCGTCGACGTTGATCTTCTGAGACGCGGTCATGGTGAATGGAGCAGTGGGTGATGAGAAGTAGAGCAGCAGCAGAGACGCGCGCCGAGTACTTATGAGGTGTCATGATTCCGGGCAGCGACGACGTCCAAGGCATTCGAGGCAGCCCACCGCGCTCGACGTTGAGCCGAGAGGCTGCACAGAATGCAGGTGGTGTACCCGAGAGGTGGGCCCAGCCTTGGTTTCTCCGATCCTCTTGATCAATGGTTTAACCGGCATATCCGAGCCATCCACCCACCAAAAATCAAGAAATCAGTCTCCACTCTTCGCTTTTTTACTCCTCGCTTTCACGCTTTGTTCGCGTGTCTACAGCCTACTACCTGACTGCTGACTGGAATCTGCCCCACCTCGGGTGCACGCGTTATGTGATGTTTTCACGGGTAGATCTTGCTGCTCTCTCATCGACTTCTCTCGGCCGACTCTTTGCGCTGCTGCAACGAACACTCAGCTTCAGCAGTCTCGGAGCTTCTCACATCGATATGATGCGCCCTAGCTACCCCGACGTATGCCGGATAGCGCAAGCCTCAACTACAGTAATACTGTAGTCGTCGCGTCAGCACCTCGGACACCGAAGCATCATCTCGTCAGCGCTTGGTTGGGGGCCGTACTCAGAGCCCTTTCCAGACTCGCCCACTCCGTCAACTTGCGCTGCTCGGAGCATATCCCATCATCAGATAAGATTTCCGTCTTGCCACCGTCATGTGGCAGGCAGCTATCCCCTCCTCCGCCGCTTTGCCATACATCACACGAGAAAGGTGATGTAAGGTGACGGCTACCAGCGCTCCGCATTCCGCAGTGGTAGAGCTTATCTGCCGCACCGACGTTTGATCCCGTTTGAGATCCAAGTAGTCAGCAGCTGCGCTGCGGCCACCGAGCTTCGGGCTCCATTGCGATGAGAACGTTTCAACGTAGTCGAGTACGCGATTCCCACGCGACTCAAGAGTCCTCGGGCGATCTCTGGCGCGGCCGAGCGGAATGGGCTGGGGGCCCTCGGCAAAACGACACCGGATGGGAGGGAGGCACGTGTTTGCCACGAGCAAAAGTGTGGAAGCTGATGTGAGCGAACTATGCTTTGCGTGTGGCACAGTTTGCGTGCTAGGTGATGTGGTGAAATGCTTCAGAACCCCACCCCCTCCTTGGATTTGTGCCGTATACGGGTTGTTTGGGTGTTCTCCGCCAACCGAGTGCAAGCTCGTATTTGTCGTCCGCCAGTGGCCTTTAGATTTAGGCCCCCACCCCACGCCCGTGTCCCGCAGATAGCTCAGCTGTCGTCCAAAAGGGCCTATATTACTCTGCTTTTCTGCGTGTCAGTGAGTACTTAAAATGGTGGCAAGCTCATAGCCTATGGCCTGCTGGTCAGTGGACGCGGATATCCGGACCACCATGTTTCTCCATGCGTCCTGCATTTCCGCAAACCCTGTGAGCTCCATCGCCGCGTACTGGGACAATGGTGAGCGCTCCGGCCAGGGATGGGGCGCTGACCAGTCTTCGACACACGATACGATACGTGCAGGCCAGATCCCACCGCACAGACAGTGTCTTACACTCCGCGTGGGGCTCATCCCAGCACGACCCCGCCTCCCTCCGTGGAGCTTCTCCACGGCGAGGCCGGCCCCGCATACTGCAGTGAAACAAGCCTGGTTGACTGTAGCCACAGCGCTGACGACGCGCGCGACGTGTGGATTCAGGCTCTTCGTGCACGATGGACTTCAAGCCCCGGAGTCAGACATCCGGCTCCCGGGCCGGCGGCATCTCGTTTCTCCCGGCCGCGTGTACCGGTTCACCCGTGCACATGGCGGGGCACATGTCCATTCCCCTGATTAATTAGCCTCCCCTCATCCACGCTCAGCAAGTCCGTCCGCCGCTCTCACTGCGCCGAGGCGGGGCAGCGGCGGCGGGGCAGTGGGAGCCCTCGTCTCCGCGTCCACTCCTGACGGTTGGGAGTGCGGGGGCGGGGGCGGGGGCGGCAAAAGGAAAATCGGCGACGAACGAGACGAGCGAGCCTCTTTTCCATCTCGCGATGTATAAGAGGAGGACTGGCTCTGTGTCACCCGCTATTCACCGCCTACACCATGAGACACGGACTGATGAACCTCCTCGTCGGGTTCCCGACGTTCCTCGCGTTCGGGTGAGTCGTGGCTCGAGCGACAGGCGCTGATTCCAGGTACTCGCTCACGTTCTTCGGCGGCATCATGTCCTACCCCAGCTTCTATAGGGAATACAACATGCTGGACACGGCGACGACGAAGGGTGCGCTCAAGCGCAACAACTCGCTGCTGCAGGGCGTGGCGAATGGCATGACGAATCTCGGTGGCGCGTGTGCCTGCCTCATCGTGCTGTACTACGGCAACCGTCTCGGCCGGCGCAAGATGAGCTTCATCGGCGGCGTCATCGCCATCGTCGGCACGGTAATCTTCTGCACCTCGTACTCGTTCGCGCAGATCCTCGTGTCGCGCTTCATCCAGGGTATTGGGATCGGTATCGGCATCGCCACGGTGCCCGTGTGGCAGTCCGAGCTTGCGACGACCAAGAACCGTTCCGCGCACGTCATCGTCGACGGCATCATGGTGTCGGCGGGCTTCATGATCGCGTCGTGGATTACCTACGGCTTTTCAAAGGCAAGCACCCTCGACTCGTGGCAGTGGCGCGTGCCCGGCACGCTCATTGGTATTTTCGCCCTGCCTATTGCAGGCGCCTCGTTCATGTTCCCCGAGTCGCCGCGGTGGCTCGTCATGCAGGGGCGAGCGGATGAGGCGCGTGAGATCTTCGCGGACATGTTCAAGGACTCGGAGGACCCCGACATTGTCGAGAACACCCTCAACGCCGCCGTCCGCGTCAACGAGACCGTCACGCACACCAGCTGGACCGGCCTCTTCCGCATGGGCAAAGACAAGATGCTCTGGCGCCTCTTCCTCGCCGTCACCGTGCAGTGGTTCACGCAGATGAACGGCGCTGGCATCATCACGGCGTACGCGAACCAGCTGTTCGGCACGATCGGGCTTGAGCCCGACACGGCCAAGATCGTCGCCTCGGTATCGCTCACGTACAAGTTCCTCACATGCTTCATCGCCTTCTTCGTCATCGAGCGCGTGGGCCGCCGCGCCCTCTTCATAACTTCGGGCATCGGCATGGCCATCTCCATGTTCGTGCTCGCCATCTGCGGGTCCCAGACCACCGACACCAAACTCGCTCCGGCGTACGTCGCCATCGTTTTCGTATTTGTCTTCCTGCTCTTCCTCCCGCTCGCGTTCCTCGGCGTCAACTTCCTCTACTGCCAGGAAATAATCAGCACCCCCTACCGCGCCCCGGCGGGCGGCATCTCGTCTGCCACACTCTGGCTCTCCCAGTTCGTCCTGGCCCTCACCACGCCCCTCTCCCTCGAAGTCCTCAAGTGGAAGACGTACCTCGTATGGGGCTGCGCCAGTGCCGTCATTCCGCCCGTAGTGTACCTCTACTACCCCGAGACGACCAACCTGTCGATGGAAGAGCTGGAGGGTATTTGGTTCGCGCCCGGCTTCCGCGGCCCTGTCAAGGAGGCGGCGCATTTGCGCGCCCTCAAGGCGCAGGGCGTCACGGAGAAGTCGGTTCTTGCCGGTGAGGCTCATGTCGAGGACAAGACGCACGGCACCACCATGGTCGAGAAAGTCTGAGTGCATCGTACCAGGTTGGACAGGTAGACCACCTAGATCAGTAGATTCATTACCGGCACAGCATTTACTAGGCATAAACTCATTTGTAAGCATTGATGCAGACCATCACAACTCCAAGCTTGAGAGCTGCGTCGCGTCGCCCTGTCAATGTAGAGGATAGCAGGTGAGCGCGTGGTATCCACTCGCACAACAGAGCTCCGCTTCGAGGTGGAACGCCTGATCCATCGCAGATGTCCTAGGGTTGCCTGCCTCTATACGAGCCGCGCAGCACGAGACGGTCGTCGGCGCACCCAACACCCTGCCGCGTATCCTCGCCCCGCTCAATAATCGTACTCGCCCTGCCCATTCTCCATCTGTTTGTCGCCCGTATGTGCGCCATTCCCCGTCGCGCCGCCGCCGCCACTAGGCGCCTCGTCGGCGAACCACGCGTCCTCAGCGTCCTGCCGCGCAATCGGATCGTCGACCGGCGTATAGTCGACCTCGTCATAATCGAGCGTCTGCATCAGCCCGCCCGCTCCGGACTCACATCCAAGCCGTCGAGGAAGAGCTCGAGCAGCGCGCGCTCGAAGCGGCGCGCCACAGCCTCCTGGTCCTCCCCGCTCGCCTCCTCCCCTCCCCCTCCCCCTCCCTCGTCGTCGTCGGAGTCAAACTCCTCCCCGACCTCATCGAGCCGCCTTTCGCGGGCGCGGTTGCGCCGCGCCTCCTCCCACTCCCCGATCTCGACTTCTTCCGCGAGCAGCGCGCCGAGACGGCCCACAAACCGCTCGTGGCCCGGCATGAAGCCTTCGCGCGCCCATTCCGCCGCTTCTGCTTGCGCGGCCGTCGGCGCCGCGTGCGGATCCCCGCCCATCCGTTCCCAGAGGAGCGGCCAGCGCCGCCGCCCCTCCGCAGCGGAGAGCGCGGGCGGGCGCGCACACGCCCAGATGTGCCGCCGGTGCTTGATTGCCGCCGTCGTGCGTTGGCGCGGCGTGAGCGGCGCGCCGAGGGCGCGCGCGAGGTGCTCGGGGAGAGAGGGGAGGTGGGAGGAGAGGAGCGAGAGGCGGGTGGCGGTGAGTGGGAGCGGGCCCGTGTAGGTTTCTACCTCGGCGCGCAGGTCCGGCGGGAGCGCGAGGGAGACGGGGTGCGCGGAGGCGTCCATGGCTGAGCAGGTGGAGGATGGTGAGGATGAGATGTCGACTGGTCAGACGGAACACTCGAGGTGGAGGTGGAGGTTGGTGGAGGTCGTACTGTGACTGAGGTTTAGGTGGCAGTTGAGCGTCGATCATTTCCTGTCGCTGAACGGTGCTGCAGGATAGAGTGCTCGCCAGATCATTCGCACCAGGCCGTCACGGCAAGTACATCTCCACTAGTATGTAGGGTTTGTCCGGCTCCCAGTCCAGCTCCCCCAACATTGACGACCCCCCGCCTGCCCTCGCCTTAAGATCACCGGCATACCCCTCCCCACTACGACCGCTTCTTGAGCATAAACGTGCCTTCGTACCCGACATAATCCTCGGGCGTGAGGGTATCGCGCCAGCGCCCGACCATTGCCCCGTCGCCCAACACATACCCGCGGTAAAGCCATTTACCGCGCTGGAACGGCGCATACTCTTTGACCATGTACAGCAGGCCGTCCCAGACGCGCACATGGCCGGAGATGACGAAGCGGCCCCACGCGCTGTGTCCGACGCCCGTGACCAGCAGGCCGAGGTTGTCGCCGGGCTCGGCGCGCGCGAGCGCGGCCTCGACCTCGTGGGCCGGGATGCTCTCGTACCCCGGCAGCGCGGCGAGCTGGCGGCCGAGCGCGTCGTCGATCGTCGCGTCTTCCGGCGAGCGGCCGGGCGCCCGCGCGGCTATCGCGTTCGGGTTGAACGGGCGCATGTCGGCCGGAAAGCCCGCGTTCACCATCGGCCCGCGGAGGGGCAGGCCGGGGCCGTCGGCCGGCGTGCCCGGCTTCGGGCGGACGAAAGTCTCGCGCAGCTTCCAGACCTGCGCTTGCTCGCCGTACGGGCCCGAGTAAATCGCCGCCGCGTGCCCCGCCATCATGTCTTGGAACGCGTCGAACTCGAGGAACGTGAATGTGCCCTCCCACGAGCCGGTGAAGACGCCGCGCCACGCCCACAGCGCGCGGCCCGGCGAGCGCGCGCCGTTCGTACACACCAGCAGGCGCTCAAAGTCCGCGTCGTGCCGCGCGCTCGAGAGTGCGGGGCGCGGGAGCGCGCGCATCGATTGCAGCTCCATGTCCATCACCTCGGGGCCGAGGCCGGGGATACTGGCCGGCGTGTCTGCCCCCGGCGCCGTGAAGAAGCGCAGCTGCGCGGCGTGCGCGAGGATCGGCGGCGCGATGCTCAGCGTCCGCCCATACGCTGGGACGGTGCAGGCGCGGTCCTGCGGCGTGTGCACCGACGAGTAAGGCCCAAGCGGGGGCGGGACGCGGTGCTGGTTGTTCCGCTGCGGCACGGGGACGCGGGGCTGTGTCCACGGCGCATAGAAGAGGTCGTACTGCTGCGCGGCGAAGACGTAGGGTCGCAGCGCGCGGATTTGGCGCGGCGTGCTCGAGTTGTAGTCGTCCAAGAGCCATGAGATCCACATGGCTAGCGCGTCGACAGGTCTCTGGGGCGGGTATGCGAAGTCGGGCGGCGACTGGAGCACGCGGTCATGGTAATCTCGCACGAGGGACACGACGTCGACGCCGGGCTGCGTGAGTGGCGGAACAAGGTGGCGGAGGTTCTTGCCGTCTGCCGTTGGATGATATCCAAGTCAACAAACTCACCATTCTCAATCAGCATGAGATACACGACCCACAGCTCCTCGACCCGCAAGTCGCCGCCCTCCGCTGCGACCCGCGCCAGCCGTTCCAGCGCCAGCGTCCGTGTCCTGAGCTCAGCGACAAAGTCGGCCGGCCGCAGCGGCTCGGGTGTGAGTTGGCGCGCGCTGGAACTGGGGTCACGTGGTCGGTTTGGGTATGGGCTGTCGCTTGGTCCTAGCGATGTAAAGCGGCGCTGGGCGGCGGCGGTGTCGTAGTGCGCACGGAAGACGGAGGCATAGAGATTGGGGTTCAAGCCTGGCGCTGCGGCGGCGTACAGTGAGCGGCAGGTGCAGAGGAGATCCACGGGGGGCCGGCAGGCGGAGAGGATGAGGTGGTGTGCGATCTGGGAGAGGATCTCGGGCGGGAGGGTGTCGAGCATGGTGGCGACGGTGTGGACGGCTGCAGTGTGCGACCCGATGAGGGCGTGTTTGTCGAGCAAGACACTCGTTGAGATGAGAGTGGGACGGAGACGGAAGACAAGAAGACAAGAAGAGCGATGAGAGGATGGTTCGTGTGGGTGCGAGCGAGCGAGGGGGCTAAATCACCGGTGGGCCGGAACAAAGGCCCGTGCCTGGCCCTGTCGGCTATCACCGCTCCAGGCGGACAAGACGCCTCGATATGCGTGCGATGCGTATGCATAGGGGTACGCCGTGATGTATCTATCTTCTGACACTATCATCTCCTACTCGGCACGAACGGCGCGGGCGGAGTCCACTGCCCCCGCGCAAACTTGTGCCGCCGCGCAGTCTGCAGCGGAGGGAACGCGCTGCTCCCGTTACCGCCCGGTGGTGCTGGGCTGGACGTCGGGCCCGGCGTGGGGGTCTCCGCGCGCGCCGCATCGGCTTCGCTGCGCGGCTTGAAGCCCGTCTTGTGGCCCTCGGCAAAGATGTCCTCCATTACGTCTTCGAAGCGCCCCTCGTCCTCAAACTCCCGGTAGCGCTTGTACAGGAGGTACGCGTGGCGCGCGTCCTCTATCGAGTCGTGCTCCTTGCTCTGGATCTCCTTCTTCAACAGGAACCAGGTCAGGAAGCGCAAGCTGAGCTTGCGGCTGCGCCCAGGGATCGTGTACAGGTTGACAGTGTCCATGACTTGTTCTGGCGGAACAAAGATGTCTGGAGTCAGCGGTGTGATCATTTGCGCCTCTCACTGATCGTTCTGAAGTCCTTGCTCAACCCATGCCCGATGAAAATGCAGCCAAGGTCCACAAGTAACCGCAGCTTCTTGTACGCCACCTTGAGGGGCACGAGCGTGTGCTGGGAGTTGTTTGGGTCCAGATCGCCGGCCTTGATGCCGCTAAACTCGGTGAGATAGTCGGCGACCGCCTCCTTCGTGTAAATATAGTCGTCGATGAAGGGCACGGCCTCCTTCTCCCCAGGCCCGCGCAGGACAGACACTCGCGCGAGCGACATGTGGGAGGGGCGGAGGATCTTCTTCGTACCGTCGGAGCGGAACTCTAGCTCCTCTTGCTGCAGTGCGACGAACTCTGCGTCGATACTGATCAGCGTGCCTGGAGTGGGCAGTTCAGCAGGTGTCAACACTTCAGCCATTATGGCGTTGCTGTCGCGGTTGAAAGCCATATTCTGGTCCTTGAATAGAACCTCGTGGTCCAATTGCTTCGGCAGGCGCTCGTAGTCGAGCAGCGCCGAGCAGTCGCGCCGTTCAAGCATGATGATAGCGGGCACCTTCCAATCGGCGAAGGAGAAGACCTCTTCTTCCTTGACTGGTCGCACCAAGAAATCGTTGAACATGACCCATTGTTCGTCGGACACGCGCACAAACGAGAGAAGATGCGCCGGGTTCTCAGGTGCCGTCTGCACTTGCACGACCACCGACTTGACATCGTAGATGATCCCCGTGTCGCCGTTGTTCTCTGCAATGAGGCCTTTTGGTCCCCTCCGGAACGCCACAGACTGAGGAAGGAAGCGCTTGGGCTTGCCCCCTTCTGTGCGGTCGCGCCATACCTCCTGTTGTTCTGGCGAGCTCGCCATCGCGTTGACGCTTAACACGGGGGGAAGCGCTCGCTCTGGCGTGCCGGCCAGGTCACGCTTCGAGTCGAGGGGTGCAAACTGCTTGCAGTTCGGACATGCCGCCTTCGTGCTGCTCGTTCGCACAATCGCAGCACGCAACACGTCAGCGAACGGCCCCGCGTCCGCCGGTTTGCGCGGATATGCGAGGTCGACGGTCTGCAGCAAGCTCTCGCGCGTCGCGACATGGTTGCACGCCAGACACGTGTTGGTCGTCTTGACGGCGATGCCGAGGACCTGGTTGATCGCGGATGGGGCGGAAGCGAGGGAAAGGTTGGCAATGTCAGAGGTGCGTAGATTAAAGCTCTTGCCGTTGACGATGCTCTCGGTCGTAAAGGTCGACAGGAGCCAGCGGTTAAAGTTCTGGATTAGGGTGTATTGTGCGAGCTTGTCGTTCGACTCCATCAGGCCCAATGCCGATGTCTGCGGTGTGGCGCTGAAGGCGCGCGAGAAGTTGGACGCCTGACAATTAGTGCCCTTCGCGTCCTCGAGCATGCGGAAGAGAAAGCCCGCCTCGCACAGCAAACACGCCTCCTTCTGGCAGTCGACACAGATGTGGGCCTTGGCAACGGCACGGATCGGGAGCGTGTAATGCAGCGCCTGCAACAGCGCGTTGGTGTACGAGTTTGATATGTCCGTCTCGAGGCCCGAGTACGCCGTGCGGTTGTAGAAGCCAAAGTCAAAGTCCTCCACGCCAAAGCGCGAGTACTTGATCGCGACTTTGCGATAGTACTTGGGCACCTGGCCGGCGGGTGTTTCTTCCTCGATCTCCTGCGTCGACGGCTTTCTGCGCACACGGTCCTTCTCGGAGCGGAAGCGCGGCTCGCTCTCGCGCCGGTTGCCTATTGCGCCGCGCGGCAGACACTGCTTGCCTGCACCCGCGCGCGCCGTCACGACATTACGCCGCCCCTTGAACTCTTTGGGCAGCTGCCCGTACCCGACAAAGTCCTGGTACTGGAGGGTGGCGAGGATAGATTGAGGGATTTGTTCTGGTGGGTTGAAGAACGGGGAGTAGACAGTAGCGTAGTCGGCGGGGGAGAAGTTAGAGAGCAGTGGGTCCTCGTAGTGCGGCACGCCGATGACATTGAGCGGCGTGCCCTCGTCCCAAGCGATTGGGGGTGGGGGCTCGACGGGGTCTGGCCACTCTGGCTTTATCCCCTCGTACCCGTTGAAAGGGGGAAGGTCGAGGTTGCCATTAGCATCAACCACGGCCCCATCGCCCGTGTCGTGCTGCGTCCACAGGTGTAGCTGCCCCTCGCCGTCGCCAAACACGAGATAATCGCCGCGCGGGGACAGCGCCATGCTCGTGATGTAGCTGCTCACGTCGAGCTGCTGGAACTCGTTCGAGCTTGCGCTCATATCCGCGACCTGGAGCATGCCAGACTGGCTGGCAATCACGACCTTGGACGAGTCGGAGGGGTGGAGGAGGACGAACGCCGGACCGGCACTGAAGCTGATCGGGGGGAGCGCACGCAGCGTTCGCGTGTCGTACAGCCGCACAAGCTGGTCCGGCAGCGGGTGGCCCTGCATATGCGTCCACCCCCACGTCGCGATAATGTGTCCCTGCGTGTCGGCGCCGCTCATCCCGCCCGTATGCGCTTGCACGGGCAAGACGTTCGCGGCGGGGCGGAAGCCTATCCGCGGGTCGAGCAACGACACCTGTCCCGATCCGGACGCGCACACGATATTTCGCTGCAGCGTGCCGAGGTGCACGACGGTACTCGGCGATTCGAACTGTATCAGCGCGTTCCGGCGTGCAGCGTACTCTTCGCACGATCTCGCCGCGCGCATTGTTGACAAGCACCATCTGCCCCGTGCCGCCCGCGAGCACTTCGTGCGAGTTGGTCGGCGCGGGCGTCATGGCGCGCAGCGAGCGCGTCACGTCGCTGGCGTCAGCGCGATCGCTCACATGCTCACGTTACGCTCCAGCGCGGCGCGCCGCCGCGCTTGCGCCCGCTGATGCCGCCCTCGGCGAGCGTCCACACCTCGCGGTCCGTGACGCGGATCTGGCGCACGCCCGCATGTATCCCCGGCATGGGGACGAAGTCGCGGCCCTTGGCCGCGCCGTGCGCGGGAAACTGGACGTTGCGCGTGAGCGTGAGCGGGCTCGCGAAGGCGCTGACCAGCCCGCCGGCGCTGCCCACCCACAGCATGTCGGCGAAGCCGTCGACCGCGAGCGCGGCCGGCACGGGCTTCGGGTCCGCGACTTGCGGCGGGAGGGGGAAGAGGGATAGCGGGTTGTAGGCCATGGCTAGCTCATTGCCTGGCGCGGAGGAAGAGACAAAGTGAGAGGTGGCACAACGCGACGCGTCGCATCGCATCTCGTTCCGATGTGGAGGAGCGGATCCCATCCTCGGGAATTAGCCAGCGTCATTAGCGGGAGCAGATGGGCTAATTGCTCTCGCCGATGACACGTCGAGATATCCGCAGAGCTCGCGACAGACGACAGACGTTGTTGTCACCGCACACTCACCATGGAACCATACGCATCTGTCAAGGTAAGTCTGTGTCCAGTGGCGGTAGCTGATAGCAGGCGGCATACAACGAACTGCCGGCCTTCAAGCCGCTCATTCCCATCTCGGCGCTCCCGACCATCGCTCTCGTGAGCCTCGTCGCGGCATTCGCCCTCGTGTTCTTCATGTCAACGTGAGTGGGCTCATGCAGGCCGACTGTGGCGCTGTGGCCCAAGCATCGTCGAGCTGACACCCAGCCTTTCGTCCCGCAAGTTCAACCCGACCGAGGTGCCTATCGCGCTCCTCGCTGCGGCGCTCACAGGCGCCGGCACCGTCGCGCTGTTCTGCACCGTCGGCGTCAACGTGTAATCGCTTGTATAAGGCCCTCTGGCCATAGACCAGCAGCTGGGCAAAACTAGCATGCAATGTACATATACGACTCTGGGCGGGGCGCCAGCCGATTTTACTGCAACTATGGTCGAGATGGCGATGGGCTACAGCTCCTTCTTCTCCTTGGCCTTGATCTCCTCGATCTTGGCCGACTGGTTCTTGGTAAGCCAGTCGCCGCCCTCGAACTCGTTCATGGCGCGCAGGCGCTCCGGGAGCGTCGGGTGCGAGTGGTGGTACTTGGAGAAGAGCTTGTCGCTGTGCGGCGACGACAGGTTCTCGACGTGCAGCTTGATGAGGGCGGCACCGAGGTCCTTGGCGTGTCCGAGGCGCACGGCGAACTCGTCTGCAAGTTAGCACATCCCACAACGGGTACTCACCAGCTTGGTACTCGTATTTGCGGGTCTTGGAGTTGATGAAGAACTTGACAAAGGTGTCGAGGGGTTCGAAGAGAAGCTGGTAGAGCATGAAACCGATCAAGATGGGCTGCGGACCACCGACGGGAGAGCCAACGGCGAGGCGCGGGTCAAAACCAAAAGATGCAAAGAGAGACTTGTTGTGGATGAACACGGCGAAGAGCCCAAGTGTCCACAGCAAGTTGCCCTGCGCGATGAGGAGAAGCCGCGTCGGATGCCAGAACTTCCAGTGGCCTAGCTCGTGCGCGAGCACCGCCTCGACCTCGGAGGGCGTGTTCTGGTCCAGCAGCGTGTCGTACAGCACGATCTGCTTCGACCACGGCAGGCCGTAGAAGTAGCTGCGGTCAGCTGAGGCCTCAACAAGACCTACGCGTTCGAGTGCGACGAGCGCTTGCTCCCGTCGATCACGTAGAGGTGCTTGAGGGGGAACTGGAGCTTGTTGGACAGCTTTTCGACGCGCTGGCGCACTTCGCCCTCGGGGACGGGGGTGAACTTGTTGAAGAGCGGCTGGACTGCGAGTTAGCTCGCTGACATTCTCGCCGGAGCTCACTGAAGATGGGGAAGATGATTTGGAGAATCAGCTGAACCGAGACACTGCTGTTAGCTAGCGTCATAACGAACTGCGCACAGGAAGAGCATGAGCCAAGGGACAAAGTTCTTGCCGGCCAACTCGATGACCTTGAGGAATCCAGCGAGGAACGGCAAGCCGAGCACGACGGCGAGGACAAACGTCTTGATCTGGTCGGTGACCCAGAGCTTCTTGGTCGTCTTGTTGAACCCGTGGCGCTCTTCGATGACAAACGTGTAGTAGTACATCCAGAACAGGTTGGGCACGGCGCTCACGATCGACGTCAACGTGATCCAGAAGAGCGAGTGGGTGATCTGGCATTAGCAGGAGGCTAGGGGACTGAGAAGACGTACGACGCGGCTCTGGTCAAGCCCTACCGCGTCCATAATGGACGCGGTCCAGTCCCATGCGCGCGTAAACAGGCGCGCCTTGATGAGCACAAAGCCGAGCACGAAGTTGAAGACGGTCTGGCGGACGTTGAACGTCAGCTTGTCCTTGCCGTATGCTTGCGCCTTGTCGTACGTCTCCTTCTTGAGATGGTGCTGCAGCTCTGGGGGCGGAAGAGGAATCGAGTAGCACGCCATCTGCCGGCTCCTGTGGGTCAGTTGTGGCCAGCAGATGCGACGTACGAGACATATAGCTCCCAAACGGTGGTAAGGGCACTAAGGCCGAGCACTAAGGTCTCATATGGGATGTCAGGATTGTCGCACAACGCTGCGAGACGGGTGGTAATGCTGTCGAGACCGGCGACGATGCTCGACATGGTGAAAGAGCGTGGGAGGGTGGTGAGTTGTGCGACGCGTCGAGAACAAAAGGCAACTTGCCGAGATACGAACCGCAGATGAAGCGGAGCCTCAAAAGTGGAGGTCGCGCGTGACGACGTGGCTGCACGAAATTGATTCCGTTATCGCGTTGCGTCACCTCCCTTGCGGGGTAATGAGGGTCGTGAGACCAAGTGTCACGGGCATCACCGGATCAGTAGTTGCGAGACGGCGGCTTGTTCTCTGGCAACCTGCAGCACGACCTGCAGCATCACGACCACAATATTACATATAGACACAACGAGAAGCTTACAACTAAAAGTACAGACGCTGGGCGGACGTCAGAGCCGTCTCCTGTGGGCAATATGGACACTTGGCCGACCGCTTGCCAGACTTGACCATGCGGGTGAGCGACTCTCGCGCAACCACATGCCCACACGACAGCATGGTGGGGGGGTTCGATTCGGTCGCCTGCTCCTTGGACACGGGGCAGACGAATACCGAGTGGTATCTGCGATTGGGCGGAAGTGGGACCTCCATCTGCTGTCAGCGCTCTTTGTGTTGTCAACTCACAGGGAGCTCTTCCCACTTGCGGACGTTGCCCAGCCTCTCGCCCATCACACGACGCGCCTTCTCGATTGCGTTGAGCGCGCCGCCGCGGCTGCCGAGGTCCACAACGACCTCGAGAGGATCCTCCCTTGCCCACCCGTGCCGCCGGCAGTAGTCCGTGATGAACATGGACGCGAGGGGCGCTGGGTCGTTGGCGTACGGCGACTCGTCGGCGCCGCTGTACAAACAAGAGGTCACGAGAGCCAGCACCGGCTGCGTGGACATGTACGCGAAAAGATGGGCCCGGGCATACTCCAACGCCTTCATGCGATCCGTGAAGGAGAGGAAGACGGCGCGGTGGAGGTGGTAGGGGAGAGAAGAGGGGTGTGGTGGTGCAGCAAGGAAGTCCTTGTTCTCGTTGGTCCACTGAATAGCGGAGGAGAGGTTGCCGGACTCGATGTCGTGCACGATGCGATACAGCTCTTCGGAAAGCACGCGTTTCTCAGAGTTGTAGTGGAGGTCTGTCTCCTCCTCGAATGCCTCAACAGCGTCCCACAAGCCACGCCGCCCCAAGCTGTCCAGCACGATATTGTCGAGCGCTTTAGATGCGGCTGCATCCACGAAGAGCGGTGGGTCGTCATATGCGGCACTGATGGCGGACAGATTTGGAGGGAAAGACTGGGGGGTCAGCGCTGGCTGCGTGGCAAGACACACCTTGTCGACACTCTTGCCGACGTTGCCAAGTGCAGAGTACCATGCTTTCAGACCCTTCTCGACATCCTTTTTGGCGCGGGCGAGGTTGGTCTGCAACTCAGTGATGACTTGTTTGGGCGGCGAGCCGGCAAGGATGCGTTCGCGCGCGACGGTGAAGTGCTCGTTGAGTAAGCGGTTAAGAGGCCCGGACGATGAGGTAGACGCGTTCGCAGCGAGCGCCTCGAGCGCGTCGAGTGCGGCCGACACGTCGACGGTAGACATGGTGAGGAGTGTAGTCGAGATAGGGTGGAGCAATGGCGCAGTTGGTGGGTGTGTTGGGTTGAGTGACCGGGTGGAGGGCTTGGAGGATAGCAATAACGTGGCATTTGAATGTTGTGTCATTATTTGCCACCGCTCGCCGGTGGTGCCACAGCGCCCACCCACTCGGCATGTCATGTATCCTGACGGCGTCGAGAGGAGATAGGGTCGCAGCGGCTTCGTGTCCCCCGTCGTCGCCCTCGACGTCGAGCACAGCGCGCGAATGGATAGCACGCAAAGTGGGCCCGTTCGAGAATGCATTGTGCGCCTACGCATCTCAGCGCCCCTTCCATGCAATATTGCGAGTTATTTTTTGTTAGTTTTGGCAGTATTCAATTGGCTCCCCAATGCTCACCCAAGGGGCATTTAATGGGAATGGGGAATGCTCTTTCTATGTCTACGGTGGGAACGCGACCGAGAGGTAGATGATGCATAGCCCCACACGTAGCAGCAGCCTCGGCAATTGTGTGAGTTTGGCCGCCAAGAAGCAATTTCAATGGCGGAAAACATACATGGCAGCGGACAGCGGAATGCATGCATCATACGCCGCCGTGATTCCACTCGCCTGGGTGATGAGATCTCTGATATGTGCACATTGAGTTGAGTGCAAGGTGCCACTCGATCTGGTCGCTCTGAGAAGCGAAGCGTGACCCACGCATGCTCATGCACACGGCGGAGAACACGGCCGACTGCTGAATAGGAAAATGGACAGGCAAGAGAAAGAGAGAGAGAGGGTGGATGGATTAAAACAAGCCTCGGCGAATTCAGACAAATGCAGACAAATCCCCCCCCCCCCAAACCTCGCCTCGAGTCGTTTCTCTTTCCACCCATTCTCCTTCTTTTATCATCAACAATCCATCCATATCAGTACACATCCATCGCATCCATCGCATCCACCCCATCCTCCTCATCCACCGCGCCCCTTTTGCCTGCGCAACTCTCGCGACTCTAGTATACCCCTCCCTCTGCGATACCCCGTCTGCTTAGCATTGTGCAATTCGACGCGCGCGCCGAATTCGCCAGCCTGTGCCTCACTCGCGAGTTCAGGAGCGTGCACCTTGTTGTTTTCAACAGGTCGCGTCACTCACTCATTGACCTCACCTCTCCACCCTTCCCACATTCCCACCAACCCCCACCCCGCCATCACATACATCTCTCCCCTCGCTGCCCAGCATGCCCCGGGGTTACCCAAACCCAAAGCTGGACATCGCGCCACCACCAAAGCAGCATGGCAAGGTGCGCAGGTTCTTCTCAAACAAGGTCCACCCCCTTCCCTTCTTGGACATTCTCGCACCCTCGCCATCACCAAGACCCGTCGCTAGCGAGCGCGTGCTAGCCGCGTTGCAGCCCGATGCAGAGGTTGTCGTCGCCGCAAAGACTTTCGTCAAAGAGAAGATGGGTGATGACAAATACGATGTGGTCGAAAAGGATAAGGCGCGCGTTACGCGTACAGCAACGGCAAGAGAGAGCGGCATCACCAAGGCGATCCCAAATAGAGCCACCTCCGCCGTCAAGCCCGTCGGCCGCGTATCAAAGCTGCACAAGGTCTCCTCGGCGAAAACAGTGCCAAAACGCATGGCGCTAGGCTTGGGGCTCAGAGGGACTGTTGCTTCCCGTCTGAAGACAAGCGCGAGAGGGAGAGACAAGGAGGAGCCAGTGACCCGCAAGAGCACACTACGGTCGAACACTGTGCCAAGTGCGACCGACTCGACATCGATTCACACCCCTAACATTGCTTCTCAGGTCTCGAGTGTGGCCACTCCACCCGCATCAGGATCATCCTCCCATGCGGCTCCTGCAGCCACAGTCACGCCTGCGCCCGTAGCTAAGCCAGCACTGCACCTCGACGCTGCCCCGCATATGAGTGGCATTACTGTCGGGGCACAGATGCTCAACGTCGGGCCACAAGTGGCCAAGGACACCAACCCCGCAAGGTCCAAGGAATACATGAACGCAGGCCTGTACTGCCAGGACGAGAATCCTGCACCGGAAGCGGTGCTCGTGGAGCGCGTCCTACGCTACAAGGGGTTTCGGAAGCGTGGCCGCCCTCGTAAATCTCTCCAGCAGTTGCCACCCATCCCCACTCCCGCCGACACTGAGCCCTCATTCCCGCCCCTTCCGCTCGACCATGGCTATCGCATGTTTTTCGAGACCGAGACAGAGTTTCGGCTACCCTACAATATCATGTGGGAGCGCGATACCGGCGCGCTCGATGGCAAGAAGCGCCCGCCACCTTTCGGCAAGTTGAGATCCAGTGAGTACCGCGCCTTGCGTGAGGCGTATTCCGTGGACTGACAGGAAGACCAGTTCGTCGAGCGGTCCAAGCGTGTCGCAGAGCGCGCGGTGTGCAAGTGCGATGCGAGCTCGGACTGTGGCGACAACTGTATGAATCGACACATGAACTTCATCTGCGGCAGGCAATGTCCCGCTGGCGAGGGATGCACGAACAGGAGCCTCACGCGCCGCCCGCAGAAAGCATACAAAATTGCATGGGTAGGACCCGGAAATGGCACGGAATTCCTGACGGCAGACGGGCACCCGGGGGTTCGGCATGTTCGCCGCCGAAGACATTGCCGAGGGCGAGTTTGTGATGGACTACCGCGGCGAAGTGAGTCACCCTCGGGCTGTCTGAGCAGTGCTGACTTCTAGGTCATTGACATAGAGTGAGAAATATTCAGCCAAGCAAGGGTGGGTTGGAGTGCTAATGTGACAGGGAGTTCTGCAATCGCATTGACAACGAGTACAAGGGTACGCGCAACTTTTACGCGCTGCACTATGATGGAGACGAGGTTGTCGATGCCGTAGGTCTCGGCCTATTTGGCATGCTGATGTGCAGGGTATGCGTGGTAATGACGCGAGGTTCATCAACCACGGCTGCAGCCCCAATCTCGAGGTGCGCAAGCTGCAGACGGTGGGCGATGGGTTCGAGGAGTACGAGATAGGGTTCTGGGCCATCCGTGACATCAAGGCTGGCGAGGAGGTAAGTCGGACTGCTCGCCTAGAGAGTTCAATGGCTCACAGCATAGCTGCTCTACGACTACAACTTTGAGGCGTTCACCGTGGGCGACCTCGCCAATGAAGACGTCCGCGTCCGCTGTCAGTGTGGTGCCTCTAACTGCATCGGTTTCATGGGCCGCAGGTCGGGCGAGAAGTCAGCCAAGGAGTTGGCTAGAGACCTGGGCCGCCAGACAGAGATGCGTGGCCAGAAGCGCAAGGCCCCGCCTACTACGGAGGGCGCGAGAGCCGTCTTTACCAAGCGCCGGCCCGGAAAGGCCCGCCAGCCGGTATTGACGCCTGCCGCCGCAGCGGGATCTGGTACATCGGGAACATTGGACGCGTCGGGTAACCTCATCTTGCCTGTCAAACGAAAAGTTGGCCGACCGCGGATTCATCCATTACCCGATCCCAACGCACCGAGGCGCAAACCAGGCCGTCCGCGCATACATCCGCTGCCAGACCCAAGCGCCCCGAAGCGCAAGCCTGGCCGCCCACGCAAGCATCCATTGCCTGCACCTGTTAATGATGTCCCTGCCACTGATTCGGGCGACCCCGCTCCGCCGGTTGCTTCTGAGACTCCAGCCGCCGCCCTCGACGCTGCTACTCCTTCCGAGACTCCCGTTCCTGACGCTCGCGCGAGTCCTGCTGGGGCCACTGCTCGTGCACCTCTTCCCGTTGCTACTCCTCCCTCTGCCACATTGCAGCCTCCTCCCAAGGCCCCCAAGACATTCTGGGTCGCTAATTCGCGTGAGCAGGCACCAGCGACCGCGGCGACGCCTGCTCCTGGGCCTGCACCGCGTGCACCGCGTGCTGTCGCAATCCCTGCCACTTCTGCTGCGGCTGCAGCAGCCGTCGCACCCACGCCCTCGCCTCCTCCAGTCACCGCGCCGACATCTGCGCCTGTACCTGCGCTTGTTTCAGCCCCACCTCCGACCCTCTCTCCCGTCTCCCCTGTGACTGTGAAGAAAGAGGACAACGAGTCGGACTGGGAGGATGCGACGACGGTCGGATCGCACCGCATCAGTGCGACCAACAAGCGCCGTGCGCCCTCCAAGTCCGGGCCGCCAGGCAAGAAACGCGGGCCCGGCCGTCCGCGCAAGATCCCACCGCCGACGCCACCGCCGCCGCCGCCGCCCGGCGCCAAACGCGGGCCTGGGAGGCCCCGAAAGATCCGCAACCCAGAGGACGAACTGCCGGTGCTCGGCCCACGCATCACGCCGAAGCAAGCAGAGAAGATTAAGCGCAACGGCGCGCCGGCGGGCTGGGTGTTCGTGCCCGTTGGCCCGCCGGCCGCGGCGCCGGCGGAGGCAGCTCCTGCGCCGCGCGAGGCTACGCCGCCTCCGTCTGCGCGCGCGCGGCGGGCGCAGCGTCTGGCGTCTGTGCGTCAGGCCACGCCTGGAGTTCTGTGATGCGCGGGCTCAAGGACATGGTGCGTGAAGTGCGTGTGGTTGTATATGTATGGTGGAGCGAATGGCGAGTGCCATAATGATGTGACGAGGGATGATGTGAGTATGATGATGATGATGATGTGAGACGGACGTGTGATGTGATTAGGGTATTCGGTCATCACTCCATGACTGAGCATGATGGCCTAGGCCGTGCGTGGAAATCATGGTTTATCATTATTATCGAGCAGACACATATTATTATGTAGACGCAGTCGCGACGAGATGAAGAGGAGAAGAGCAGGAGCAAGTGCAAGTGCTAGGAAAATGATGGGGATTATTAGAATTGTGACACGCGGTATGCCGTATGCGACAGGGCTGGATCTCGATCAGTGTGATGTGGTGAGCAGGACGAGCGAGCAACCCAGGCTCGATCACAAGGCCCAGCCCCGCGCCCCGAGCCGGTAATAGGTCGCCCAGAGTAGAGCAGCCAGAGCAGCCAGACCCGGGATGCAGGCGTGCAGGCATGCAGGCGTGTTCTGTATCCCTGTCTCGGGATGTCTGATGCCGACAGTAGACATGGGACGCTACGCCGGATGCCGCGTAATCAAGCTTCCCGCCATTGTTCTATCCATGTTCGGCCACGCCATGAGGACCAGGGAGCGGGACGGGCTGCAGAGATTGCGGAAGGTGACAGACGCAGACGCAGACGCAGACGCAGATGGACCGAGTCCCAGTGCCGTATCGGATGTTCCTGGGCCTGGGCCTTGTTCTTGTTGCTTTGCATTTGCGAGCAATTGAGCAAGCCTGCAAGACCGCTGGCTTGCAGCTTGCTTGCAGCTTGCTTGCTTGACGACTTGGGGCCCATTACTGTGCACGCTGCACGACAGAGTTTGCAGGAATCCGACGTGTGCGCGCTGCGAGCTGCGAGCTGCGAGCTGCCCAATAAATGAGTAAAACTGAGGCTCCAGGGTCAGAATTGATTGGGCTTGCAGGTCTGGAGGGTGACCCTGTCCTAAGCAGCGCCACGGCCGCCACCATTCACGCCCCTCGCACACCACCCGTCAACAAATCTCTCGCTCTCTCGCTCTCTCTCTCGCTCTCTCCGTCCTCCGCTACACGCCGAAGGGTCAGTCCCGAGAACAGCCCGGAACACATCGAACCGCCTCGCATTGCCGAGAGCCTTCCCTGCCCCTGCCCCCCGCCACGCGCCCACGCGCCCAGGACCCCAACGAGGAAAGAATCACAATCAACAGAAACTTAGGCGGCGCCGACCCTCGCTCTGCTTCGACCCGCCGCCCTCGGTCCACCCCCGTCTGCACTCTGCCCGGAGAACGCGCCGCGACAGAGTAATACTGTATACTCTGGAGAGGATCGGGTTGCAGTGGGCAGTGGAGGATGGAGCATCATCAGCACAGACCGTTTTCGGATCGGGCATCCACATCCACTCATCCTTCCACTCGATCACCTCCCCCAACACCTAAACAACAACAACAACTCTCTTCTGCTCCGTCCATTACCTCTCAGCGTCACTCTTATTCTCATCCCCACTCACCCCCTACTGCCCGCTCGCCCACCTCTCCTCGCTATCGGCCCTCCTCATCCTCCGTCACCTCCCCCGCACCACCACTCCCTTCCTCCAGACCACGCTCCACCTCTCCCATCCACCCGCCCGCACGCAGAACCCATCACGACTTTGAAAAGGCTCTTCTGCACCCAGACGACGTCCTCTACATCAGCAGCAGCAGCTCCCTTCTTCTCGAGAGCGAGCGCGACGAGTCTGCGGACGACAACGCCGACGACCAAGACGACGAGCTCGAGTACCAAGACGTAAGTGAGGAGATTGACGACTCCCACTCCCTCGCACCCCTCGACTCGGCCTCCACCAATCCACTCGAAGCCAATCCCGCTCCGCACGCACCACCCAAAGCAGGCGCCGTCGAGCACGAGCACCATACGCACAGGCACTTGCCCACTACCGCCGGCGCTTCTCCCCCTTCTCCCAAGACCCTTGCGCCGCCCGTCGGACCAGCTCTCACAGTCGACCTCGACGTATTAGGCGACCGGCGCGAGCCCACGCCAAGACCCCGTCTGCTCAGCCGCTCCAACTCGGCCTCGGACGCCCACAGGTACTCTGATTCCGGGGTTAGTGCCGCCTCCGCCTCCGCCTCCGCCTCCGCCTCGACACTTCGGTCGTTCGATAACGACCCGGCCCCCCCTGGCGCGTACAGAGGCGTATTTAAAGGCTTGCACAGGAGCATGTCTGGGTCTGCCGCACACCCCGCCGCATACGCCCGTCGCGAGTCTCTCGCGTCGACCGGCTCTGGCGCCAGCAGCTCGGCAAGCGCGACAGCACGAGTAGCGAGGATGTCGGCCCGCAAGAACTCGGGGCATCATCTAAGCCTTGGTCTCGATGGTGAGTGCATACCTCGGCGTCGGGCGCGCAGCGAATGGTGCATGTTGCGCCGCTGAGTTTTGCGAACGCATCGATGCTCAATGCTGCATGGCGGGGGGAGAAAATGTCGGCATGACTTGGGCAAGGAGCAGCGGAGACGTGCCTTCATGAGCGCGGAAGCCAGGGCGCGCGGGGAGGACGCGAGGGGCTCGGTCATTGCTGCATGGCCATGGCTGCAAGACTGACGCGGTGGACAGTCACCTTGTGGCTTGCATGGCTTGCATGGCTTGCATGGCTTGCGAGCCATAGGACCATGGGTACTGCTGGCGTCGATGTGGACGGGAACGCGTGCATGGCATACTCGATTGTTGCTCGTTGAGAGAACAAAGTGAGCCTTATGGGCGGTGATCCAAAGAGATGGGTGGGGAGAAGGGAGCAAAGGCGTCCATTCAGGGGCGTTGCGGCCCCACCATCCAATCCAGAGCCTTGACCCACCCGGGTCACTCCTCCCCGCACTTGCCATCTGCTGCCTCGTACTCCCCGTCACCACCTCGTCGTCCTCTCTCACTTATCTCCATCACTCTCCATTCTGCTCCTCCCCCAGACCCCCCTCCCTCGTGGCCCATCCCCCCGCCCAACCACGCCCCACTGCCCCCTCGCTAACACCCCCAGCTGAGATCAAGGCCGAAGAGGCCGCGGCGATGCCAAAGCGCCGTTCCATCTTTCGTACAACTGGAACGGCATCAACTCCCGATCTCTCCACCTTGATCCGCGGCAAGAGGTCGCAGGCAAAGCAGCAGCAGCAGCAGCAGCAGCAGCAGCAGCAGCAGAATATTTCCAGGCAGATGTCTGGCTCCTCGGCCAAGCAGTCACTGGCGCCCACCGCGTCAACTTCATCAGCCGCCATCGCATCCCATCTCAACTCGGCCCACACAGGCTCCACCAGCTCCCTCGGCCAGTCCAACAGCCGCCGTTCGGGCAGCCAGTCGCTTCAGCAACCGCAGCGAGGCAACACTCAGGAGTGGGACCGTCTCTCATCACACTCGAGCATGACCGCGCACCACTACGGAGACAGGGAGCGTGGGATGCCCTCCATTTCGGAGGGCCAGCCCGGCGTCGAGCCGCTCGGTCGTCACGCGTCTGTCGACGAAGCATCCAAGGTGAGTCCCCACCTCCTACCCCCCCTCCTTCGCGGCCAACCCATTCTGACTGTCAGATCAAACGTTCCAAAGGCAAGGGGATGTTCGGTCGCATGTTCGGATCCTCATCGTCGAGCAAGGAGCATCATGGCGTACGTGCACAGGCCACCGCGTCGCCAACCAATGTCCTGTTTCCTGACTATGCCCAGCCTCTGACTTCCGGATCGCAGTTGAGTTTGTCCGGACGGTCTCAGGTGGACGTTTCCTCCCCGCAGTCCGCAAACTCGCCTCAGCTAGCGTCCTCGCCACGATTCCCGGGAAATTCGCAGTACAACTTTGAGCGGCCCGCGTCTAACGGGAATGTGGAGCGACCTCCTATCCCGCCGAGACCCGCAGTGCCCATAGTGCCCAAGACGGTGCAGTCCGACGGCGAAGGGCATGGCAGCGAGGCTGCCAACTTTGCTGCGCGAGCTTCAGCCGACACGGGCCGCCCTGTCCTCGTCACCCGCCCGTCGGAACAATCTACCGTGCACGAGCAACGCGAGCCGGAGACGGCGGTACCACCGGTCATGCCTACCAAGGTCGAGCTCGTTGCACCGTCGCCCACACGCTCGGCGTCAATTTCGTCCACCACGTCGGTCCATGAACAGCCTCTTGCACAGGTGCAGGTCCTCCGGCCCCCGGAGACGCCTGTGTACGAACCAGCTCCGGTTCCCAGCCGCGCCAGCTCGCGCAAAGTCACGGCAGACGGCAACTCGCCTCGCGCGCCGGGACGCGCCGCCTCATCATTCTCGGACGATGTTACGGGCCTTTTGGATCGGATAGGCCACACGGAGGCTGCCGCACTTGGTATGGCGATGACCCACGAGCCGGAATCGAGCGAGCATCTCCAGGTCAGCCCAGATCGCGCAGGGAGCATCGGAGCAGCCTCAGGAGTGCGATATCGCGCGTACGCCGCCGAGCGATCGCCGTCATTGGGACATGTCCAGCGCTCCCCAGGCGGTATCAACGATGGACAAATGGCCGAGCCGCTGCCTGTGCCAACGATCGAGAACTCGGCACCGTCGAGTGCCCACACCACCTCATCTGGGGTCGTTGTGCCGGACACCATCGAGCCTGAAGCCGCGCGGGATGACTCTTCGGAAACAGACGTTCACGCTGCTCCTGCCCCATCCCCCGGCCTGCGTGTGCCCTCTCCGCGTGGATCGGTCGGCGTCCCCGAGGTTCCTCCGAAGCGACCAGAACGCCAGTCCACCTGGGAGAAGCAGAATGCCGCCAGCACCTCCAATCCTCGCCTGGATACCGACTCTCTTGTCGTCGTTGACGTGACCTCATCCGCAGGCCAGTCCTCTACCAACCTGAACGACATTGCCGATGTCGGGGACGAGGACAAGGGACACCAGCTTGCTAGGGAGTTCTTGGCTGGCGATGCTACCCACGTCCCACCAGACAAGGTGGCCATGTTCCTCGGCGGCCCCCGTCCCGTGAACAAGGCCGCGCTCCGCCACTACATGCAGCACTTTGACATGCGTGGCCTCAAGCTCGACCAGGCGTTCCGTGACCTCTGCGCCAAGCTTCATCTCAAGGCCGAGTCGCAGGAGATTGACCGCATCATCGAGGGCTTCTCGGCGCGCTTCTACGACTGCAACCCCAACACGGTGTACGGCACCCCCGGAGTCGTGCACACGGTCACGGGTGCCATGCTTATGCTCAACACGGATCTGCACATCGCCGACATCCAGAAGCACATGTCCCGCCAGGACTTTGTGCGCAACTCGATGCGCGCCATCCAGGAGAGCATGCCTGACCGCGAGTCGACCCCGGACCTCGTCAACGACAGCGGCAGCCTGCGCAACATTGACTCGTTGTCTGCGAGCCACTCTACGACAAGCGTCAGACTGCGCAATGCGGCCGGCACACCGCGCAACACGTCGGGCAACCTTATCTCTCCCACATCCGATCTCGCTTCGACGTCCACGCAGGACTTGAGATCGCGGGGCGCTTCCTCGACAACAGTCAACTCGTTCACGTATACAAAGGCTTGGGAGACTGAGGCCGAGACCGCGCTGAAGGAGATCTACTCGAACGTCCGCAACGAGCGCATCCTGCTGCCAATAGCGTCCATGGGTGACCCCAACCACTCGAGCTCGACCCTCGGCGGGCTGCGTGTCGGATCGCGCGGCGGCATCAACGCACTCATGCGCCCCAACACGAAGAACGCCCCATACAATGCCATGTTCAACTCGCAGGGCGATGGCAGTCTCAGCCCTACGCCGTCGTACGCCAACTCGATAGGCGACCTCGCCCTGCCACCGAGCAACCCGATCGGCTTCGCGGGCAACTTGTCCCACACGGTCATCCGTGAGCAGGAGGACGAGATCCACAGCATACGCTCGGGCGAAACGGGTTCGACGGTCGAGGAGCTCAACGACGACGAGCTGGCTCTCCTCGGCGCGCCGTGGGCCAAGGAAGGCCTGCTCCAGCGCAAGATCCAGGTCGAAGCGCACGGCCGCAAGCCGCAGAAGAAGGATTGGAAGCAGTACTTCGTCGTCATCCAGAAGGGCGATCTGTCCATGTTCGTCTTCGGCTCGGGCGGCGGCAGCAGCATGGGCGGCGGCACTGTCGGCGGCGGCAATTGGATGTCGAGCGCAAACCGCCACGGCGAGTACAGCTTGATGCACGCCATGGCCATGGCGCTGCCGAAGCCCGGGTACAGCGCGTCGCGGCCATACTGCTTTACCGTCACGTTTCCCAGTGGCGAGATAAGTGTGTTCCAAGCCGGCACTGAGGAGCTTGTGCTCGAGTGGGTTGCGACGTGCAACTACTGGGCCGCCAGGAGAAGTCGCCAGCCGCTGGTCGGCGGTGTCTCTAACATGGAGTACGGATGGACGCGGGCGCTCAACCAGCTCGACGACAACGGGCAACACCACGAGCCGCACCGCGAGCAGCGCGAGCCCCAGCGCATGGGTCTCGGCGCGCGTGCACGCCTCGGCGCCATCAGCCGTGTGCGTGGCGCGTCATCGTCGGGCAACGACCGCGTGCAAATGGACAAGATCCACATTAACGACTGGAAGCCGCCTCCGCACGCGACGATGCCTTCGACGCTGGACGACGAGGCACAACTCGAGTCGCTGTGCGCATACGTGCAGAGCCTGAAGGAGGAGCTGGACCAGCACAAGACGATCGAGGAGCCGATGAGCCGACTGGTGAGTAGCTCAAGTTTCGTATCTGACAGCAGTACACGCCTGGGTCCAAGAACGCGATGCGCGCGCGCGAGAACTGGACCGCCAAGTCGCGCTACATCCACTCCGAAATATTCAAGTACGAGACGTACGTCGAGGCGCTGCGCAACGCGATGAACCAGCGCGTGCAGCGCCAAGGCGAGCGCAAGGTCGAGCGGTCGCTGGCGCGCTCGGCGCCGAGCATCCGCCGCGAGGCGCCGCGCAAGCTCAACGGCGGCGGCGGCGCGAGCCTCGTCGGCATGGTGCCCGCCGCGCACGATCTCGAGGGCGATGCGTACGTCCGCCGCTCAGAGGACGGCCGCCAGACGCCGACGTCGCAGGCGCAGGCGGTGTGAGGTGAACGATGATTGATAATATGTCTGCAGGTATGCCTACTTCCTCTTGTCTACACCGATGCAACGGGTATAATGGCTTATGGAGGAAGGGAGAGGGCGCAGGCGCGCGCAGGCGCGCGCAGCCCAGTGATCGCGTTGCTGAGACACGGCTGTTGGCTCAATCTGCGCGCCGCCCATTCAATCATCAATTCAAGTCTCGCGGCTCGGTCGCGAGAGCGAGGCGCTCCTCGCCGCCTCAGCCCATCACCCATCTCCCATCACACATCACTTCCTAGCTTGGCGGACACCGGCCGGACCTTGCCTCCACACACGCGTCTCCACACTTGTCCATCGTCTCCATCCTCCCCGCACGACACGCTGATCACGACATGCATATTTGTCCGCTGATCAGATCGTGGGCTCCGTGGGGTCAGTGGAACCGGGCCGTGGGGACGGCATGCGATGGTGGCGATGGTGGACGTGACGTGACGTGCCGTGGTCGAAGGACGAGCGAAGGCCACGAGCTTCAGATCCGAGCTTGAAACCCACGCACAAGCGCCTAGCACGCCGACGCTTGGCGTGCCCAGCCTTGGCTAGGCGAACGCAGGCCATCACTGCCGCGGCCCCTCCGGATTCTGAAATCGCGCATCGATGTCGCTGACATGCCGATAATCAGCTCGCCGGCTTGATGGCTTGTCGAGTCATGTTCCGCGCGGGTGGGCATCGTATCTCGGCGTCTGCGTATCCGCCATCCGCAGCGTTGTCTCGTGATCAGTGATTTTGCCGCCGCGCGCCGTCGTCTGCCGCGAATAACCTTGGGTCGATCCATGGCTCGGGTTTGTCATCGGTGTGCCTGCGACGGGGAGCTGAATCATCTTGCTTGTGCAGAACTCTTTTGGCCGACATCGAGAGTCTGCCCGTCTGCCCGTCTGCCCGTCTGCCATTTGGCAAGTGCATGCTCCTCGGCCGTATCGGCTGCTCGTGCTTGTGAGCTCGCCGCGAATCCACGGCCCTTCACATATCTACTGGCGCTCAGGGAGCGCGGCAGCCAACCAGAGCCGGCGCAGGCCGGCGGTGGCACCGCGTGGACCCATGTGGGGCTGCTGCCCCTGCCCTCAAGCGCGATCAGTTGCGGGGCGATAATTGCCGGCCGGCTTGGCTGCGGGGTGGGTGTCAGGCTCGAGGTTTCGAAGGCACGTCCGGCCGTCGACCGAGCTCCAGCTGCTCCAGCTGGCCAGCTGCTCCAAATGGCCAGCTGACTCCATCGGGAAGCCAGACTAGGCTCAAGACGCTTGCGCCGAGCGCTGGGCGCGCCGGGCCCCCTTGCGACCGTGGGGCTCTGCCATTCTAACCCCCTCGACCCCGACACCTCGACAAAAATCGCGTACTTAAGCGCCGGGCTGTTGTTGTTTTTTTTTTTCTTTCTCCTCTCCCTTTGCCAGGATTTTGGGCTTTAGAAAACTTCGACAGTCGATATCACACAACATGTCCGAAAAGCTCGAGGCCGGCGTGCCAGAGAAGCAGGTACATGTCGGCGAGACCAACGAGTACCTCCTCCAGCTGGAGAGCATGCCCGCCGACGAGCGCGCGGCGCTCGAGAAGCGCATGCTCCGCAAGATCGACATCCGCCTGCTTCCATGGATGACGTGAGTGGTGTGAATGCCGATTTCGTGCGACGTGGTGGTGTTGGTGATGGTGTTGTGATGGCCAAACGGAGGGCACGGACTCGTCGCCACATGCCGCGCGTGCCGAGCGGGCCGGTGGCCGTGGCGGCCCGGGCGACGCCACAATCCAGAGAACCAGAGTAATGGGATAGCCTCATGCCGTGATCACCACCGACGACGTCGTGGCGACCATGTCGTGCCCCACATGAGCCCCGTCAACCTCGCTCCGCGCTGCACTACCTGGTGCACCCGGGGCACCCCCGGCACACGTCTCCCCTCCCCTTTCAAACCCCGCTGACCCCAGCCTCCTGTACCTCCTCTCGTTCCTTGACCGCGTCAACATTGGTGCCGCCAAGCTCAACACCCTCGAGGCCGACCTCAACCTCACCGGTAACATGTACAACATTGCCTCGCTCGTCTTCTTCGTCTCCTATGTCGCATTCGAAATCCCCTCCAACCTTGTGCTCAAGAAGCTCCGCCCCTCGATCTACATCCCCCTGACCATGGTCGTGTGGGCCCTCTTCCAGATCTTCATGGGTCTCGTCACCACGTACGGCCAGCTCGTCGCCCTCCGCTTCTGCCTCGGTCTCGCCGAGGCCGGTCTCTTCCCCGGCCTCAACTTCTACCTCACGGGCTGGTACCGCCGTGGCGAGCTCAACAAGCGTGTCTCGTTCTTCTTCGCCGGTGCCGTCCTCGCCGGTGCCTTCGGCGGTATCCTCGGCTACGGCTTTGCCAAGATGGACGGTGTTGGCGGCAAGGCCGGCTGGTGCTGGATCTTCATCATGGAGGGCATCCTCACCCTCATTGCCGGTGTTGCGTCCTTCTGGATGATCCACGACTGGCCCGACCGCGCCCGCTTCCTCACCCCCCTCGAGCGCGAGTTCGTCCTCCTCCGTCTCCGTCAGGACACGGGCCTCGGCACAGCGGGCAACTTCTCGTGGCGCGTCGCCGCCTCGGCCCTCAAGGACTGGAAGACGCTCTGTTTCTCGCTCTGCTACGTCGGCGCTGCGCAGTGCATCTACTCGCAGTCGCTCTTTGCGCCCTCCATCGTCGCCGTCCTCGGCAGGTGGACCCGTCCCCAGTCCCTCCTCATGTCCGTGCCGCCCTACGTCCTCGCCTTCATCACCACCATGGGCACGGCCTACCTCTCCGACAAGTGGATGAAGCGCGGTGTCTTCAACATGTTCTGGTCGTCGCTCGCGTGCATCGGCTACATCATCCTCCTCACCACGACGCCCAAGAACACCAACATGATTGGTGCGCAGTACTTTGCCGTCTTCCTCACCACCATGTCCATCGCGCCCCTCATCTCCACCACCATCTCGTGGGCCGGCGGCTCCTTTGGCTCGCACTACCGCAAAGCCGTCGCCCTCGGCATGATCTTCTCCACGGGTAACTCGGGAGGTATTTGGGCCTCGCTCGTCTACCGCAACCAAGACGCCAAGAAGTCGCCGCCGTACCAGCCCGGCCACGGCACCGCACTCGCCTTCGCAGCCATGAACGGCATCATGTCGTTCATCATCTGGTGGGGACTGCGCCGCGCCAACAAGCAGCGCGAGGAGCTGTACGGCCCGGCGCCCGACGAGAGCGAGAAGCACGACATCGACGACCCCGCGTACCGCAAGCGCTGGGGCCTCGAGAACATGACGCACGAGGAGATCCTCGAGCTCGGCGACCGCCACCCGGCCTTCCGCTTCATTCTCTAATATAGTTCATATGCTTGGTGGTCTGGTATAGTGTGGCCACGGGGTGGTCACGAGGTATGCATTACGCATAGCTGCACACGTTAGTGGTCGAGATGATGAGTGTTCTGTGAGCGGTCAGTGAGCGGTCAGTGGTCAGCGCATGCAGCGTAAGCGGTGGGAAAGAGGGGGAGACATGGAGATGTGTTGTGAAACGTGAAAATGACGCACAGATCGTCCTCCACCCCCACCCCCCACTCGGGCCGTCCACAAATATCCGCATCAACTCGTTTCTTGTCCTCTCTTTCTCATCTCCCACACTCTTCCACATCCCTCCTCCATCAAGGCGACAGAGCGGGTCATCATGCCGCCCAAGAAACCTCCTCCGCTTCCCCGCAGCCTCTTCACCGGCGGCGGCCCGCTCTCGCCAAGTGAGTTTGAGCTCGGGTGCTTGGTGAAGTTGCACTCACGCTCACCTTTGCCTTGTACGATTCTACTACTTGTTTGCCCTCCTTTCTCTCCCGCCGTCCTTGATGACTTCGCCCGTCGTCCACAGGCGCCCTCCAGCAACCGCCGTCCCCGTCGACCGTGCACCCGGCATTCATCACTGACGCGCACTCCCACGGCGTCCCGCTCGAGCACTTTCCCGAGGTGCAGAACATGCCCCGCGTAACGGGCTCGGTCGCCGTCGCCGTCGGCGCTGAGAGCAGGTGCGTGGCCGGATCGGAGCTTCTTGAGGGATCCGACGATCTGACTCCAGTGGTTCGGGCAAGCATCGCACAGTCGCGGCGTGTGTCATCGACGGCCCGGACTTGCAGGACGCGACGACTTCGCCGGCCATGGATCTCGTGGTGCCATGCATCGCGCCGCTCACCGAGGCAGGATGGGAGCGTGTCGACGAAGCCGTGAACAAGATCGATGGCGGGAGAGAAAAGGTCGAAATGGAGGTCGCGGAGGGCACGCCGTCGCGCAAGATTCTCGTGTGTGAGTTGTTGTCGGCCTCGGAGCTGGGGAGTCTGTGCTAACGCCCTCCTTTCCCTGCCTTCTGCCTTCGGACTGTCAATGTGTCTCCTGCAACCCCCACACGCTCCTCCGTTCGTCAACAGCCGGCCTCCTCCCTCCGCCCCTCACCAAGCGCTCCTCCCCCCTCCTCCACTCGGACGAGTACGAGATGCACTGCGGCCACCTCTCCCAGCTCTCGCTGCACTCGGACGTGGTGCTCAAAGCGCTCCCGCCCATCGTCGACACGCGTGTCGCGCCCGCCGCGTGGTGGGAGGACGCGCACGAGCTCGAGCGTGTCGTCAAGATGTACAGTGAGTCTGGGCTGTCGCGGCGCTGACAGCAGTCGGGCCGGCCATCGAGGCGTTCGGCACACACCGCATCGTGTTTGGCTCGCAGCCTGCGCTTCCGCCCACGGACCCCGCGATCATCGTCCCTGTCAGCGGGGCGGCGTGGTATGCTCTGCTGCGCAAGTGTGTTTCGGAGCTCGGCGAGGAGAGCGAGGCGATGACGGCCATCATGGGGAAGAACGCCGAGGAGGTGTATGGGCTTTGAGGAAGTGTACGATATCCGGGATGCATAGAGATCACTGGATTGGCAGCACCTTCCTCGCCTCGTGGCTGGCCGAGGAGTACACTCACCTCGCGTGTGAATCCACTCATCTCCTCCTCCTCCTCTCTTTTCTCTTCTCTCATCTCTTCTCTTCTCGATCCTCTTTAGATATCTAGACCTCTTTCAACTCGACTGTCACCGTCGTTGTTGATTCCTTGATCATTTGATCGCGTGATCGCCTGATCACCTGTACACTCCTCCCCTCCTTCTCCTCACTCGTCCGCGCCGTTGCCCTCTACTATCCCTCCGTCGCCTCCAGCTCTCTCTCGTCATGTCGTTCACAAGCGGGCCGTCAGTCTACTACGACACGTTCACCTCCTTCTCCGACCTGTAAGCTCATCAAACTACTCTTCACTCACTCCAGTCGAATAACCCAGGAATCCCCGGCTATTGCCAACGACGGCGGCCACCCGCAAGCCACACCGTCCGCAGACCATAACCACCATTCCCACTACACTCGATCATCTTGTCCTGCTCCCAACAAAAACAAGACGTGGACACAGGCGCATGCCGGCGTTCTCTTCACTCCGCATCAGTGGCCCCCGCACAACCCCCAACGGCCAGTCGAACGTTCGTTGACCGCCGCGCCCCTCTTTCCTCCCCCAGTCTCCTTTTCCAGTCAGCCTTGCGCCCCTTCAGTGGCATATCAGCAGTCGATCAGTATCAACGCGGACGGCACTTTATGTACGCAGGACGGCCTTTGGCCCCTGGGGCGGCCGCCCCACACGTCCTCGTCCGCCAGTGTGGCACACAACCGGGCCGTGTTCGCGGATGTGCAATCCGAGCCCCCTGTCAACAAGGCCGAACGCAACGCGGTCGACATGTTCTTTGAAGAGCGAGAACCAACGTTACTCGATCTCGGTGAGCCTCTCGTGCAGTACCGCTGCGCCCCCACGCACAACTACTCTTCAGCCTGCCAAAATAGCGCACAACCGCCTGCCCACGCCAAGCACCACCTGGGACAGCCCTTTGCCGTCGACTCCACCATCCAGTCTGATGCGACTCACCACTCCACTTTCAACGCCTTGCCCCACAGTTTGGAGAGCCAGGCCTTACTCTCCTTCTCCGACAGCAACGTCTACCCTGGGAGTCATGACAAGGCCGATATGGAGTTGGACGCCGACATCGGGGCAGCCGTTCTTGACTTCCGGGCTGCCGACCAGAACAATCCGCAGGGGTGTTCGCGTCGCTGCGCCTTTATCCGCTGGCGTAAGCGCTGGTTCGCCCTCGGGTCTTTACTTCTCGACGAACTTGAAGACCCCCATCTCGAGGTCAGCCCCACCTACGATTCCTTATGCGACGCTATTGACAATCTCGCCAGTGAGTTGGGCGAACTCGAATGCACCTGCGCAGATATGGTCTGGGACATTGCCGGCGACATCACCATCCTTCTGATTGTTCTTCGATCTGGCAAGAGTAGCATTGCCGGTATAGCCAGGCTCCTCGGCGACAGGGTTGCCCGGCTTGACTTAGAAATCGACTTTGTCGCCAACGTCGCCCGCTCCCCTACCGCGCGCTCCGCCAGGACGTCAAGTTCTACATACATCTCATCGCGCTCCGGATCGGTGGATCTCGACATCTAGCCACCTGAAATTCCCGTTTCCAATCCGCCCCCCAACAAGAGTCCCCTGCGCGACGATCACTGTCGAACCCCATTCGTGCCTCTCCGGTCGCGTGTGATTTTCGGCGGGTCTATCTAGTCTCCCTCTCGCTGCATGACCAGTTTGAACCCGCCAGCGTAATTTGTACACCTAGAGTTAGACCAGGCCTATTCTGACACTATAGAAGGCGAATTTGCTTTGTCCACTGCAAATGACCTGGCATCACGAGGGTTAACCTCTGAGATCACGTGTGAGATGTCCAGCCGACTCGATCTCGCAGTCATTTCGACCAGCCATTTCGCCACACTGCTCGTCGATTGTCGAAACTGGTCTAGCGCCGACACCGTGGAAACCGACATTCTCGAGGGCAAATTTCCGTCGCTGCATCCTCGTCGTCTGTCCCATCTCTTCATCTGTTTCTTTTCTTTTTCGTCATCTGTCTCTACCAATCCACAACAATCACAACAGCAGATGATTCCCGATTATCTTGACCGCCCCATCCTCCCCCCTGTGCCGATCATCTTCCCCGTTACTGAATACACGCCCCGCAGGATCCCCATCCCCCCGCACGACCCCCGCCCGGGTCAGCCCTCCCAGCCCGCCATCAGCATCTCCTCGGACCCGCCGTCGCCACCCCCGCCGCCGCCGCCCCCTCCCCCACCCCCGCCCGCGCCTCCAGCCGCATCTTTGGTGTCCCAAGGCTACAAGGGTGCTTGGAAGCACAAAAAGCGCTCGCGTCCGGGTCCCAGCGGCACCAGCAAGACCAAACTGACGCTGGGCATCACGCGCCCAGCGCAAGGTGTCTCTAAGAGTGGACCCCTCACGACTGCCCGGCGCACCCCGCGCACCCCGTACATCCCGCACATCCCGCACGGCCCGCGGATGCCGCACACCCCGCGCACGCCGATGCACATCCCGAACGCGAAGGAGGCCAAGCTCGAGATTTCTTGTTAACTCGCCGTTCTTCCGCTCGAGCGATGCCCGCCTGATCCTTTCGGTAACCCGCTCAATTCCTCGTTGCTTTGCTCCCTCGCTCCTTCGATATCCGTTCATCCACTTCAATACGCATTGCATACGATCTAGGACCCCAGGGCAGGGCGTCCCCCGCAATTCATCATCCTATGCATACCGCCTTGCGCACGGCCCGATCGCACACAGGTATCCAGCGAGCCTAGCGGGCCACCTGTGAACGCCGGGGCGTGCATCCTTGTTTGTTTCTAGATTCTTGTGCATATCTTGTTGTGACAGGCGGTGGCAGGCCGGCAGGTACGAAGTCATGAGCGTGTGGAGGGGAGTGAAGCGGAATTGGCTGCCGGCCGACCGGTAGGGCCGCGGTGTTAGGAATGCGTAGAGCAAGCTGAAAGTGCGAGTGAGGCGGCGCGGACAGACCGTGATCAACGCCCACCAATTCCACCAAGGATGCGGATGGCCAAGGCTACCACGGACTCTGGCGGCGCTGTAGCGAGTCGATCTGGACCTAGGAGTTTTGCGACGCCTCCACAACAAGGGGGCGGAGTGGAGCTACTGCGTGCGCCCGCACGGCCCAGTCTCGTATGTACGCCGCGTTGTGTTCGCCCGGCGGCTGGGCAATGTTCCAACGGCACGGGTGACGTGATCGTGCGGCGTAGCACGTGCATGGGCGCGGAGGTGTGTTTGCGTCTGAGCCCGAATACGTGACTCTACGAGAGGATCGCAGCTCGACATCTCTCATGTGTGCGCCTTGCTCCTCGCCCGTTCGCGCCGTCCATCCGCCCGATCTCAGCACTCTTGACCCTCTCTACCCCGTTGTCATCTGGAGCGGGTTAGCCGGGGCTCATGAAATGCCTGGGGACAGGGAACCAACGCTCAGTGCAAGTCCTTGCTGTCTCCTCTGCGACTGACAAGCGCTTTTCTTTCGTACATAGACGGGGATGGTAGCGTGTCGGACATCCAGCGTTGAGATCACTGTAGTGCTCACAGCATTGGGGGTAGAGAGAACACCATGTCATACACCACGCTTCATCCGCTCCTCTCACATTGGGTTTCCGTTGTAATGACAATAGGTCGAGCCTGATACCCCAGGTCCTCCTCGCAACAGGCGGGGGAGAGATCTACGCCTCTCACTCAACCATCCACGTCCATCATAGGCAGCTAACACACCGCAACTGCACGCCCCTTCTGCCAACATTTTTTGTACAACCATGTCAGTCAACATCCACACCGGACGATGGCTGGCCTCGTCTGCACTCAGAAGCTGCACGCCACACACATGTCGGAGCAATTCAGTCACAGCAGCGTCGGTGGAGGCCACGTGCGTTTGCTTCCGCTTTGGACGGTTGTCGAAAAGTTGTCCACATGTCCCCTGGGTGGTAATCGCAGGCAGCCAACATTTGGTCGACATCCATCAAGCCTCGTCTGCCAGCATCCCATCTATCCGACACGATGGCGTCTGTCAGCGACCTCCAAAAGACCCAGGACTTTGCCATCAAGAGCGAGACGGCCGCGCCGCAGCTCGACACGTCGCAGTGGCCCCTCCTCCTCAAGAACTATGACAAGCTCATCGTCCGCTCGAACCACTTCACGCCCATCCCCTGCGGCGTCTCGCCGCTCAAGCGCGAGCTCAAGACGTACATCCAGTCGGGCGTGATCAACCTTGACAAGCCCTCGAACCCGTCCTCGCACGAAGTCGTGGCGTGGCTCAAGCGCATCCTCCGCGTCGAGAAGACGGGCCACTCCGGCACCCTCGACCCCAAGGTCACGGGTTGCTTGATCGTGTGCATCGACCGCGCGACCCGCCTCGTCAAGAGCCAGCAGGGCGCCGGTAAGGAGTACGTGTGTGTCGCGCGCCTGCACGACACCGTCGAGCAGAAGGACGTCGAGCGCGCCCTCGAGACGCTCACCGGCGCCCTGTTCCAGCGCCCGCCCCTCATCTCCGCCGTCAAGCGCCAGCTCCGCGTCCGCACCATCTACGAGTCCAAGCTCATCGAGTACGACCCCGAGCGCAACCTCGTTGTCTTTTGGGCGTCCTGCGAGGCCGGCACGTACATGCGTACGCTGTGTGTGCACCTCGGTCTCCTCCTCGGCGTCGGCGCGCACATGCAGGAGCTCCGCCGTGTCCGCTCCGGCATTACGGGCGAGAACGACGACATTGTCACCATGCACGACGTGCTCGACGCCCAGTGGTTGTATGACAACACACGCGACGGTGAGTCAAGGTTGTCGCCGCGACATTTGATTGTCACCGCGGCCGTGCCCACCCTTTCACTATTCCGGGAACTAACACTCCAGAGTCGTACCTCCGCCGCGTCATCCGCCCCCTCGAGTCGCTCCTGACCAACTTCAAGCGTGTCGTCGTCAAAGACTCGGCCGTCAACGCCGTGTGCTACGGCGCCAAGCTCATGATCCCCGGTCTGCTGCGGTACGAGCAGGACATCGAGGTGGGCGAGGAGGTCGTGCTCATGACGACCAAGGGCGAGGCGATCGCCATCGGCATCGCGCAGATGAGCACCGCCGACCTTGCGTCGTGCGACCACGGCGTCGTCGCCAAGGTCAAGCGCTGCATCATGAACCGCGACCTCTACCCCCGCCGCTGGGGCTTGGGCCCCAAGGCCCAGGAGAAGAAGAAGATGATCAAGGCCGGCGAGCTCGACAAGTACGGCAAGAAAATCGACGGCGTCACCCCCCAGAACTGGAGCAAGGGATACATCGACTACGCCGAGCAGGGCGAGGGGCAGATCCTGCCCACGCAGCCGGAGGCTTCCGAGGCTGCTGCTGCGCCCGCCGCCGCCGCCGCCGCTGAGGCGCCCGCGACGCCCAGCGACAAGAAGCGTAAGCGTGACGACCCCGACGAGTCGATGGCTACGCCCGCCGACGACAAGAAGAAGAAGTCGAAGAAGGTCAAGAACGCCGACGGGACCGAGCGCGAGGAGACGGCCGAGGAGCGGGCAGCGCGCAAGGCGCGCAAGGCCGCCAAGAAGGACAAGGCTTAGCCGATCCGGCTCGTGAGCTGAGTGATATCTTGGTGGCGCGGGCGGGGCGCGGCGCTGTCGGCGAATAGTGTTGCTCCTCGTCCAGTAGATTATAGCTCTACGCTATGTACTTGTATGATTCTGGCGGCGGAAGGCCTCAGCGGTGTCGGCGCGCTGCCACCCCGTCCTGTTGCCTGTGACTTCTTATACCATGCATACCCCTGAATCCGCTGCATGAGACTCCTCACGCCTCGTCCACCGTCAACACCTTCTCCACCTTGCTGTACTCCTCGTAAAAGGTCTTGAAGAGCTGCGTGTAGTACTTGATGTCGCCCGACCCGCTCGTCTCCTGGATCGAGTGCATACTCAAGCTCGCGAGGCCGATGTCGACGGTGCGGACGTGCGTCGAGAGGTGGGGGCCCACGGTCGAGCCGCACGTCGAGTCGTTGCGGATTTCAAACTCCTGCACGGGGACGCCGGCGCGCTTCGCGATTTGCCGGAGCAGGAAGGTCGTCTGCGCATTCGACGTGTACCGCTGGTTGGCGTTGGTCTTGATCACGATGCCCTGGTTCATCTTTGGCGCGTTGTTCGTCTCGTACCGCCCCTCGTAGTTGGGGTGGAGGGCGTGGCCCATGTCCGCCGAGATGAGGTACGAGTTGGCGAGGATTTGGTAGTATCCGCGCTCGGCGTTGGGGAGGCCGGCGAGCATCTCGATGAAGGATGGGAGGATGTTGGACTCAGCGCCGTGGTTGCTGACACTGCCGACCTCCTCGTTGTCGTAGATGAGCGCGCAGCGCACGTTGGTCTCCTTGCTCGGCTGGCCTGACGCCGCTTCGGCCTCGACGGCCTGGCAGAGACCCTCGATTGCGCACCACGACGTCGTGAGGTTGTCGAGGCGCGGCGAGAAGATGAACTCGTTGTTCAGCCCGCCCACGGTCGACGGCTGCGTGTCGTACAGACACAGCTCGAAGTCGTGGATGTCGGCCACCGCGCAGCCGAGCTCATCGGCAATCGCCGCGAGAAGCAGGGGGTGGTGCTTGTCCTCCATCGACGCACCGTCGCTCTTGCCGTCCTCCTTCTTCCCAGGAGCAGGCGTACCAGTGCGGCTTGGCACGGCGCTCCCGCCGCTGTTGAGCTGCTCATTAACGAGGCCGAGGACGGGGAGGAACTCGGTCTCCTTGTTGAACTTGAGCTGCTCGTTGACGCCACGGTCGAGGTGAATCGCGAGGGTGGGGATGTGTAGAATCGGTCTGTCGATTTTCACCAGCTTGCTGGTGAACTCGGTGCGCGCGCCCGGAGTCGAGAGGATCACGCGGCCCGCAATCGACAGGTTGCGGTCGAACCAAGTGTGCCACAGGCCGCCGCCGTACAGCTCGGTCCCGACCTGGAGATACCCAGCCTTCTGACGCTTGCTGACGGGGCGGACCTGGTGTCAGCAACATCTGCATTGCGGTCGCATAGGCTTACCTTGAGACATGGGGAGTCGCAGTGTCCCGCGACAAGACTCGCGGCATTGGCCGGGCCGTGCGGAAGGGTGAAGGCAACGAGCGCGCTCTGGTTACGCGTGTAGAAGTACTTGCCACCCGGCGAAAGCTTCTGGGTGGGCTCCCGCTCCGAGACGCGCTCAAAGCCAGCCTTCTTCAGTCGCTGCGATAGGTTGGCCACCGCGTGGAAGGGCGACGGCGACGCGGTCACGAACTCGCAGAACCTGGGTAAGCGTGTGACTATACGATGGGGTATTGAGCCAGGTTTGATCCGCCTCCCCCTGGCCTCCTTCAAACTACACCGCGTGCATACGGTAACTCACTTGACTGCGTCGAGGGGGGCGGCGGCGGGGAACTTCATGGACGGCATATGCGGCTGTGAGCTGTGGATCGATTGTGAAGGATGGGCTTGTGCTGTCGTCGACTGATAGCACGCGGAGATGAGTGCGGGGAGTGACGACTCAGGAACGCAATCTCGCGTGGGCATCGGCGCTGGCCGACGGAGTCAAAGTCGCGTGCACAAAATCGAAACTCTCTGTCGGCAGGTCGGGGTTTACTGTCTTTACCTCCGACAGGCCCCTGCCGGACATCGGTTTGACCTCCGTGTTGCCTGGCTGCGCCCGAGGCTGGTGGTTGAGCTCGTCGACTTAGCGTGCCCGCTCCTCCTCCTCAACTCCTCAAGAATCATCCAAAATGGTGCGTTGGCCGGCGTGACCGACGAGCGTGATGCTGACCGTGTGCCTCTCCGCGACCGCCGACCCCGAATGATACGCGCTGTGCCGTCCCTGCTCTCCCCTTTCCCCCTGTTCGACCCATCCTCTCCGAACAACGAACGCGCACCGAAATCTGTCTCGTCTGTCCACCGCGAACTTCTCTCTCTGCTGCGCGCGCGCTGGCATCTCGATAACAGGGTCGCGTCAGGACCAAGACTGTGAAGCGTGCTTCTCGCGTTCTCATCGAGAAGTACTACCCCCGCCTCACTCTCGACTTTCAGTGAGTGTCACTGCGGCAGCGTGGGCGGGACGGACGCAACGGAAAGGATGAGGAGGCGCGCGCACGCGAGAAGCTGGGGATTCGGCGGAGAGAAACAGCGGAGGAGGGACTGCGCCGGACATCGGGTGGCAAGGGTGGTTTCCAAGTAGGACCTTGAAGGCCTGGCGCAGCCTTCCCCGATGTCTGCCCCGCACCCTACTCCACGCCCAGTTGTCTCCCCTCTTCTCAGCGGCTCTGCGCACCAGATCTCGTTTCCGCGCACCGTTCCGCACGCATACTGGCAATTTTTGGATGAGCTAACCCGCAGCACCAACAAGCGTCTCCTCGATGAGGTCGCCCAGGTCCCCTCCAAGCGTCTCCGCAACAAGATCTCGGGCTGTGAGTCGCCTCGCTTCCCCCGTTCACAATCACGCGCTGACAGCAGTCACCACCCACCTGATGAAGCGTATCCAGAAGGGTCCCGTGCGCGGCATCTCGTTCCGTCTCCAGGAGGAGGAGCGTGAGCGCAAGGACCAGTACGTTCCCGACGTCTCGGCCCTCGCCGTCTCGGAGGAGTCGCCCCTCCAGGTCGACGGCGAGACCAAGGACCTCCTTCGCTCGCTTGGCCTCGACTCGCTCCCCGTCGACGTTGTCAACGTTTCGGCCTACCAGCCCCGCGAGCGCAAGGGCCGCTTCGTCCCCGGCGCCGGCAAGGCGTAAGCCGACCCGGGTCTTGTACATTGCGATGGATGACTATCACTGGAGAGAGTGTAGGTGAGGGCGGCTGTGTGGAGATGGCGGGAGCAGAGGCGAAGCTTGAGAAGGGCGAAGTAGAGGAGAGGCGCAGTTGGGGTGAGTGGGGAAGAGGTGTTGCGCATTGAGCTGTAACCGCCGGCCTGTCAATGGCGCTTGGGAGTGAGGAGGTAGGAGTGGCAAGGCAAGCTGAGGGCAAGCCGAACGTAATGACGCCCGGCGCCTAGTCTGGCCTGGGCTCCAAGCTCGACTGCGCGGCCTTCGTACGCGCACCCCCTAGTACACGTGCAGAACATGCATCTCTGTGTCCTTTCCCCCATGTATGTCTCTCGCGATATGTCTTCGCAACGCCATGGGCAGCCTGCTGCCTTATACCTGACTCACATGGGCGCTCCCCCATGCTAGCGGTGCACCAAAACAGTCAAGAGTGAACTACAAAACGTCGAGCGGCTCTTCCTGATCTCTCTCTCCTCCAGATCGTTGTCATCGCCCGCTCGAACGTTTTTATCGCCTCCGTCCTCCATCCTCCTAATCGCTCTTCCTAGATCGTCCTAGATGCTCCTAGATGCTCCCAAGATCCTCCTAATCGCTCGTCCTTAGATCTCCCTAATGCTCCTAATCACCCGTCCTCCACCTCCCTCTCATGCAACCATACTATCAACTATCAACTATCGAAGAACTCACCTGTCTTTTATGCATCTTGCTGAATAGCCCGGTGGCTCGAGTTGTCGAATCGGTTAATCAGGTGTGGGTTGGAATTAACCTCCGCCACTTAATTCGAATTCTTGATGCCCATCCTGACACGGCGAGAACGGGATTCGAACCCCGACCCTCGGCTTGGCTTGTTGAAGCCCCGAGACGATATTGAACAAGTTCGCTACCGCCTACCCACAGCGCCGTCTGGGGCGAAAACTATGCATTCAAGCTCCATATATACTGCTTCCCATTACATAACAGCCGCCCAGGACAGAACCCGCGAAGTCTTTGACTCAAATGAAGGCATTGATGGTCGATGGAATTTCATCCACCGGAAATGCTCAAGTGCAAAGCTCGTATTTCGAGGAAAGGGCGTGCTCTGTGCGTGTGAGAAGCTTCTGTGATTGGTCAGGCGAGGGACGAACAAGCTTCGCTCCTAGGCGTTCTCTAGAAGACCGACGTCTAATGACCCCGTTTTCTTTCCAGCCCTCTCGCCCTCTCGCGGCCTGTGTCCTCATTCTGAAATTCTGAAGAGGGCGGGCCGACCGATTGGCCCGATCGCCGGAGAAAAGGGGGGTCTGATTGGGAAAGCGGCCGGCTGCAGACGGAAGGGTGACGACCTCGGGCAACTTGGCACCTGTGAGCCCGACTGCGATATGATTGAACCTCTCTTGCGCCTGCGCCTGTTGCCCTATGAAGAACAGCCTGAACCAAGACGCCACGCAATGACACGGTCCATCTCATCCTCCTTGAAGACGCTGCGTGACTGTGATCGGGCCTGTGGCCGACGTGACTATCAATGGAGCTGAGATGAGATTGTCGTAAGCCAGCTGGTCGTCACGCCACGTTCGTTGGCAGTAAAAGCACAAAGAAAACTATGGCGCACGCTCCAGCTAGCTCCAGGAGCGTGGAGATCGTGGCATCAGGAGGTCATGACGACTATCAGCAGCAGGCCAACGGGGTGGCGCCGACGTCGCGCCCATGTGGCTGAGGTGATTACGCCTAGCAGCAGGGTTCGCCGTCGCTATCTGCTATCAGGATGCGGGAGGAACCGGGCGCCGCTGCCGTGACGGTGATTTCGCCCTTCGCTACGTCTCGACGTGCTGTTACTAGCGAGGAAAAAAGGCCGGTAGAGTTCTCGCTAACGGGGACGCAGCCGAGTTTACTGTAATCGCAATGGATGCCGACCGCCAAGGGGGCGGCCAAGCCCCGAGCCGCTGGCCGCTGGTTAACCGGGGTGTAGCCTGTCGTCTGTCGGTCGCGTTTGAGGGACATGGCCGGCGTGCCCGGCTTAGCCGTCGCAGGCCGGCTGCCCCGCAATAGCACGGGGGCAGGGAGGGCGGACGCGCACGTAACGGGCTCATGTGGTTGGCCGACCCCGCGGGGGGTCATGATAGCCGGGGTGGGGTGGTGGGCTGTGGAGCATCTCTGCCCTGTATGTACCCCGCCCCCACTGTCCCTCGCGAGTAGCGAGACACGCTCGCTTGTATCAATCATCTGGCCTCGCACCTCCTTCGACAGCATCGACTGCTATCTCCATCTCATTTAATTTGGACGCACCAAGCCAAGACAATCGACAGAACATCGTCTCGTCAGCGAGGCCGGATAGAGTTTATTCTGCCACTATTGCAAGCCAAGAGCACATCCCTTGTCGATCCCGATTGTCGGAGCGCTCACCGCCAATCACCTGACACCATCGACACCACGACGTCACTCGTCTCCTCCCACCTCCCCTCGCCATCACATCTTGCCTCCACACTATCAATGCCTCTCCGATAATGGCAAAGGACAAGGAAAAGGAAGACGAGGGCCCTCCCGGCGCCGGTACGCTCTTCGTGTATCACGGCGGCGCTGCGCCAACCATCGAGTGGGCCAAGCTCGTGAGTCGCCGTCCTCTCCGAGCTACTGCTGACGCAAGCCACAGACGCAGCCTCGCCTTTTACCATCGCCCGACGTCCTCCTTGACCGCGGCATCGCAGACTACTCGTACGTGCCCCGCGACGAAGGCGGCGTGCTCGGCCGCGGCAAGTTCAGCACCGTGTATCGCGTCCGCTCCGGAAAGAAGGAGTTCGCTCTCAAGCACACCCCATTATACCCCCACCACCCACTCATCGCCGCGCGTCTCTTGCGAGAACCAACGCTCCTTGCCCAACTTCCTCCGCATCCCTGCCTTATCGGTGTCGATGGCTTCGTACGCACCGACGGTCATTTCTATCTCGTTGGTGCGTCACTTGACGAGCCGGAGGAGTTGGAGAGGGGTCATACTAACGCCCAGAGGAGTGCGCCCGGACTCACGTCCCCCTCCCCCACCACCCCGTCCCCCTCGCCCCCAGCCGTGCCGCCTACATCCTCGATCAACTCGTCAGCGTTGTCCGCGATGACTTGCATGCCGGGCGCGTATGCCACCGCGATCTCAAGGGCGACAATATCCTTATCGACATTGAAACAGGCAACATCCTCCTCCTTGGTGAGTAGCTAATCCAAACCTGCGCGCCGCTCACGCAGACCTCGGCCTCGGCACAAACTTCTCCGCGTCCGAGCCCAAGCTCACGACGTGCTGTGGCTCACCAGCCTTCCACTCACCGGAGATAGTCAACGCTCTCAACCACCGCCCAGGGGAAGTCACATACTACGGGTAAGTGAAGGGGCCTTGGTTGCCGACCAGCTGGAACATTATGTGTCGACAGCTGACACCAGGCCCGAAGTTGACATCTGGTGCATCGCGCTGACTATGCTCGCAATGCTACTGCAGACACGTTTCCCCCTCGGCCCACATCACAAGTCGCGGACCATCATGGGCGAGCGGGCCGCCGAATGCCTCGAGCTCATGGATGTCATATATCCACCAGGCGAGCCGTGGCGCGCGCTTGGGCCCGGCGTAGTCACGCAGCTGACTGACATCGAGCTCGTCGAGGAGGAACTAGCGTGGACACGCGTTCGCAGAGCGATGTACAACTTCGTGGACTTGGATGCGCATCGCCGCATGAAGGCCTTCGCAAAGTACGACGTGGGACAGTACATGCGGGCACGTGTGATTGACCACGCACGCATGGTGGCCTTCCGCACCTTCAAGACGACAACCTTTGTGCCATCAGAGGTCAAGTACACGCTACCACTTTACCTCGAAATGGACGATAATGGGCCAATAGTCTTCCGCAATCCGAGCCACGAGAGTGAGAAGCGCATCCTCTCCTACATCAAATACCTCCTCCGCTGCGCCGGTATCCTCTACCACCACCTCCCCGACACATCCCCGCCCGTCTTGCAACTCGTCCTGCCGCTCGCACCGCCAGCTCAAGCGGACGACGACCGCCTGCCTCAAACCACTGAAGGGTGGGTAGCACAGCTGTTGGGACTGGGACGCAAATCTCCCTTCCGCTCCAACAGTGTCCCTCCACCAAGTGTGCGCAAGGAGGCGCCGCCACCCCAGGCAGACCTGAGGGGCAAGCGCGCGTGGGCGCAGCAAGCATGGATGCAGATCAAGGTCGAGAAAGCCGGCAATCTCTCAGGCAGCGTGGCGGCGTCCCGCGCTCCAAGCCGCGCCCCCTCGCGCCCCTCCTCCCGCCCCAGCTCGAAACCCGGGAGCCGGAACGCGAGCAAGTCGCGCCCCGGCTCGCGCTCCCGCGCGCTCTCGACGCCCGAGGAGCCGCTGAGCCCCGCCCCCGACCACATCACTCTGGAACCGCTGCAGGAGGGCAAGCCGCACCAACACCTCATGCGGAGTCTGTCAAGCCTCACAGCTGAGCGCAAGGCCGGCAAGAAGCCAATGCCCGTCAGAACTGTGTCGACGCCGCTGCTGGACGACCCCCCATCGCCGCCGCCGTCACCGGAGGCGCTCCTCGGCGCGCCGCTGCGCCGCACAGTCTCTGTGTCGATCGCGGCGCTCGCGCACGCCCCGCGCGTTGTGCTCACGCTCACTGAGCCGCGGGGATACGACGTTGTGCGAGACGCGCTGGCGGCCGCCATCCCCCCGCCGCCGACGGAGAGCGTAACCCGGCGGCGCAAGCCCGACGTGCCCCCCACGCCCCCGACGCGCGCCCTCGCGATCCCCAGCACGAGCGGGGACGAGGGCGAGCCGTCGCGCGGCCGCTCGCGCAGCAAGGAGACACCGCCGTCGTACCTCCGCGAGGATAGGGAGCGGAGCGCGACGGTCAAGCCCACCGGCGGCAAAGCCCAGCCTGTGGGCAGCCTTGGCGTGGATACCGGAAGCGGGCATAGCACGCCGCGGCCGTCCAAACCCCGGAGACGGGATAGTAGCAAGGATAGAGAGCGGGCGCGGCGGAACGGAGATCGGAGAGAGCAGACGAGCGATTCGGGGCATTCACGCTCGTCGGCGTCGGGGTTGGCGCCGCAATCACGTGAAGACAGCTCGAATTCGTCGCGGCGTGGGGATAGCTCCCACTCGCGAGCGGGGGAGAGCATGACTTCGCGCCGCTCCAACCCCAGCGAGAGCGGGAGTATGCTCCTCCTCAACGTCGGCAAGGCTGGAGCGGCCGCCGCGATAGCCAGCAGACCTGTCGCGCGGCGCTCGTCCTCTGTCCCTCCCCTCTTACCCGTCTCGCCCCTAAAGACACTAGGCATGACCCACCGAGAATAATCACGAGACGAGACACTGGTCAACCCGCACACAATAGACTGACGATCACGACTCTCGAATCTGTAGTACCCCCGACTGTATTGGCCAGTAACACCGACAACGATGCATTTTCTTACCAGCGATAGGTCTTACCTGGGCCACGGCCCCGCTGAGTATTTTATGGCGAGCAAAGAGAAGGGACACGGAAGAGGAGGCGACGCGATGCGGTCTACACCTAGTACCGCGGCCGCGCGTCATATCCGCCACGGGGCGGGCGGTCGTCTCCGCGAGGAGCCCTGTCGTCGTAGCGGCTGGCGTGAGCATGGTCCAAACATAGGTTTGTCGTGTCGGTGCCACAGAGGCATGAGGCAAGGATGGTCCGGGCATCACATCACGGCCCACGCCTCCACCATTGAAAGGTCTGACTTCCCTCACTCAGCATGTCTGCTGACGAATAGGAAGCGTGTACTCTCCAAATAGCCACCTGCGCAAACAATCACAACCGCAAAGTACTCACTCAGGAGGGGGGCCGCGACGGTAGTCGTCGTAACCACCGTCGCCACCGCCGCCGCCACCGCGACGATCATCGTAGCGGTCATAGCCGCCACGGCGGTCGTCATAACGGCCACCACCACGACGGTCATCATAACGGTCGTCGTAGCCACGCGGGCCACGGTCAGAGTAGCGCGCATCGTAAGAACGCGGCTGGTATGGGCGCTCATCGTGGCCACCGTAACCACCGCCGCCGTAACCGCCACCACCGTAGCCACCTCCGTAACCGCCGCCGCCACCGTAGCGGCCACCACCGCCTCCACCGAAGCCGGGACGGTCGTACTTGACGCCGTGGTAACGGCCAGGAGTGGGGGTGCGCGCACGGCCGCGCTTGGCGTGCGTGACGGTGACGACGCGACCCTCGAGCTCCTTGCCCGAGAACTCGGTGATGGCATTCTCCGCCTCGGTCGACGTCTCAAACATGACAAAGCCAAAGCCACGCGACTCCTCTGAATGTTAGCCTAGAGCATGCTGGGCGGACATACGAGTGTGCGGGTCAAGCATCACCTGAGCCTTGACGATCTTGCCAACCTTGGAGAAGTGGTCCTCGAGGCCGCGGTCGGTGATCGAGCGCGCGAGCCCGCTAACGTGCAGGTTGTTGCCCCTGTTCGTGGAGCCATCCTCGTTGCTGATGTCAGAGTAGCTTTGGTGGGGGACTCACCGGCCACGGTCCTCACCACCGCCGCCACCGCCACCGCCACCGCCACCGTTGCGGCCGGGCGAGCGCGAGCGGTCACGGCGTGGAGCGGGCGAACGCTCACGCTCGCGCTCGTCGCGGCGGGGAGAGGCGGCGCGGGGAGAACCGTCGCGCTGCTCGCGGTAGTTGTCGCCGGCCGGGGCCGAGTTCTGCCAAACTAAGTTGTTAGGAGTGATCATGAACGCGAGAGAGTGTGCAAGAATGCAAGGTCAAGTAGACGACGGAAAGAGGGGAGACGGTGGCGCAATTTGTAGAAGGAATTGGATGATGAACTGCAGTGGGAACGTGATGGTAGGTAAAGGAAGGCGAAGGTGATGACAGAGCACAAACAGGAAGCTGGCCAAGCCAGCGACAGCACCTCACTCGCCGTGGATGGCCACGCTGAGCCACTAGGAGGGCCAGCGGACTGCGCGAATAGAACATATGCGCAGGCTAGGGACTGCGGGGGTGCCATGAGCGTGTCGCGTCGCGTCGCGTTGCGTTGCGGTTGCGTTGCTTCGCTGGCGCAGATGACGGGCAATAACTCTGACCGTTGATGCCGCACTAGTCGCTGCACGGAACAGACTGGCGCGGGGGATCGACGCGAAGACGCGAGGCAATGGAGGCGGACTAAACGAGGCGAACACAAGCCGAAACGAGGCGAGGCGCTATGGAAGTGGAGGTGGAGGTCGCTGGTCGCCTTGCGGGCGGGCCGCGTGACGGATGCGGGGCGAGGCGAAGGCGGGGAGAGCGAGAGCGAAGGACGTACCGTCGGAGGGGTCGGACATGGTGGTTAGAGAGGTATTGATGTTGTGGAGGGCATGAATGGGTTCGACCTAGGCTGAGGTGGCTGACGGCAATACCGGAAATTGGCGGGTGTGGCAAGGCGTCATCACCCTAGCACACCAGTCGGTATAGAGTCCAACTCGCATCAACATCAACATTCGAATGCATCTACATATGTCTAGTTCTACGACGCCTTGATTCGAACTCCCTTCGAGCGGGGGTGCGCCTCCTCCTCCTCCGTCGCCTTCTCCTCCGCTCCTTCACCGGCCTTCTCGATGTTCACACCCATACCCATGGCCTTCCGGAACTCTTCACGAATGTCATCGCTGACACCAATACGCTGCTCCCGTCCACCCATGTGGTCGACGTTGGCCCACGACAGAATCTCGCCCTTCCACCTCTTCTTCTGCGCGTCGTAGGTGGCGCGCACCTTCATCTGGCTCGTGTTAAGACACGGCTTGTGGGTGTCCACACCTGGGGCGACGGAGAAGGAAAAGGGAGGGGAGAGGAGCGCGCCGAGCAAAGCGGAGATGTACGCGCCGTGCGAGACGGCGAGGACTATGGGCTCAGGCGTGGAGGGGTCGGTGGGCCCGGTGGGAACGTGGTCGGCGAAGAAGCCCTCTGCCCACTCTTTGACGCGAGCGCGGAAGCTGGTGTCAGCTCTTTGAAGCACTACAGTAGCAAGGTGAGAGGTTTGGGGACTCACGCTCCGCTCTGCTCCGCATCGGGGGGGATGCCGTCCTTGGGCGTCCAGCGCTTTCCCTCCAGCGAGCCGAGCTGGCGCTCGCGCAATCCTGGGTCGGCGACCAGCTCGAGGCCGGGGTGCTGGCTAACCACAGCCTGGGCGGTCTGGCGTTAGTTGACAGAGACGACTTGTACCACGCATAGCAGAGACACTCACCTCGAATGCACGCGTCAGGTGCGAGCTTCGCGCCTCCGTGAATGGCACCGACTTGAGAGCCTCGGCGAGCAGCGCCGCCTCCATCTGCCCCTGCTCATTAAGATGGACGTTGATGTTGCCCTGGATGATCCCCTGGGCGTTGCTGGTGTGAGCGGCGGAGGCACTCGTCGTAGATGTCGGTCAGCGCGACTCACAACTCGGTCTGGCCGTGGCGGCAGAAGTAGATGAGCATGGTGGGCGAGTGTGTAAAGCCGACACCGCAGTTGTGTCTGGAGGGGCTCAACAGAAGTCCCAAGTCCGGCTCGCCTGAAGCCGGCGATCCGCCATCAGGACATAGAGCGGATGTGACCGAGTGATGCACTCAACGTGTGGCGCACGTGGCGGAGAAACCACTTAAAACCCTCAAAATATTCCCTCACCCCTGGAAAATCACCACCCCCGGTGTCCAGCTCAGGAACACGCCCGACAAGTCCGCCAAGCAACGTGCACGACTTTGGACATGTCGACTCTTGCTCGACTTTCCATTCCACCCACCTCATCTCAACCATGTCCTCCCCCATCGTCGTCTGCATCGGTAACCCCCTCGTACGTCGTGGATAGGGCATTGTGGGGTGCGCGCTGGCTACACATTTCGATGGCGCCCCCGTGCATGCCACATGCTGCCTCATCCTTCACTGTTCCGCGCCTGACCCCAGCTCGACATCCAGGTGTCGCCCCAGGACGGCCCCAAGTACCTCGAGAAGTACGGCCTCAAGGCCAACGATGCCATCCTCGCCGAGGAGAAGCACATGCCCATCTACGAGGACATTGTCGCCAACTCCGAGGTCACCTATGTGGCTGGTGGTGCCGCCCAGAACGCGGCGCGTGCGGCTTCGGTGAGTCTCTTGGGGAGAGGGCGTGGGGCTTGGGGCGTCACCTTGAGCGTGACCTTTGACGCGCTTTACGGCTTTGAACTAGGAAGTTGTGCCCATCAACCTTTCGCTCCCCCAGACCGGTCATCTGCGTCTTTATTTGCGGCATACGCACGATGGCATACCTTCCGTAGCAGCGCTGACCTCAGTACGTCCTCCCCGAGAAGTCGGTTGCCTACATCGGCTCGGTCGGTGACGATGACCTTAAGCAGACCCTCCAGAAGGTCAACGAGACCGAGGGTGTTGTGAGCGCGTACGAGGTCCAGCCCGCGCCCACGAAGACCGGTGCCTGCGCCGTCATTCTCTCGAACCACGACCGTTCGCTCGTCACCACCCTCCGCGCCGCCGAGATGTTCCACAAGGAGCACCTCGCCAAGCCCGAGGTCGCCGCCCTCATCGACGGCGCCAAGTTCTTCTACATTGGCGGTTTCTTCCTCACCCACGGCATCGAGTCGGCTCTCGAGGTCGCCAAGGCTGCCTCGAGCCGCGGCAAGACTGTTGTCCTCAACCTCTCAGCGCCCTTCATCGCCCAGTTCTTCAAGGTCCAGCTTGAGGAGCTCCTTCCCCACGTCGACATCCTTATCGGCAACGAGTCCGAGGCCGCCGCTTACGCCGAGGCTGCCGGCCTTGCCGACGCCACCCCCGAGCAGGTCGCGTCCACCCTTGCCGTCTTCTCCAAGTCGAACGCCTCGCGCCCCCGTGTTGTCATCATCACCCAGGGCCCCGACAGCACCCTCGTCGCGTCGTCGAGCCCCTCGGCCTCGCCCGCCAACCTCTCCCCCAACGACCCCAACCCCAAGATCTACCCCGTCCCCAAGCTTGCCGCCGACAAGATCATCGACACCAACGGTGCCGGTGACATGTTTGCCGGTGGCCTTCTTGGTGCCCTCGCGCAGGGCAAGAGCCTTGACGAGGCCATCGAGGTCGGCCACAAGCTCGGCCAGATGTGCTGCGGCCAGATCGGCCCTAAGCTCCAGTTCCCCAAGGTCAACGTCCTTTAAATACAGGGTAGCACCTAGGCGAGCTCATTTAGAGCTAGGATGTTAGAAGAGAAACAAAAGGGCCTCAACGCCCACATACCCGTACACGCATACCCTCATCTGTAGCATCATAGAAGGCTGCATCATTTCAACAGTGCTCGTGCGTAAGGATATCCATCTCGTAAGCTAGTGTGTGTGAGTATGCATCAGCGCGCATGTGCGGTAGTCTGCTGTTCGTCAGTGGCTGCTCGTGGAACACATCATGCTCACACACGCCACACCGCAAGTGGCAGGCAAGTTGCAGCATCGGTAGCTGCAGCCCAACAATTGGCATAGTCACGCGGCAGTGGTATAGCTCTAGCTCGTCGTTATCTTTTCGCCCCGATCCGCCACTGCTGCTGATCCGCAGCTTGCCGTCGTTTAGCGAGAAACGATATCATGGACGTCCGTCGCAGAGAGGCACCCAGAATATGCCCGAAGGGTCACACGTGATGATTCTATTCCCGTTAAGTCAATCGCATTAGGAGTTTTTCTAATGTCGGTTGGCGATCCAAAGTGAGTTTCACTGATTGATAAGCATTCACAACATCGCACTTGGATTGTGGCGGCATCCCAACTGATCTCTCTAACCTCGCGCTCACCGGAAGTGCTATATATACAGCCTCTGCAATCTCTTGGCATCGCATCAGTTCTCTCCGGGACACAGTCTCACGATCGTCGATCCTCTATCCTCTAACAAACTCACACCTAACCCAATGCCACGCCCTACCCCCACTCGCACCGACGCTGAGTGGTACGCCGCGCCCTCAGCAGGCATGGCGCGCATCCACCGCGGCTTCAAGTCCGCCTTCGCGGAGAACCACCGCCTCGCCGACGGCACCTTCCACAAATACGGCATGTCGCTGCGCGGGTTCCTGCACCACGCGCGCGCCGTCGCGCTCTCGCTGGACGGGCACCACCGGAACGAAGAGGCCAACATCTTCCCCGTGCTCGCACGCACACACCCGGCGTTCGCGCGCTCGTCCGCACACGTTGCGTCGCACCGCGTCATCCACGACGGGCTGGAGCGATACAATGCCTATCTGGACAAAGCGAGCGCGGATCCGGGGAGCTACAATGCCGCCGAGTTCCGCGCGGTTATCGACAGCTTTAAGGAGCCCATGGAGAAACACCTCGACCAGGAGGTGCGCGACCTTGAGCCGTCTACGCTTAGACTTATGGGCGTCACGGTTGAGGACCTCAAGCGCCTCCCGTTCTAAGCCGTCACTCAAGTAGACCGACGCATGGATATAGATTAGACGTCACAGGACCCCGTACTGTGTCGATGCGTGTTTATGCGCCATAAGACACAGGTCAACGTTTCTGCCGTTCTTGCTTGCTGTCAGTGCTTCCACTGAATCATTATTTGTTAGTCGTGGATGGCCAGGAGTGAGATGTACGTTGCAAGGAGTGGGTTACGAGCGGCGAAAGAGTGGGTTGCACCGAATGGGTTTGGCCACTCTCCGGCGGCTGTCCGACTTCATCTCAGAATTCACACAACATTGACACCCTTTGATTATCACGACATCGCTCGAAGGAGAGTGTCACTAGTGCCACAATACGCCCAATCGCCACGGATGCACGTTTCTTCCCGTGCAAACCTACAAGCGAGATCCAACATCAGGCTGACGTGGGTCCTCAATACGGCGGATTAAATTGTGCTTTAGAATTCAGATCTCCTGTAAATTGACTAAAACACTGACTATCCCAATTCGCCAACCCAACCTTCTCTATCAATGCAGATCCATAGGGTATCTATAGTACCAGGTGTACATACAGCGCGGCACGCCGCGGTCACTCGCGCTCCCCGCCCCCCATCTAGCCCACTTAACGACGCTGCGTCTTGCCGCCCTTGCGCTTGCCCGCCAGCATCCACTTGGGACGCGTGATAGGGATGTGACGGTCCGACTCGGACGCCTTGGCGAGACGGTTGCGCTCGCGCACAGCGAAGTGGTGCAGCTGCTTGGACTTGTCCGCCTGCTCCTTGGTCGTGATACCGGCGGGGAGGAGCTCGCCCTTGGGCGCGGCGCGGCCCTTGCGCGGCCGCTCGTCCATGTCCACATCCATGGACACGTCGCCGTCGCCGTCGCCGTCGCCGTCGCTGCCGCGGCTGGCCTCGGCGGCCTCCCATGCCGCCTTCTTCGCGGCGATGAGGCGCGCCGCACGCTTCTCCAGCACGACCGGGTCGTGGCCGTGTTTGCGCATGCCCTGCGTGAACTCGTCGAGCGTGACGTGCTTCTTCTTGCGCGGGATCACAGGCTTGTTCTGCAGCGTGTTCTTGGCCTGGCTGATCTTCTTGAGCTGCGCCTTGCGGCGGGCAACCTGGGCGGCGGCGTCGAGGAACTCCTCCTCGTCCGAGTCGAGCATCTCCTCCTCGTCCGAGGCGTAGAAGCCCTCCGCCTCGAGCTTCTCCTCCTCGCGCTCCAGCGCCTCGAGCTTGGCCTCGATGTCCGGGTCGATAAAGTCGGCGACGTTCTTGCCGTTGAGGATCTCGGGCATGATGTCGTACTTCCACGAGTCGTCCGCCAGCATGTAGTCGCGCTTGAGGTCCTGCGTGTAGATGCCGAGCCAGGGGTTGAGGCCCATCTCCTGCTCGACTTCCTTCTCGAGCTTGCGGCGGTTCGGGTCCTCCTTGTCGTACGTGGTGCGGCTCTTGACGGCCTCGGGGATGAACGCAGGTCGCTCAACGTCGTCACGCTTCTGGGGCATCGCAACGTGGATCTTGTTGGCAACGGCCTCGATGCGGTGGCCACGCAGCTTCTGCTCAACACGGTGGGCCAGGAGCTGCTCACAAGCCTTGTTGCGCACGTCCATAACACCCTCCTCCGAGTACGTCGATGCCTCAACTACGGTCACGGTCTTGTCGTTGAGGATCGTGTCGACGAAAGCACGGTTGTCGGGGCTCAGGTCCGACAGGCGAACAATGTCGATCTTGTTGATCACAAGAACGACAGGCTTGTTTGCGAAGAGGGGCTTGATCGAGTGGAAGAGCTTGCACTGCGCCTCGATGGTATAGCCACACTGCTCGGACAGGTCCATGAAGTAGAGAATGGCGGCACGGAGGTGAGCAAGCGCGGTGATAGACTGCATCTCGATCGTGTTCATCTCCTCGAGCGGGTGGTCGAGCACACCGGGGGTGTCGACAACCTGCCAGCGGAGGTACTTGTAGTCCATGTGGCCGACGAAAAGCGACTTGGTAGTGAAAGCGTAAGGCTGGACGTCGACATCGGCGCGAGTGATCTTGTTGACGAACGACGACTTGCCGACGTTGGGGTAGCCGCAGATGATGAGCGTGCGTGTGTTGGGGTCGATGGCGGGAAGACGCGAGATGTGCTGGCGCACCTGCTCAAGGTAAGCGAGGGGGTCCTTCTGGCGGCGCATGATGGTGGCCATGCGACCAAGGGCAGCACGCTTGAGCTGCTTGCAACGGTACAGCGAGTCACCGAACTTCAGGAGGCGGCAGTAGTCCTTGGCGACCTGGGCGATGAGGTGACGAGCCGTCGAGATCTGACCGAGCGCCAGCTTGTAGTGGTTCTTGTCATACAGCACGTTGAGCAGGCTCGAGAGGAACGGGTGCAGGTTGTCAAGAATTGGGAACTCGTCAAGGATGCGACCGAGCTTCTCGTCGAACGCGTCCTGCGTGAACTTGACCTTGCGCATGTAGAAATTCCTGATACGCGAGATCTCGAGGTCAGCCATGTCCGGGGTGCTCGTGTGAGCCGACTCACCTTGAAGTTCTTGTGGATGACGGTGGGGGTGCGGCGCATGGTACCCTGGAGAACGACATCGATGAAGTCGGCCGACGAGGGCACCGGCGCAATGTCCTTGATCATGCTAGTGGTCGCCATGGTGGTGAGATGTGACTGGGAGAGAGGAGACTAGAGGTGGCAAAGGCGAGGGCGTTGAGGCTAGGCTGCGGCTGTGGGCTAGCTGGGTATCGGCGCGCACGTTGCGTGTGCTTTTGCAGATGTTACAGGTGGCGAAGGCGTCCTAGGCGATGTCTAGAGAGAGCCGAGGGGAGATGAATAGAGAAATGTAGCCCACCGAGGAGCGAGACGCAATGGAGAAAGAGAGAGAGTGCACAGGCTGTACAGGCTGGCCACTCTCAAAATCCTACAAACCTCCACCCGTCAGAGAGTTGCTTGCTTGCGTGGGGTGCCCATTCCCACCACGGGAGAGAAAATATGCCTCCACTCGCGTGCTGTTAGCTAACACCACGTGTTGCTTCCGGAATCAAATCGGCAGCTGCAGATAGGCACGCAGGGGAGCCGCAATTGGACTCAAAGCTGGTCGAGTAAATGAGCGGAAGCAAATTGTAACGTGTCACCCTACAATGTTCGGGGGGCCACGAGAAGACGCGTAACCATCAGCTCCACCGATTGAATGGCAGGCACCACTGGGCAGAGTAGGCGTGCCACACTCCCCTTGTCCCACTCATCACCCACCTCCCTCACACCCTCCCTCCCTCCCTCCCTCCCTCGTACTCGAGCTTGCACTCGCTCCTCCATCCATCCACACGACCATTCACTTTCTCAATCTCCACACGTCGAACATCCTCGACTACTCTCTCCCCCACGTCGAGCACACCCCCGTTCTCAACGAGGCCATCTGTCAGCGGCTGATCCGGCGACTTCCCGTCCCGACTCCGTCGTCGTCCCTCCCACTAGACCACGTCCTCCATCCCTTTTCCTTGTCCACCATTGCATCACCCCCTCACCCCTCCCTCCCCATCAAAGACCAGCCACAATGGCAACAGTCGGCGAACTGAGCAAAAAGTTCGCTTCGCAGCTTCAGCAGCTGCAGGCAATCTTCCCCGATTGGGAGGAGCAGGACCTCGTCTTTGCTCTCCAAGACTCAAAGGGCAATGTAGAGGACACTGTTCTCGCCATCTCTGAAGGTGCGTCCCGTCACTGGCTCTGATACTGTCTGCCCAAGCGCAACGGCTGCTCCTTTGCCATCGCACAGCGCTGACGCTTGTTCACTCGCTTCTTTTGTGACCCGTGACGCCTCAATTGTGTCTTCTCCCCTCTCTTGACCTCAAACCCTGGCCTGTCAACAAACGCACCTCGCACCTCATCCTCGCACCTCAATCTTCGTACTTGTGCATCCGCTCCCATCACAACCGCACTGTTCACGCGTCGCACCTGTTCACGACTGTGACGTACCTTTCGCGCCTGCAGGCCGCACGACTCAGTTCACCCAAGCCTCGAAGAAGAAGCCTGCCAAGACCGCCGGATCCAAGGTCCATGGCGGTCGGAATGCCGGCGAGCCTTGGGAGGAGTTTTCTGGCGGCGGCCGTGGTGGACGTGGTGGCGGTAGAGGTGGACGCGGTGGCGGTATAGCACGCGGCATGGGTACGTCGTGTAGCGTGATGCCTATGCTGGCTAGCTGACATTTTCTGCAGCTGCTGTACGTGGAGCTCGTATCGGACGCGCCGGAGCGCGCGCTGGTCGCGGCGGCTACGGCAACGTGAACGGCGGTGCCAAGAAGAGCGACGCTCCCATTGACGCATGGCCTACTTCAACGGCGACGACTGCCGATGGCTGGAGCTCCCAGGTTGAGCAGGCTGAAGCTGCTTCTGCGCACGAGGACGACGGAACTGGATGGGGGGAGCCCCTTCAGCCAGAGACAAAGCCGCAGGAGCCTGTGGCTGCTCCCGAGCCAGTCAAGAGAGGCGCGTGGGGCAAAGAGCTGCCAAAGTCAGCTCAGCCACCTAAGCAGGCCTCCACAGCTCCAGTTGCTGCTTCCGCGTCCCCTGCTACGGCGGCTGCACCTGTGGCCGCACCTGCCGTCGCCCCTTCCGCACCCGCCGCACCCGCCCAGCCCGCGCCCAAGCCCAAGATGACCTGGGCCCAGATTGCAAAGTTCGTCGACGCGATGAGTGTTTATGCTGATCTGTCGCAGGCCTATTGAGAAGCCCAAGCCCGCACCTCCCCCTCCTGCTCCCAAGGCCCCGGAGCCGCAGCCCGAGCCAGAGGTAACACCAGAGGAGCCCGCGAAGATCGAAGAGGAGGTCGTACAGCCCGAACCCGAGCAGGCCAAGGCAGAGGAGCCAGAGAAGGTCACGGAGGAGACTACAGAGGAGCCCGCCACCCAGCCCGAGCCTGTGGTGCTTGCGCCGGAGGTGCACCCCGAGCCCGAGGCCGCCAAGGAGACTGCAGCAACCGCCGTGCAGGAGCAGTCCTGGGCATCCGACCCCGCCATTGTGGGGTCCGCTGCCCCCACTGCCGCCCCAGCTGCCCCTGAGCCAGTTACCACCTACACCGGTCCTCCCGGCTTTAACACTGTCGCGTCCAAGGCCGTTGGGTCCCAGCAGCCCCGAACCTCGTCCCGTGGTGCGCACCGCTTCAAGACCGGCGGCGAGGCCGTCGTCCTTCCTGCGCAGGCGAGCGGCGTTTCTTCCATGGAGATTCAGTTCGGCAACCTCAGCTTCGGTGGCCTGAACGGAGACGGCGTTGAGACGCCTGTTCAGGCTGAGGAGCCTCCTGCTGCTCAGTCTCCCGTCGCTCATACCTCCTCCGCCCCTTCTGCCACCTCTGCCCCGTCCGCTCCCGCAGCTGCCGCTACTCAGCAGGCTGTCCCGGCACAGCAGCCGTCAGCGTGGCAGCAGCAGCAGGCTGCTCCTCCTCAGCCTCCTGCTAGCTACCCCGGTCAGCCCCAGCAGACGTACGACGCGTATGGCCAGCAGCAGCAGCAGCAGCAGCAGCAGGGTCAGCAGCAGGAGCCTCACCAGCCTGCTCAACAGCAGCAGCAGCAGCAGCCTCAGCAGTCGCAGTACGGCTACCGCCAGGATGGCTACTACAACCCCATCGGCTCGCAGGGTCAGCAGGGTCAGCAGACCGAGCAGTCGCAGCAGCACGGGCAACAGCAGCAGCAGCACCAGCAGCAACAGCAGCAGCACCAGCAGCAGCAGCCTCAGCAGCAGTCTTACGACCAGTTCGGCGCTGGCGGTTTCAGCAACCAGTGGCCTGGACAGCAGCAGCCTCAGCACAACGAGTACGGCCACGGCCGCAACTACGACTCGTTCTCGAACGCCGGCTACGGCCGCCCTCCCGCTGCCGAGGAGCCCAAGCAGCAGGCCCCCACCCCCGCTGCTCCTTCGCAGCCTCAGCAGAGCCTGCCGCACCAGCAGAACCAGCAGTACTACTCTGGTATCGGCGGCATGGGTTACTACCAGCACCCCTCGGGTCCTTACAACCCATACTACCAGTGTAGGTCCTTGCGCGAGGTGACAGTCTCCAAGTACTAACTGTGCACAGACGGTCACACTCACAACCCCGGGTTCCAGCAGTACTACCCCATGGGCGGGCGCCAACTGTACGGGCAGCCCCCCTCCCACCAGCCCCCCGCGCCCATCCCTGCGAGCAAGCCAACCCCACCTACGCACTCGCCGTACGGCGCCCCTAACCCTTACCCATCGTCTGGCTTTGAGGACCAGTCGTATGGTCTCGGACGCTTCGGTGACTCGAACAAGGCTAGCGGCACCCTCCAGTCTGGACAGAGCCAGCAGACTCCGCAGCCCATTGGCGCGGGATCGCTGCCGCAGTCTGGCTACCAGCAGCAAGGTCTGCACAACTTCCTTGGTGGCGGCATCAACACTCCTACTGGCGCGGCCGGCTCACAGCAGCCCAACCGCCCTCAGGCTGGCACCCCCGAGGACAGCTTCAAGGGCCAGGCCGGTAACCAGCAGACTGGCGCCGGCGCCGCGGCGGGTGCGCGTGCGCAGCCCCAGCAGCCTCAGACCCAGCAGGCCTTTGCGTCGTACCCGTACGGCGCTTATCAGAGCCACGACTGGTCGCCTTACGGACAGCAGGGCCACTATGGTGGCTCGCGTAACGGCGGCTACACTGGCTGGCAGCAGTAGTTATGCGAGATGACTTGATGCGCCGCCGCTCTCAGTATCCCACTCAATTGCAATCTCTCCACCGCTGTGTAAACATCAACAAATATGTTCTTCTCGATCAACCACCGCATCCCATCCATCTCGCTGTTCTCCGTGGAGTGGTCCTACCCTCTCTGCGTTCTCTCGTTTCTCAGATCAACGATTTCCACCTGTCACTGTGTAGGCTTGAGTGTGCCGAGGAAGATGCACTGGTTGAAGCATCAGCTGTGGGAGGGTCTGTGTGCGTGTCAGTGTAGGATTTGTGTGTGTGGGTGTGGGTGTGTGTGAGAGTACCGAGTGGCGAGGCTGTGGGGAGGCGGCGCCCAGGTTGTCAGTGACTAGTGTGTGATATGTGAGCATGACGAGAGAGCGGGCAGACGGGCAGAGATGTGAGCGGCGGTGGCCGAGTAACCTTGAAGAGTCTGAGGAGTGAATTGTCGATGCAGGCTGACGTAGAATGGGAACAACATCGAGTCGACCAGCGGTCTGCACACCCCGATAAGACCGGCCGGCCACAGGGCGTTGAGGACAATGAAATTGAGCTGCGGGCTGGGTGGGAGGCTGTACGCCCTAGCGCACGCCCATCGTGCGCCGATCGGTGGTGGATCACATGGATCGACGGGTCGTCTATTCAACCGGTCGGCGGTTGGCAGATGGGCAGATCATGCGTCGTACACGGGGCCCATCGTCGATTCTATTTCGTCTCTTTAACGATCAGAGCGCTCAGCGCCTCCCTGCTGAGGCTGGCAACTGAAGGGATGTGAAAAACTGACTGCGGTTGAATAGATCTATTGGTGCTACTCGGAGAGGTCGCCAGGGTTGTCGAGCCTACCAGTTGCAGCTTCTGCACATGTGAACGTTTGGTCATGCGTGATGGAATGATGAATCATCGCAGTGCAGTGTGTTCAAGTGAATCGTGAATGGCAGCTGTCTCGCAGTCGAAGATGGCGATCTGGCGAGTCGCTCTCCAAATCGGGGAGTGAATGTGAATCTGAGCTATGTATGTGTACGTCGAAGGCGGTTGAGGGAGGGCCGTCCGCGAAGGCGCCACAGCGTCATGCACGTTGCGATGGTAATGGTTGAATTGACACTTAACCGGGAAATACTCGGGACGACTGCAGATTGCAATCGCGACATCATGCCGAGATCTCAGACGCTGTAGTTGTTACAGCGAGGTATCGTGGTGGCGACGAGACGCGAAACGCGTCCTCCGCTCGACGACGCCGCGGACCGAGGTACGGAGGCACTGGCGGGAGCGAGACGGAGAGGAACACACCGCCGACGGGTCCGCATCAGGCAAGACAGCATACGGCACAGCGCACTCGTAGCCGCCTCCGCCGGAGACGCGTCGGTGGCGAGCTGACGCGAGGTGGATCTCGCCGGCGTCTGCTTTGGCCACGCCGTCATTCCGCATTTCCGCTCCCCGGAAAAGAATAGCAACGACGACATTAAGCGCAATACCGCGGCCGCTGCCGTCAGCGGGCGGCATAAGCCTGCCCACGCCATGCCATCAGATTGCGAGGCACGCGTTTTTCCGTGATCCGCGAGCATGAACTGTACAATTCAGTTCATCGTTTGGGTTGTACTTAGTCACTCCTCTAATCTCGTAAGCGTTACTCGCTCGTGTCCACGTCTGCACCCCATTTTCCCAGTTTCTCACAAGCTATCGAGAACTCGAGATACGCAAGGACGACGTGTTATTAATCTCCACCGACACCGACAGCGCCGGCGGAGCTATCAAGTCATCCGCCGTCCCCGTCCGCCCCGTCGCCCCGACCCGCCGATCAGCATGCCATAAACACGTGGATCGGGAGGCCGGGTTTGTGCGGGCTGGTGTAATCAGTGCGCGCTGGCAGGAAGAAATTGTGTACGGCATCGCGCAGATGAGTACGCAGTCGGCGCCATATTGCTGGCGATTGAGCGGAGCCAGGGCGCCACTGCCTGTGGCGTCCAGGTGTCCAGTGCACAAAGGCGTCGCACAACCGTACCGTTAAACTCTATGCCTGTCCATGCTTTCGGGAACTGGCCCTGCACCGCGGTCAGGAAACGATGGCCACGCTTTTTACGCAACTCATCCAACTCAAGGCCTTGCCTCAAGGGAATGCAGAGTACAAGTAGGATGAATTCCGAGGGTAGTCACTGGAGGGGGGGGGGGGGCACGAGGCAGGGGTCCGTGCTGACGTCGATGCGGGCGCCACTGGGGAGCTCGGAGCTTTAGAACAGGCTCAACTCAGGCAAGGCGTTCGGCCACCTCCATCTTGCGTCCTTGTGTCCTGTGATCCTGTGATCCCATGATTCTGCGATCCTGCGATTCTGCGAGCCAGCTGCGGCATGGCCTGGGGGCCGGTGGCGCACGCACATCGCACATAGCTCTCGTCAAGCTCGCGAGGTGCCGAGAGGCGTGGGTCGTGGGATGGACGGCTAATCCCGGTGGCACTAGCGATGGAGCGATGGGCGGATCGACAACGGACCTTGCTCCGTGGTGTCCGTGTCCTGTAACGATGGTGGCGCGTGACGGACCTAACTGGCGACCTGGTGGCAACACCGATAACGGCAGCGACGGCCAACTCGTGGTCAACGACGAACCCGTTTACGAGTCTACAAAGAGGCAAACGGAAAGAAAATAACCAGGTCCAGGTCCGGCTGACCGGCCGAGGCACCGGCGTGCCAGCCGTGACGCAGACTTGACCCCGGTTGTCTTACCCTCTTGGGTCGTCTGTGGTCTCTCGTTCCTCCTTGCCCTGTAGCCCTGTCCCTGCTGCCCCGAGAGTCCAGCTTGAGCGCCGCCGACGCCACGGGCTGTCCAGGATGAGATCGCGCAGGGCGGTTAAGCTACTCTTGCGCTTGAGACCCTTCAAACCAAGTTCTTTTTACCCGCGGTTCTACTCCGTGCTGAATTTGCGGCCTGCGTTGGCCTCTCCCCTCCCCTCCCTTTCGTTGAGACCTGTGGATTTCGGCCCAAGATGATGTACCAGAATTGCGGGATCCGAGGGCTCAAAGAGGGCCTTGTGGCACGAGGCCAGTGCTAGGCGCCTGAATACGTCCAACATGTCCTAGCCACCAGGCCACCAGGACAGGGCTGGTATGCCTGAGAGGGCACGGCGGGTACACACACCCTGGCTCGGGCGCTCGGGAGGACAGGCCATCAATGAACTTCTGCCCATCTGCTGTGGCGAAACCCCACCCACGTACCCACAATCCGACTCGTACTCAGAGCTCTGCGCTTTGAGCTTGTACGGCTCAGCCCGCTCCGCGGGCCTGCGATCGTGCGCATTCTCCATTCACGCGTATCTCCCGCCATATGCCATCCACTCCCAGACAAGAAGCCGAGCGCCGCCGCCACCAAGCCTCAGATGAGATGATGTACTCCTTGGCCCCCTCCTCGCCTTCGCTACGCTTGGATCTTCTTGGCCGTGATGTTTTGTATCATTTATTTCATCTCCTTCGCATTCAGTCCGACTAGTCCACACTGCTTGTCTCACTTCCCATTCATCTCTGCCCTCGCCATAACACCAACGACTTCAACATCGTCAGCACCACGTTGCCCACTACCACTTCGCCGCCTGATATAAGGCATCTCCCACATCGCCTCATTGCCTCACAATTCTTCAGAGTTCTCGCTTCTTGACTTCCACACTTTGCGTGAGTCACTCGCCCCGCCCCCGCCCCGCCCCACCCCACCCCCGCCCCGACCCCCACCAACATTGGCACATACCATCGCTTGTCGTCAATCTGCTTCGACCATGGCATCTCAGCCATATATTGGGCATCGACGGGCGCTTGTCCCTCCAAATGAATCTGGGAGCAAAGGCAACCCGGTCGTGACCTTTTGTTGCGCAGGGGGTGAGCGTCGAGTGGCGCCCGCCCACAGGCATGGCGCCACCCGGGGATACTTTTACGTTGGGAATTTTTAAAAAATAAAGAGCAAGGAGCTGCGCATAGCAGAGAAGCATGCCGGCGCCGAGCATCACATGCTCGGGAGCAGTTGCAGTGCATGCAGCTGTTGGTGCATGTGATGGCCCCGGCTGGGCCGTGGCACGGCGCCGACCCTCGATGGTGCCCGGCCCGCGCGGCTCGGCGCCGCCGCATAGTCGTCTGCGTTGTGCTTTGGCACACGAGGGATCTCTGCTTCTCCCTCCATTCCCCTCGGCGTGCTTCGCACGCAGTGCAGTGCAATTGCACTCGAGAGCACAAGACTTCGAGAGACCTGGACACTCGGGCACCTGGATACCTGGACTTGTGCTTCGCAGGCAGCCTCGCACTGTCCATTATCACCCTGCCCTGCCGCCACCACAGACCCTCATGTTACAACTCCCTCCCCCTCATCGCACACCCATCAGTCGGGCGGCTGGCCGGGGCCATATAGACTCCGGGGGGACATGCTAACGTGCAGCCTTTAATTCTTCTCACACATCTGCCCACGAGTATCGCCGCGCTCAACCCCATCACAAGAGCAGTGCTCTCTTGAGACGTGCAGGGTGAGTGCTGGTGTGATGCAAGAGAGGTGGAGAAAGAGAGAGCACGGAACAAGGGACGTCGCTCAAACGCACTGGGCGGGGTCAAGTGACGCACGGGCGGGGGTGAGCTGGTACCCCTCGAATATCGGGCGGTATTTGCCCCTTGAACCCCTGCCCTTGCTGGGGATCTCCTGAGGTTGCATACACACTCGAGTCGTCGTTCCCATCGTCGACGTCGTCATCCACCTCTTCTTCTTCATCGCCAACCCACATCTCGCCGCCCCTCCTCTCATCGTCTCATCATCACCATCATTATCTGGATGCATACTGACGCTTTACCCACATGCTTCTCCGTGTCCTCGCTACTTGACCCCGATTTGACTCCCGTCACTCCCGTGCGCCCATCCACCCTGCTTGACCGTGACAATGATTCTCGCTCGCAACGCACCCCTCCGTCCCCGTTCGCGCGCCAACCGTGCTTCTTCTCGACGCACCCACCTCGACCTCGACCTCGACCACGACCACGCATCCGTCGCCAACACGTTCCTCGGTCACTTGCGCCAACCGCCAACCGACGCTTGCGCATTGCCCACCACCACCTACTCCCCTCGGTCCGCGGTCCACACTACATGGCCCATGTTCCCCGCCTTCCCTGTCGCCCGTGCATGCCGTGCACCCGTGCCCTCTTGACGCACCCGCAACCGATATATTCATCGCATTCTTGTTCACAATTGCTCACTACTCAGACAGTCTCAAGGATTCCTCTCCCGCTTTGTCCGTCTTGAATCAGGACAACCAGGAACAATTCAAGCCACTGCGTCCAACTGCGACGAGGTCACTCGCCGCCCTCCCCGCCCTCGCCGACGGCTCTTCGACACGCGCGGTTACCTGTCCACTGTCCACCCGCGTAGGCCTACCGCACGTTCAATTCCCCCTACTCCTCCACCCATACAAGCGAGGTGAGTGTAACCGGCGCAGACCGGCGCCCTCCCTCCCCCTTGGCATCCGTGCTGACCTCCTACAGCCCCCCTGCCTCGCAATACCGTCAAGGAGGATTGTGGAAGGTCTCGCCGCCATACGTACTGGAGTAATCGACGCCTCACACGTACGCCCACAGGCGCACCGATCCTCGACCGGACGCCGCAGCCAGACACCCCACACCGATCCACCGACACACACATAACGCGTGCGCCTCGGCCTGAGCCACCTTCTCGCGTCGCATCTTCTCCCTTCTCCACATCACACTGGCCCATCACCCAATCTTCTTAAATCTTTCATCTCCCCTCACCATTGTCCATACTCGAGCGGCTCCTCTCTCATCACTTCAACCGCGTTGCCAGCAGCGCCTACCGCTCTTGCCCTCTCACATCAGTACGCAACATGGACTCGGACCCCAACGCCTACGTCGACCGAGGATCGTCCTTTGGGCCGTCGCGAACATCAGCACCAGGCGGGCACCGCAACTCTCCCCCATCACAAGAGTCTACCCTGGTCGAGTATCGGGACCCCCGATCCGCTGCTCATGGGAGTCCCAAGATGGGAACTAGCTCAGGCTCCCCTCCGAGCCCCAAACTCGCACCTAGCCCCAGCATCGCTCAAGTCCCATCCTGCTCGCCCCACGGCGACTCTTCGGTCCAGGCTGTCGCTAGGCATGCGCCGTCCTCAACTACCTCACAGGTAGAACCATCCATATTCGCGGCTTTCGCTTCGCCCTCCGCTGTGGACTCGATTGCAACGCGCATGGGGATCGGATCCAATATCCCCTTGACATCTGCAGACCCACTCCAGCAGATCCTCCGTGACGACGACATTGTCCCAGCAGCTCCAAAGCATACAGATATGGCAACTTCTGCGCCTTCCCCCGAGGAGCCGGAGCTGCTCACTTGCAAACCTCTCGATCGCGTTGCTTCTCAGATGGGCAATGCTGGCAACGTCTCTTCCGCCGCCGTCCTTTCCCAAACGCCCCCTTCCTCGCAGCATCGCGGCGTCGAAACCGAATGGGCTCACCACGCACAGCAAAAGCCCATGGAGAGAATCGTGTCCCAGGCCGGCTGGACTCCAAGCCTTCCTTTCCATCCATCCGCCTCTCTCAAGCGATTCCGTTCCATGTCCGACCCGCCTGAAACAAATCGTTCGCACTCGGTGCGCCTCGCGCGTTCAGCCGCCAAGTACTATCGCGCGGCACCACGCAAGAGGATGCGCAACTGGTCGATCAAGGATGCTGTCGACCAAGCGGAAGGAGACCGTATCATGCGCCAGATCCGCGGCCGTGCGCAGGACAACTTCTTCCCCGCTGCCAGAGAACCCCCCGTCAACATGAGCTCTCTGAAAATCCTCGACACCAGTGAGGTCCTACGACTCCCTCAAATGCGCCACGAATTACTGTTTGAGAACATCAGCTTCCTACCTGTCCGTCCTCCAGCACATTCTCCATCGACATCATATGCGCTTCTCTCTACGCATCGATCCCAAATCGTAGACCCGTCACCGGCGACCGAGGAGTTTGATCGGTATTGGGCCTGCATCCGCGCCGAAATTGAGCAAGGGTGCCGGTGCACGCGCTGGGATGGCCCGGGCAGCACAGCCAGTATCAAGGGGTGCATTTGCGGACGTTGGACGCCAGGGCTGAGCGAAGCCAAGTGGTGGAGAGAAAGCCGCGCGGTGTGGCCAAGCCGTCTCCCCACGCTCATCAAGACTCTGCGCGACATATTCGAGTCGCTCATGGCCTCGACGACTCCCTGTTCCACTCCTTCACCACATGGCCACCCGACTGAGTCCCCCGCTTACCCTCCAAGTAGCGTTACGCACTCACTTGTGCCTGCACTATTTGCAGCACTCGATCCCAAGTTTCTCACGTTGCAAGTGCGACGTGGAACCTTCGACCCAGACCTTTTCCGTGTCATTGGCGAAGCGATGAAAGTACACTGTGCCCCAGTGCGTGACGCCATGGTCGATGAAATGGTCGCGATTGCTACGGGTTCAAGCGAACATACCCCGGACATCGTAATGGGGCTGCGCAAGTGCTTTGACTGCGTCGAGGTTATGAAGCTCGACATTGCCAACCACCAGGTCCAGTCGCTGAAGAACCTGTTGTGGCAGCAAGCGGAGCATAACGAAATGGGAACATTTCTCAACTATCTCGCTGCCGCCAAGCGCTCGCTCGAGAGTTCCAAGACTTTTGCGTGGATTCACGCTGCGTCAAAGCGCGTCGCCATAGCCGCCATGCCTCAGGAGCGCCGCCACTTGATGGCCCAGTGTGCGTGCGGAGTCAACTCTGAACTTGCGATCCGCTCTCTTGCCGATGGCTTCATCGACCTTGTATACGGCGACTGGGTCGAGGACACGGAGGTGTGGCCGCCAATAGTACCGTCGCGTCGCCCCGAGCTTCCTCCCCCCCTGCGCGTCCTTCCCTCGAAAGTCGTCGTCCCAGAGGTTTTCAAGATGGACGCGTGTCGCATTAAGAACTTCCACGCGGAGATGGTCGACATTGCGATCGCCCAGTGCGTACTGTCGACTTTCCGGAGCCACTACGTCAAAGCACACCCGAACGCCTCTGAAGGAGAGGTCGCAGACCAAGTCGCCCAAGTCCGTGAGACCTACAAGCATATTATGACAGTGGGATCCGGCCTCATGGGCGGCCAGGCCGGCCACCCGTCCGACATCAGCTTGCACATGGCACATCGCGTCGTGTCTGGACGACTGTGGCCCGAGACGAAGCCCTCCGATCCCCATCAGCATTTTGTAAACCGTCTCGCTCGCGAGTTTGACGCTATCATTGGCAGGGGCATCGCGAATCGTTCCTCCCCGATGTACAGGGCGTCACTGGCGTCGCTGCGCCAGCTCACGCAATTGATGCTCACAAATACGCTCCTCCTTCATCGCGTGCAGCCAGAGTCGTTCCTGTACGACCTGTCCAACTTTGACTCGAGGCCGTGCACGCAAAGCGTGCGTGAACCCGTGGCCCCGCGCCTTCGCGTCAACTCCCGCCGCTTCGTGACCCTCACCGAGCCACTCACGGGCCAGGGCGCGAGCACGTCTGATCCGCGCGAGCGCTACCATCGACCACAGTCCCCAAGCATCGAGGCCGCTCACAGACTTTTCATGGACACTCTGGAGGCAGGGCGCGCCAACGAAGCTGCCCTCGCCGCAGAACTCGGCTTCAAGCCTCTACTTTACGAGATTCGAGCTGTAGTCGACCGTATGGTCAAGACGGCGGACTTCAACCTCTGTGTCTTCATCAACCTCTACGGCCGCAAAGGCATGCTAGTTGGCAGCGGCAAGCTGCAGCCTCTCCCAGAGCTTTCATGAGCTCCTTGTACTCACCTATTGCATCATTAGCATTTTTTCTGAGGTGGCGTCGATACGCCTTCCATATAGACTATCTACACGCATTGTAGTCTGTCCGTGCATGTAAAGTTGAGAAAATGGAGCGTGATGGGCCTAAGAGGAGCAATGCCAGTGAGGAGAGTTGCGCCGTGCGAGTTGAGTAAACCACATCTCGGATGTAGGGAAGGTGATCCGACAATCCCTTCGGATCCGAGCGAGATGCATCTCCGTCATACTTTTGGTCCTAGATTTGACTTTCATCGTCAATCACCAACATACTCATGCTCCCGGCCGACCCACCACCAGCCTCTCTCGCCGCCTCGGCGCTGCCGCATCTGGCTACCGCCGTTACCCAGGCCGTGCCATCCGGCCCGCGCGCGCTCCTGCCGCCCCTCGCGCTCGCTCTCCGCACACTCGCCCGCGCCCGCCTGAGCGACAATCCTCCACCTGTCCCTCTCGCCCCGCTGCACGCATTCACGTCTCTCGCAGCCGAAGATCCCGCCGCAATTCCTCTTCAGACACTGACTGACGCGCTCCTTGCATATCCGTCCGAGGTGGGCGCATTGTCGCCTGCCCTGTCCTCACTGCTGAAGGAGCGGGAGGCTGAACTCGCTGCGATGATTGCAAGTGCCCCATCTGCCATCACCTCCTTACCTTCCTCCTCCCACTCCCCCACCGACCCCTCACTCCCCCTCCTCACTACAGCTCGCCTTCTCCACGCCCTCCTTCGCCTCCCCGCCGCCCACATTGTGCTCGCGCACGCTCCGGACCTCGTCCCCGCCCTCGTCACTGCTTACCAGTCTGCAAATATCCGGGCCAAAGCAGAAACGCTCACGCTTCTCCGTGTCCTCCTCGAGAACAGCGAGAGGTTACGCGCCCTCCTCCCACCGGCACGCACCGGCACGCCCCTTGTCGACCAGAATGTCACGGCTGACCTCGCATTATTCTCCACCCAGAAGCCTGGGGAGGCCGCGGAGGCGCTGAGGGCGCTGCATGATGATGAACGGCGGGACGATCCGGTGAGAACACCTTCCCTCGCTCTGGCATCTCGACCTATGCCTTGGAACACTGACCCCAGCGCCTTCAGCCCCTGCTCAACCTCTTCCCCTCCCTTCCTGCCCATCTCTTGGCTGACTCCCTCGCCCACCCAGCCTTCAGCGCGCGCGCTGGCGCCACTGCCTCGGAACAAGCTGCGCCTCTCGTCGATGCCATTTTGGCGCGCACCCTTCCGCCAGACCTGCACGAACTGCGTGCCGTCGCAGCCTCGCTTAATGCCGCCGCCGGCCCTTCCTCTCCTACAAAGCAGGCGGCGCGTCGCGGCGGCTGGGACGACGTAGATCTCTCCAAGCTGCGACTCAAAGGCGACAGCGAGGCGCCGGCAGAGATCCCCGACGCCCTGCGCGCGTCAATTCTCCGCCTGGTCGAGGCGCAGGAAGAGGAGGCAGAGGCTGCCGCCCGTGCAGTAGCAGAAGCTCATGGCGACGGATCGGATGAGGAGGACGATGTCGCGCCCGCCCGCGGCCCTGTTGCCGACGGTGAGGACAGCAGCGAAGGCAGTGACGGAGAAGCAGATGCACAGGGCGAGGACGGACAGGTATGTTGATCGGGGAAGGGCCGGCTGACGAAAGCGCACGCCAGCGCGCAAAGAGAATGTGCAGGTTGTTCTCGAAATTGCGTACATACAGACTCCCGCAGTATTCAGTCGCGACTCAGCAACGCGGCGCAGTGCCGCCCGCGCTGACTTACGTGAGCGCACTGGTATGGACGACAGCCAGATTGAGGGGTGGAAGATCATGCTGGAGCGCAACGTAGGTGTACTACAGGTGTGGCGGCTAACAGCAGCCACACAAGGATGCGATCCTCGAGAGACACCAGTACTTGCGCCCGAGCAACGACGCCACGCCCAAGAGAGACGGCGGCGGCGGAGGCGGCGGGGGCGAGTCCTCGCGAGGTGGCCGCGGAGGGGGGAGTGGCAGTGGCGGGCGTGGCGGACGTGGAGGGGGAGGGCGTGGCCGCGGGAATAAGGGAAGCCGGGGACACTCGAATGCGGCACGGACACGGGGGCACGACAAGAAGATGAGCCGTATGGGCGCGGGTCTGTAATGTGTAGATGCTAGATTAAGAGATATCTGCGCCCTCCAGTTGCATAACTTCGGTGGTCAAGCGGAGCACTGTGAACCGCGCTGTGAGGTTCCGTGGTAGTCTCGGGTCTCACAGCGTTGAACATATTGAACCCGCTTCCGCTCAAAACATGCTGAGAGCGCTGAGATTATGGAAGCACTGACCCATATACCGCTCCACTTGGTCGTGGGCAAATGCAGAGATCCTGATTTCTATTTCCGAGCTCGCAGCGTTGGTAGATGGAGCGGAAGCAATCAATCTCGTCGCAGGCCTGTGGTACGTAAACTGATTCTGGAGCCATGTCCGTGACCGCGACGCGCCGAACGCGCCGTGCCGACGCACAATGCCCCTCCGCAGTGCTGCTGCGCTCTTTGTGGGCTTTGCTCGACGCGCAATGCAACGGCCTCAATAGACGCACAAACCCGCCATTCCTCGTCCGCATCGAACGACATCACAACCCAACAGCCCGAGTCCACTGATTCAGGCCGCACTAGCGCTCGCGGTTCCCGCTGAAATGTATCGACCTATGCATACACCCTCCTACATCCCATTACCGGGTGTAGGTCCAGACACCCTTGAGGAGGCCCTCCTTGGTGGCAATGCGGTTGATCGACTGCGTGTCAGTACGGCCCGCGATTCACAGTGCGTCCGCTCCGGCGCTTGCGCTTCACTCACGTCGTCGGCCTCGCCCTGCTGGCGCACCTTGCCGCAGAGGGCAATGGTCGAGCCCTGGCCCTTGATGGCCTTGCCCTCGGCGTCGACGTCGGCGACAGTGATCTGGATCGACGCGTGGTCCTTGGCCGTGATGAGGCGGTCTGGGGTCAGTCAGAGTCCGGAAGATGGGCGTGGGATGGCGCGCTGGGACTGGGACGGGGATTGGGACGAGGCGCGTGGCGGCGCAGGCTGAGCACTAGGGACGACTCGCGATGGGCGGGGAGGCCGTGAAGGGACGGAGCGGAACGCGGATGGGCGCAGAGCAGAGTCCGCGCGATAGAGAGCCGAGCACGAGCACACGGGACGAGCGTGCCATCGCCGTATGACGCTAGTCGCGCGGCGTCGCTCGTGTGCGCGTGCGCTCTTCCCTTCATTCTCCGGGCGTGCTTCCACCTTCCTCCCGCTCCGCTACTCCTTCCGTCTCCCCGCTGGCGTATCCACGCCGCCCGCGTCCGCGCACATGTCGTATGCGCGCTCGCTATCGCTCAGTCGAATCGAACCCGTCCCAGTTCTCCATTCCCGGTCGAATTCGCGCGCGTCGCGACTCACTGGTAGCCGCGCAGTGGCGGGGGATGTAAAGGTCGACAAGGACACCTGGCCGTCAGCATGCGTCTCCCGTCGTCGCTGATGCCGCCGTCGTCGCCGTACGTACCGCGGTCGTTCTCCATTTTGGCTGCTTTTGGTGAGGGTCAGAGAGTACGTTGGCGACGTCGAACACTACCTCGAAACCAGTTTGTCGGCAATACCCGCACGAGGATTTTCGCCGAGGGTGTGGCATTAATCCACGTGGTTGGTGGATTCAGGCACCACCCGACGTTTCGTGTCCACCGTGTAACACTCTACATGTGCACCTCCGCCAAATAACGGGGGACGCGAGCATTGTGCTTCGTACGACGCGGTGATGCGTCTGCTACATAGTTGCAAGCATTCTCTACACATTTTCAACGGTAGGACCTATTGTAGTATGTCGACGACACTTACATCGCGTTCAGTCTTCCACGCTTCCTCGCCCCCGCGCTGCAGATATCGTTTCTTTCCTCCGTTTGCCGGCCGTCGATGGTCTCCAAGAGCAGCCCAAGGCTACCGCTAGTCACAGAAGCATACCGATGTCCACGCTATACAATGGGTATCTCAGTTACTTCACTGGCTGTTCCTCAGTAAAGCTTAGCTGCCACAGGTGGAGGATGGCGTGTCTCTCGTTGAGATAGCACGGCGCGCGTGCATCAGCACCACGCAAGTGCCAATGGCATGGAACATCGGGAGTAATGATGTGCGTTAGACAGCTCCGCGCTTCCTGACTACCTGAAGACCATACGTTAGTACGCTGCTCTGCCTAATTATCCCCGTCACAAACGGTCTATTCATCCACGGTCGCTAAGGTTTCGTTTGCACAACATCGGCGTCGGGTGCTGAATTGCGGCACCAGCTGTGAGCATGGGCGAACAGTGGAAGACTTGTCACACTCTCAACGAGGGCGGGGATGCTGACGAGTCTATCTGCTCTGCGTAACCCGATCCAATCGTCTGTTGGACTCGGTGCAGGCCCCTTCGCGCGTAGCAGCACAAATGTCACCCGGTCCCGTCCAAATGACAACGCCAGGAGAAGGCAGGAGGAAGTCATACCGGGAAAGTGATACAGCATTGCTCTATGCTGTGTCTGCCGTTTGCGTAATTAACCCTCCTCGGTTACCAGAGCAGATTGTGGACGTGCAGCCCTAACCTTCGTCGCTTAACGACAGGCTGAGCGAAGACCGCCGCTCCGTTGTGATGAAGTGAGCTCGCTCGACACGGTGTGTCTGTGACTAGTCAGACATTGCTCCTGGTATTGAATGCATGCCAGCGAACTTCCCGTCATCAGGGTCGAGATATGAGATGAAACCACGACAATCATCAAGTTCACAACGAGGATAGCTGCAGAGGTTTGCGTAGATTTCTGGGTGCCTACATCGTTTCCAACATGTGTCGTCTTGTTTCCGCTCAGAAGAACGTGGCATCTTTTACAAATCACTCCGTTGCTTGTGAGAGCGTAGGACGGCATGGCAAGCTATCCTTTGCAGTCGTTGGGCAACGGCAGCTTCGTTGCAATCCTCCCACGTTTAGCAACACTGGCCCTAGTACCACGTGCCGGCGACAGAGCGTGAGATTGGGAGCCTCGGAATGCTGGACAGGAAGCCATTCTTTGTGGAAGTCATACTTCCTGTTACAAGTGTCCTTCTTTCAAACAGGAATTTACAAGTCTCCCTCTTTCAAACAGGAATGTCGTGGGCCGTCAGTGCTGGCGCGCCTCGCCGTGAGTGTCATCTGCACTCCTATAATTACTGTGTCTTTTGTGGCGCGAGTCATTACCAGTCAAAGGAATCAGCGCCATCTACGTTCAAGACGACCTCGCTTAACGGAGGTACTGAGCTCGCGACCGACCTCTCGTGGCATTGCCGGTCTCGGTCGAGCGACGTGCGCCAAGGAATAAGACTCTGGAGACGCCCCATTCCAGTGCCTCATGTTTTACGCGGTACTTCTCCGTGCCTGTGCCCGGCAACGGTATATTGCCCACCACTCGCGCACCCAGCCTCCCAGACGAAGTCAAAAGTCCCGCACGATTATGTATTACTTATTGATATCCAAGTACGCCTGTCTAAGTAGCGCCACGCCGCCACAGTGCAGAACTGTGTGTGGACATCCAGTTGTTAATATACAGACACTCACGCGCTGGGGCGGACATGGACTTTACAGGACCCTCCGGGACGACAGGCTTACGGCCAACTTTAATGCCCTGGAGGGGTGCAGATCTTCCTCTCTCGACGCTCGGAAGCAAGGAACAGAGGCACCCACACTGAACCAGGAAAGGCAATCTCGATGCATCTTGATCCGGCTCACCCCAGAACGGAACGGCCATGCGCGGAAAGGCCTACGGTATCTGTGCAGATTGTCCGGCACGCGGCGCGGCATAGGATCGCGTGAGCAGGGCGTGCGGCGCAGGGCCGTGGCGTTGGGGCAAACTCCTCTCTCTTGGCTCCCGGCGTCTGCTCAAGTCATGTCTGTCTGCTCTTCCGCGATGAGCTCCAGAGGTTCCCAGGACGTATGCACCCCTTTTCCAGCGCTATCGGAGCACTGCTCGAGGCCTACAGATGCACAAGTACATAAGGCGCCTCCCGCTCCGAGTCCCGCCTCGTCCGTTCCCTCTCCCCGCCCACACTCCTTTGCTCGCCATGCTCAAGCTTCTCCTCCTCTCCCTCCCCCTCGTCGCGGCCTCGCCGATGCCCGAGCTCGACGCTCGTGCTCCTCCCTCGGCTCCCGCCGGCTGGAAGTCGCACGGCTGCCACTTTGGTGCGTCCTTTACCCAATTCTGGTCACGGCTAATCTCAGACTGCTACGACGGCATGAACCGCTACCTCCCCCACTTTGCCTACTCCTCCAACCGCAACTCGCCGCGCAAGTGCACCAAGGCGTGCGCCGCGGCTGGTTACAAGTTTGCCGGGGTGCAGTTCGGCAAGGAGTGCTGGTGCGGCAACGAGATCGGTGGCCAGCTTACGGACGACAGCGAGTGCTTTGTCAAGGTGAGTCGAGGCAAGGCGAGGCAGTGGAAAGCGGGATGATACTAATGCCAGTGCCCCAAGTCCCGGGGAACCTGTGGTGGCCCGTGCCGCAACTTCATCTACGGGCTGGCCTAGGTCGCCTTCTTCATCTGCTTTTATTGGGATCACTGCAGGCAGTGAGCAGATCCGCACGGCAGGTCCGACAGAACTGCTGGACAGGTTAGCACGCACGCCGGTAGTGTCAGTCGCTCGTTTGTATGCATGGACATTATCTTGTTGAGGTCTCGCGCAGTGTCTGGGGTGCCAGCACCGCCAAGTGCAGGGGAAAACGAGGTCAGAGTTAAATAGCGTAATATCCATTAGTGCCTGCGGCTCTGAGATGAGAAGGTGGGAGTTCTGAAACGGCGTCGCACGCCTGAAGAACGAGACGAATTATCAACCAGGGATTCTATTGCATGGGACAAGTATGCCACCGGCGGTCCTGATAACACCACGTGGCTTATGCCACGCAAATATGGATGGAAATTGCTCCCGTCTCTTGAACTTTCTCTGAACTGGCACTCACCTCACGATCACGAGCATCGAGCAGCAACACTCACAGCACCACCCCACCACCACACATCGCCACCATGCACCTCATGTACACCCTCGACGCCAGCGGCAACCGGTACGTACTCCGTGCTCCAGACAACACTTAGCGCCCCGGAGAGCATGGCTGACAGCAGCGTCTACACCGTCAAGAAGGTTGTCGCGGGCAAGCCGTCCAAGTCGGCGCACCCCGCGCGCTTCTCCCCCGATGACAAGTTCTCCCGGCACCGTGTGACGATCAAGAAGCGGTGAGTCGGGCAGCTGGGGGCCACGGGCGCGGGGCAGGGCAGAAGTGGAGGTTGAGCGAGCATGAGGAAGATTGTGCCGTGTATGACCTGCGCAGCTCAGAGACAGATGCTGCATTCCTGCGATACCAGCGATCTGCCTTTCCCTCCCGCCTACTTTGCCTCCTGCTGGTGAAGCCGGGCTCCGGAAATTGAGAGAACCCGCTGACGCCAGCTTCGGCATCCTCCCGACCCAGCTGCCTACCAAGCCCCTCTAAGCCTTGAGGTGTGGGCTTGTCGGTGCGAGTTGTTGTACGATATGGATACCTTGACTGCATTGATCGCCAAGCGAAGGCCCGAAAGGGATGAGAACTCACTGCCGGACAGGGTGGTATGATCACTGTAGTCAGCTAACGAGATGTCTGTTTGACCGTTGATTGACTGCGGGCTGTGCCACAACTTGGTGTGCGAGTGTGAGCGAGCTGTCAGCTTTAACGCGTTGCTGCCTCCAACGTAATGTGCAGAGGGGAGGTGTCGCGTTCATCATTCTTATCATAGGCATATTGTTTACAGGCCACAGGCTTTCACCTGGTCGTCTACACCTGGTCGAAGCGCTTGTTCCTCTCTCGCGATACTCGACCAGCACATCTCGTCCTTCACATCCTCGACGCCCAACCGCTGCGCCCCCTAACCCATGATGTAATGCATGCACGTCTACAGGTCCTCGACGTTGTCCTGGACGTCCCACCCCATCTCCTTCTGCCTCTGCTTCTCTGCCGTAGCTGCTTCTGGCTTCCGCTTTCCGCTCGCAATGCTGATGTGGCGCGCGATGCCGTTGTCGGGCTCATATGGTCGTCCCGCCAGCATCCAAATGTCGTGGATCTTCTTAACCTGCTCCTCGACCCAGTCGTCCATCTTGAGCCAGTCTGAAGTCAGCACTAACACGCAGCACCGTTCTGGGTTTCTCTCGCTCGATGTGCCGGCGATCTCGCGCGCTGTCCCAAACTCGATCGCTTGAATACTCACGCAATGCCACCGTGTCCACCGTCACATGCAGCTGGTTCCAGTCGCCCATGTTCCAGCCCATGTCGAACCGTGTCACTGGATCTGTGGTCTTGTCGAGCATGCGCAGCCACTGCCCTGTCCTCGCGTCCTCAATCTTCACAACGTGCGCAGACGGCATATCTGCGCTTCCAATCCAACTGACGAGCGGCCAGCTCAAAGCGTACGCCAACCCACGGAAGTAATCCTGGAAATATCCCGAGCGCCCCGCCGACGTTCCCCAGTAGTAGTTGCGACTGCAGTCTAGGTCGATGAAGCTCGAGACCAGGTTGGGCATAACGAGGAAGGTGTCGTCGTCCGCCTTCATTACGAAGCGTGGCCGGCCCTTGACGAGTCCATGGCCTGCAAACTCGTGCGCCACCCACTTGAAGTACGCATGCGTCTTCCCAAAGTCGATGTTGTCGACGATCTGACTTCAGCATTGCAGCTGCGACGAGTGCGACTCACGTCCAGCATGACCATGTCCCCAAACTCCGCCATCTCTTCTTGGACATCCTTGGTCAGTTTTGCGCTTGCTATGCGCTGTGATGGATTCAAGCCTTCGACAGGCGCCTGTTGCCCGAGGATAAACTTGACTGTGAAGAGGTCGGGTGGAAAGTCTGGCAAAACGACGCGGCGGTACCTAATATCAGCGGAGTCGCGTGAGCGCTCCGAAAGGTCTGCAGGGCCGCAGTACGGGACACATACAAGTCACGACGTTGCCTCGCAGATGCACTTGAGAAGATGCCCAGGAAAATGAGAGTGCCCGCGTTCTCGCCCTCGAGCGGCACGTCGCATCCGATCTGGTGCGGCTGACGGCCCGACAGCAGCGCAAAGTCTGGCTCCTCAAATGAGCGCTGCAGCTCCACCGCCGGCGTCTCCACCAGTTCTGATATTCCTGTCGTAGTTGACGGCTTGGGCTGCTTGGCCTGCCTTTCTGAGCGCACCGGCTCGCCCTTCCGGCTGAGGTTCAGTTGTGGGTGTCCGTGAAACGCGTATATCAGCAGCGCGACGGTAGCGAGGACGCTGACGCCAAGGAGCGTCTTGAGCCGCGAGCCGCGGATCGCATGTTTCGCACTCGCGACTGGGAGTGGCATGTTGGATAATGGAAAGTTGCGCGGCGCTGCGCGTGGAGATCGGCGGCTCATCGGGGTGCCATGCGGAGGGGGGCGTGGGGAGTGGAGCAGGCCGCACCGAGCGGGGGCGAGGGAGAGTGGGCGTCGCTGGGGAGGGACGTGGAAGGTGCCACCCTGTTGATGCGGAGTAGAGGGAGGTTGAACGTGAGGATAGTGAATGGCGCAATCTAAGCTCGCGTGGAGGCGCAGAGATCGCAGAGATGAAGGTGGTCGAGAGGTGAAGGAAGACCGAGGGAGGGGGATGGAGGCGAGAACTCAGAGAGAAGGGCAGGCGGGGCGAAAGGAGCGTAAGAATCGTAAGAGCGAGGAGGAGGAGGAGGCGAAGTCGCAACGTCGAAGGGAAAGTGTGGTACAGACTGTTGTTGGAGAGATTGAGAGCGAGGGAGCACACGACGAGGACGACGGAATGAGCGGCGTGGTTGCGGTCGCGAGGCGTGAGGCGCGAGGCGGCCGAGGCGGGATAGCGCAGGGAGCGGGAGCTTGACGAGGCGCTATGGCCTATTTCAGGTACATAATTATGTGCCCATAATTACACAATGCAACTTAATCCTATTTGCCCCCGCTAATCTGGATTTGGCGCTTAATTGCGCATCCCGCATGGTCTGCTGCTGACATCACTGCTGGTCGCGCTCATTGACGCAGCTACGCGTCAACAATCCATCGCATTCACATTGCACACTGCATATCGCAACATGGCAGACCCCCAGGCTCTCAGACAGCTTAAGATCAAGACCGGCGTCGTCAAGCGGTACGCTCACATGTTTGGGTTTGACGCTGACTCTACAGCCTCCACAAGGAGGAGGGCATCTACGCCGACGAAGTCACCGTCGCCCAGGCCAACCTCGAGAAGCTCAAGGCAAGCGGTGCGGACGGCGCGGACATTCGTCAGGCTGTGAGTTGGCTTGCACTTCTCTTGCCACCTCTCACCTCATAAAT